GGTCAGCAGAGGACAGCTGAGTTCTAAAAACCAATAAGTTTCTCCACCACTGAACTGGATCAGAATATTACCCTGTCTTAAAGGGCTGATAATATTTTATCACTCTGTTGGCACTGGCACATGATGGATTAAATTGAATGTCCAACAAATCACAAATAAACTATAGACCCAAAATCTCAGTGCTGTTATTGTGAATATAAAGCACAGATTGAGTTGGAGGGATTGATGAGATATTCAAAAGGTAAACCAGAGATGAGCTCAGACCTCACTTGGCTCAGACTGTATTTCAGTTTCCACAGGGACATTCTCGCTCTCTGGGGGAAGTTCAAGCCTGTCATATATACACGCTATATGTTAAAGGCCTTTTGGCTCTTGTCACATCTGAGAGATTGGCCCTACAGGCAAAATGAGATAGTGGAGGTATGAGCGGGAAAAACAGGCCCTTCATAACATTGGATTCAATACAAAGTGGTCCAACACGCAGAGAGCCTCAAGGGTTTCATTTACAAAGGATTCTTAATTATACAGTCTGTATAATTATGTTAATATATTTATTAAGAGGCAACACTGTCAAACTGTTTTTCTGTTAATAATCTGAGAGTAACTGCAAACTGTATTACTGGTTAATGTCATTCATCTCTGAATACACATCAGACACATGCTGCCAGCATTAGTGTAACTCCCCGGTGGTCAGGGACAGTAGACCTGAGTGTCATTAGGCCAAGGAACGCACGCACGCGCGCACGCACACGCACACACACACACACACACACACACACACAAACACACCTAACTGATGTAAGCATATTTACTGTCATATATTTATGGGTAGTTTGGGCAGTGAGTGAAACCTGCTCACACAAGTCTGAAACTGTGTGTGCAATTTACTGGCGTGCGGCAAAAAGTGATGATTCATCACTGATGACTCGTTAACCACAGCATAGTTATGGCAGTAGTCATAATGATAGCTCTTATCTTATATTGACAAAATGTTTTTGATGCAAAGAATGTTAATGAACCATTTACCATCATTATATTTGACAGCCAAACCTGGCCACCTGCATCAACTCTTTACCTCTTCCCCCAATCAGCAGAGTGCTTCCCTGAGACGGGTTTATTTTCTCCTTGAACTCTGGGCCAAAATCCACTGGATCGAAATGAACAGGCTCTCTAACATGCTAATACTGAAAGAATGGCTGATGAACATAGCAGACACAATGCATTCAACTGAAAGCTCTGGCTGAGCTTTGATGCGAAGGAACACTCAGATGAACAACTGTGGCTGCAGGGGAATATTCCTGGTATGAATCACACTTGTCAAAGCTCACGGTGGTGGCCACATGCCAGTGTGAACTTTCCACAGTCCGCCTAAGTGATGGAGTCTGCTGTTGACTCTACCCTGTATGACACACACAGTACGCCGACTGGTCGGGACTTACCTGGACACACACACCCACTTAATAAAAAAACGGAGAAGAATGCACCAGCTAGCCTCTCCCTGGACTGAGCAAAGAGAAATCACATTCTGTGCATTCCCCATAATCACACCCATTTGGTCAGATATAACTGCAGTCACTAGGGAGATGAGAACATATCAAACAATAACATATGATGTCAAAAAAGGGTGTTGGTTGATGAGTTTCTGTATCGTCATATATGGCTGCTATAGCTAATGATCATTAGCTGAGGCATACCTGTAATTTTTGTGGGTCACTCCCTTTTCTGTGAAACTTATTCAGGGTACATGATCCTGTACAGTTAGATGCTCTAACATAATCTTACCTACTATAGTATAAAAAGACAATTTCTATAATTATCTATCATCTCCGTCTGAAATCCCCTTATCAATTTGCTGCTAGAGTGGACTGGTTTGTGTCCACTGTGAAGCATGTTTGTAACAAGACAAGGACACAGTGGTACTGGCTCCACTTATCTCCCTGTGCATCATCATCTGGAGATCATGTTACGGCTATTCACACTGAACAGACTCCACACTCTGCTGCTCAGCAATCAGGACAGTTCACCACATCCTCTGCGTGCACCATTAGGCGCTCTTCACAAAAAGTCACACACCAAGCACCACTTTGTTCATTTAGATGGATGCTCTCAAAATACACAGCTGCAATGAAATGTTTCATTAGGAAACTGACGCATGGTGAGAAACGGCTGTTTGGGGACATCCTCTCTCTGTCACACAAGCTGATGTTTCCATAAAATTGGTGTAATGTTTAAGAAATGACAGTCAAAACCATCCTGCAAAGCCTCCGCTCAGCTAAAACCGAAAACCACACTTTTGTGAGGCGGGAGCCAAAAAAAAAATCCCTTTCATCATTCACTTAACAGATTATACTGACTTCCTGCATAACTGTGCACATGTTCATATCACAGAGCAACACTGCCTGTTATAGGCCCTGAACTGCCTAGAAAACACAGTGAAAAATTTAGCAAAACTCAGAAACGAAGACTAAAATGTTCTTTTGCTTCAACCTCAGTGCAATTGTAAAAACAAACATTTTTCCGAGTTAGAAGGTAACAAGCTGGCCATTTCCCTGTTTTCTCAAAAAGCCACTGCTTTGCTCCAAAATTACAGTGGTGTGTTTTTGGTTCCTGGATGGCTTTATCCTGTCTGAGCAATAAGCAACAACACAGTGTTTTTTCTCTCTCTCTTTCTCTCTCTCTCTCCCTCACAAAAAAAAGCAAAACCATCGGGAAACCAACACAATTTAAAGTGAGAGAAGAGTAGGTAGAGTATGAAAGGCAGTCGGGCACAATAACAATGGAGAAGTTACACAAACAGCAGGCAGTGGGGGTTTGGGAACATGAGGTTTCACTGGGAGTGTTTTGGATTACACATGAGACACCTCCAGTAGTTACCCACCTGCTGAGCTCACAAACCAGGTCTGTTTATTTCTTAACACTTGATTAAGTGTACTGGAAGAACAGCCATGTCTAGACATTTTAAAAAGGAACCATAGAGTAAGAGTTACAGCACTTGAGAGCTGGCTTGAACTTGAACTAAAGTGGGCCTGCTAAATAAGAGTCATTACCCTCAACAGGCCAAGTGGAGGAGAGGAAAGATAACTGGATAATGTGACATAAATACTGGCTTAAAGTTTCCTGAGGCTGCACCTGGTCCAGGCCCTCCACAAATCACTCTGACTGCTTAATGTGCAAAACTAACCGTCCCTGCTCTCCTGAACACAGATGCATTTACAGAGAGGAGGGTCTACAGTAGGTGCTGGGGAAACCTGCACTCTGTGTGGGCTTTAGTTTTTCTAGTCAATTAGACTGACTTTCAATTGCAGCTTAAATCATGCATCATTGGCCAAAACAGTCCATACAGTATTTGGACACATGAACCGCGCAAATACTCGTCATCAATCATAATTTAGCAAAGCTTCATATACATAATAAATCACACTAGCTGCCAGAAAAACAACATAAAACAGAAGTTACAAAAACTATGACGTTGAGACACTTTTAACAACTGTGTGCTCACTTACCAAGGTGAGTGTAGTGTGATTTCAGGCGCCTTCTCCACCTGTTAAATCTTTATGCGGTCCTCGACAAAACCCTGAACACACACCAAGGAAACAACAGGTCCCAGTTCACCTCAGCCTGAATCAAGACCGCCTCCAAAATGCGGACAAAACGAACCACAGAGCAGCTTTAGGATATTTCCCCGTAAATACAGGAGCACTGCTGCTGTGATGAAGCGCTAGTAGTCCCTTGTCTCTGTTGCTTCAGATGTTAAGGTGGCACGCACGAACGCCACCTGTGGCTGCGCGCGCAGTGTATCACTGGGGTGAGTTCGCTATGCCATGTGCTGTTGCCAAAATAAAGGTTTAGACTCAGACACCAAACCGGGGCGTGTCGCATCAGAGGGGAGGGGAAGAGGTTGCCGCGGTGATAATTGAGCCATTTATCCAAAATCACACTATGGCTGCGTTTTGTGTCCGCGCGCCACCTGCTGATGAGGCGGAGCAGAGCAGGACGTGCGCATCTAGTTATTGGCCTTCACTGGCTACACAGGTGTAAATGGTTACGCTGATCAGATGGTTGGACTTGATAACTGGTTCATGTCAAATAAAGATACAGTTTTATGCAAAGGTTGGGGCAAATCATACACATTGTTGATTTTGTTGATTTTTAAAGGGAAAAGAAGTAAAATCAGTGCCTGCCTTAAAAATAAACCTTTTGTCGAATATCAATGCACTTATCTTTTACTTCATGATCAAAAGATACTCTGTAATTGTGCCATATACAAAAGTGTTGGTCCTTTTACTTCTACACTCAGAACTTCATTAACCCTTTAGGCCTTAACTGACTCGTTAGGACTTGTAAGGCAAGCCAAGAATTGCCGTTGGTAATTTTCCACTGATCACATTTCCAGAGTTTGATAAATTCTCTGACTCTTCAAAACTTGTGGTAACACTCAACAACCATGGTCTCCTCTGAGCAACTGACTGTGGGTCAGAAAATTAAACAGACTGATTCCTACAAATGGAGGGTTTCAAATAGATATCAAAGCACTTCTTGAATTTTTTATTGTTCAAAATGTCATTAAGAAATGGTATTTAATGGGGGCTGTGGAAATCAAGTCAAGATCTGGAAGACCAACAAAATTTTTAAATGTCCATCAGTTGTACATCCCTTATGTTTAGCTGACACAGTGGTGGCTGTTCCACTGTGAGTCATTGATGCACAAAAATAATAAGCCAGAGACATTTTGGAAACAAGTGCTCTGGACAGACAAAGTTAAAATTGAGATCTTTGACCATAATCAACAAAGGAGTGCTTGGAGAAGAAATTAACTGCATTTGATGAAAAGAACACCTTGCTAACTGTTAAGCATGGGGTTGGAAATATTATTTCCACCACCATACACCCCCATTATTATTATATAGTATTGCACAGATAGTGGGAAGAATGCATGCAAAAATTCTGGATGAAAATATCAAGCAGTCAGTCAAGAAAGTTGAAACTGAAAATGGCTGGCTTCTCTCAAAGTTACATTTATTGTATTTTGTGTAAACGTATTTTAATTTCATTTTGGTTGCCACTTTTATGTTATGGGATATGTGTATGTTTTATAAGATTCAAATACTAATACCTGAATGAAATGGAAAGTTACATTTAATGGTCATCCTGTTAGTCAGCTTCACACTTTAAGTGTTGTTGAATTAAGACAGAAAAAAACACAAGAACACAAACTCCTTTTGGTCTCACTCTGTAATGTCTAATTGTTTTTAAAAAAGTGCGTACCACACATATGAGATACATTGTTTTATAAGCAAATATATATTATACTTTCAATTTGATAAAAGGTTACAGTCTGTACAATCATATCCTGTGTCTGCTAAATATGATTCATTTTTACAGTGAAATCATGAATATATCATATTAAAATAGCAAAATGACTTCATGATGAGGATTTCTAATTAGAATTAGACACATCCCACTCATCAAAGGCGGCGCTGGCACAAACATAAGTGATTTTCTGAATACTGTTTTCAGAGTGAGAAGATTAACTCCCAAAGCATAGCTAACACTGTAAAACAGCAGTAGCAAACATGGCAGAAATGAAGTGAGCTTGGATTGTTCAGTGGAGAATTAAAAAAGAAATGTTATGAAATGTTAGATTTGGCACATATGCATTACTTCAAACTTTCATTCAACCATTTGCTGTGAAGGCATTGCCTGGATTTAACTTAGAGCTATTCAACACAGATGATCTTGTACAACTTACAGAGGTTTGACATTTCATTTCAACAACATAATCTTCCTCTTTACTTTCACATTCCACTCCATGGCTTATGATGGACATGTCATCCAAAAAAAGCCAAACATTCTATAATGAACAACTTGCTTAAGAAACCATTACATGAACTAATTATATTTTCTCTTCTGCAAAAGCCTTGTAGAAGGCTTTAAACCCATCTCGAACATGTCTGAGCCCTTTCTGTGCTTTACTTTAACCACATCTACAGATGTTCATGTTTTTTCCGCAAACTTGCCCAGGGTGTTTTCAGAGATCTGAAAGGAAATCTGGGGGAGATATTTGAAGGAAAAAAAAAAAATTAATAATCCAACATAATGCTAGAAAAAATTGCCATCCTCATTCAAAATTCTCAGCAGTGGTTTGTGATGGCACTGTGGTGACAAAATGCTGAATGCAGCATCATACTGTATCAGGACCTCAGAGGGAACAGTGCTGTTCAGTTGGAAGGAATGCAAATTTCCTGCAGCTGCAAATAGTTGTGGAACAAAAAAGACCATTCTTCGCATCTGACACAGTATCATCAGCATTCATCCTTTCCTCTCAAGTGGTGTGTGTGAAAACACTCTCCAAGACTCAGTGCAACACACACACACACACACACACACACACACACACACACACACACACACACACACACACACACATGCACACACTCATGCAGGGAAGTGAGAAACCACACAACTGTCCCTGCCTTCACCTCTGTTCGGAGAAACAGAGTGAATATGCAGGTCTGACTAAACCAGATTTGGGAGTGTGGTGGGAAATGGGATGAAGAAATGCTGGGGTGACAAAGCAGGATCTGTTGGAGTGAGCTAGAGTGATTAAGTTGGGCTCTTATGAGTCCAGATGGATGTGGGCAAGCAGGAAGTGAGGAAGTCAAACTGGTGCCACATAATTTCCGGGAAAAGTCCCAAAAGCACGAGTCCGTTCTGACGTACCTACAGAGATCAGAGAACAAGCTGTGATCACACAACACAAACAGTAAACAACTACATTAAGGCATGTAAAGGGAATGCCAATTACATCTGCAATGTTTCATGATGTCCACCAGAGGGCGAGCTGACACTGTAAAATGTTTTGATATAAATACTTTACTACCTCAGAAATTTTCATTCAATGTTTGTTTTGGGGTTTTTTTGGGTTTTTTTTTTTACAATTTTTAATACATTTTATTAAATAATTTTGTTTTTTAAACAAACCTTTCTATATAAACCTGCTTTATTGTCCCTAATTACTACCTCATTGGTATACACTTAACAGAAGTAACAAATTAACCTGAATAAAATAACAAAAAACATAACCATCTCCAATATGAGACTCAAGGGTTTGCTGAATAATTTGATGAGTGTAAAAATAATGCGAATCATGGCTTTCAACACCACCTAATCTTAATACAGATAAAGGGAGATGTTGGAGTGACATACTCCGCCACATCGTCATCATAAAAACCCCAAATGAGAGAATATCTTTTAGAAGATTGATGTTTTATTCCTCCAGTAGAGGCATTGAAGCTGTTTTGGAGGCTCATGGTGGCCCACAATTACAACACTTTTTCTTAATGTCCCACTTCACTACACTGTTTCCAAAGGAAATATAATGAGGGAGTAACAAACCCTGGGAATAAAATTGTTTGTTATTTTAAAATAAATATCTTTATTCCTTACCTACAAACCAGCCATCATCACATTTCTCCATCACTTGTACAATGTCTCCTTCTCTGAGTTCCAACTCATCTGAATTCTGCGGTTTGTAGTTGTAAACAGCTTTATATCTAAAATTGAGAACACAGAAAAATAGACCAACAAATGGTCTGAGCCACAAATTCACCCAAGCTTCAACACTTGGTCTGCATTGCAACAATGTGAACAAATAAATACATTCAAATCTCATCTCAAGACGTACGGCTGATGTTGCACCGCTGTTGAACCAGGCTTGTTTGGGACTTGTGTTCGCCTCAGGGAGTGGACATGTGCATTAGGTGGAGTAGCCTGGCTTGGTATTGCACCCTAAAAAAATAGAAACTTCATGTCAGGCATTATAAAATAAGGAGTGTTGAGTCACATTTCTGTCAACTCTAACAGTAACACCATGGGTGAGGACATGCAGTGACTTTCTCAGGGAGGCAGTGAGAGCAGACCTGTGACGGGTCAGTGTATCTGGGAGTGTTCGCTGTGGTAGCTCCTGCTCTGTGTGCAGACGCTGACGACTGAGTGGAAGGTGAAACAGCTCTAGCTGTGGAGCTCTGGTTAGCTGAGTGTGTCCCAGCCCAGTGGCTGTTCTGGTTGGTGGGTGAAGCAGCTTTGGAGGTGCTGTGGGGCCACTGATTGGCCATTTCTTTGGGTACAGGTGTCTGGGTGGGGGAGCGTGACTGTGAAGCTGGGCCGCCATAAGGTACGGGTGAAGACGGCTTCAGGGGGGAGTGCTCAGGTTTGGGGCTGAGGGAAGTGGGGGTGAATGGTGAACGCGGACAGGGAGAGTGGAGTGGACGTCCTGGACTCTGAGGTCCGGGGGAGACGGGAGACATGGGGCCTGGTGAGTAGTCGTCCGTAGAGTATTTGGTGCGAGGCATCTTGTTGACCTGGACATAATTGACAGGGAAGATGCCGCTCCGGCTGGTCCCCGAGATCCTCCCCTCCAACCACTTATCGTCAACACGCCTGGTTACATTGATCACCTCACCCTGAGGAAAAAATAAAACACAATTTAAAGTAGATATTACACAAAAAATATCATCTACAATAACAATGAAATACTGATGTCGGTTTAACATACACACATCAAATGGCTGCATCATCTTAAACTGCAAACCTCTCGAAAAGGAGCTTTTCACTTTGACTGAAGTGGCAGTGGTGTAATGACTTCATCACTCAGATTTAATATAAGTGCTCTCCTGATATAAATTCCCTATTTTGAAAAGAATTTTTAATGGGTTTTATTATTAATTATCATTGAGAGTTACATGAGAAGATCCACTCCACATTCTGTCTGTACTTAAATATGAAGCTACAGCTAGCAGTCAGTTAGCTTAGCTTAGCACAAAGATTGGAAAGAGTAACCTCCTTGAGTCTTCTCATCACCACAAGGTTGCCAGCAATGAAACAATAACAATATAATATGTTAATAAGTGAGCTTTAAAGGTGCTGGTAGGCTGATTTTGTTACTCTTGGACAAAGCTTGGCATTAGGCCTACAATTCTCGGTCCAAACAGGCACATGACAAAAGGAAAAAAAAAAATCTTAAAGAAATAGAGGGGCATTTTAGGAAATGTGTATATTTGTTTCTTTAACAAGAGTAAGACAAGAAGATAGAGATTATTAATACCATTTTCATGTCACTAAACTAAAAATGAAGCCAGGTCCAGCAGCTGCTTAGCTTAGCTCAGCTTAGTTTAGCTCAGCTTAGCTTGGCTGAACATAAACAGAGGAAAAAATGAAACAGCTAGCCAGAATCCACGTACCAGCACCTCTGAGGTTCACTAATTCACAAGTTCTCATTATCAAGCCTGTCATTTCTTTAATCTATTCAAAAGAGAATTATTCCCTCATGGCTGTATCCCTCCACGAACCAGTCAAATTGAAGTTTACATCAATATCTGTCCACACATTGGGGGACTTACATGTATTTTTATTTATAACATAGAAATATATAAAAGTGATTTAACTTGACTGTCTTTGTTGTTGTTGTTCTGTTGTATGTCTACTGTATTAATATGTAAGTTCATTGAGAGAAACAAAAAAACAATCAAATTCCTTGCATGTGTTCCCATGGTTGGTCAACAAATCTGATTCTGATACTTGCAAACACAAAGACACAGTAGACAATGTTTGAAATATGGATATTGCTGCAAAGAAGCTACAAATTCTAAATATGGTCATAATCTTCCCTGAGTCATGGCCTTAATAATGCAGATCATTATGATGTCTTAGCAGAGTTGACCTTTGACCTTTTGGATTTTACCCTTCACAGAGACAGGCTAGTTGTTCCCCCCTGATTCCAGTCTTTGTGCTAAAACAAGCTAACCAGCTAATCGACAGCGCCTCAATGACGAGGCAAAGCATCTTCATCTCTGCTGCAGCTTCAATTTTTAGCTCAGGCTGATTCTATGCACAACGATCCTCTCTTGTGCAGCAATGAGTTGAGCGACACATTAACATGAACCGTGTTATTACTCACCTTACGAAAAGAAAGTTCGACAGGTAAATCACCGTTGAAGTTGTACAGAGCCACAGCTTCCCCATAATCCAAGACCTGTAGCGTGGGAGACTTTATAGGTGTCGGCTTCTCTGTAGGCGCCAGAATCTATTAACGACAAAGGAAATCATTTATAGTCACATAGTCTTAGACAATTAGCACATGACAGAGAAAAAGCATCAAATGAGAGGCTTGAAGAAATTCACCTCAACATAAGATGTGGGGAAAATGCCAGCTCTTCCGTGATGTTCTCCTTCAAACCAGTTGGCGTCTACCTGCCTGTGGATGTAAACAATGTCGCCTTTCTGCAGTGGGAGCTCCCTGAAGAAAGGAACAAGAGAATCTTTAAATCCGATATGACTGTAATTTAACATTTTCTTTCAGAAATGTAAATGAGTATGCAAGAAAGGAAATGGCTTATTTATTACATCAGCTAACTCACTTGGGTGACTGAGCCTGGAAATTGAACTTGACTCGTGCTGCTTTCATCTGGAAAAAGAAAGAGTTTTGTTCAGATGCCATAATCATATGAATTATTCTGAATCTATTCAGATCACAAAAACAAAATGCCACAACTTAAAATCACCACTTATCAAAATGGATTTCTGACCGATCCTTTTAGATAACAAGAAAGAAACATACCTTTTTCTCCTCTTTCTTGGGTGGGAGCTCCATGATTTCATTTGCAGGGGAGAGACGTTCTACTGTGAAACAAAGTGAAAGCACAATGGTGTGAGAGGAGTCTAAAACATGCACACTTTGTTCAGCAAATGTTGTTTTTGAATGTGTTGCTATGAAAAGGCAATCACAGCCTTAACAGCTGCAGAACATAAGTTCAAAAAGAAGCTTGTATTTCCAGGAAAAACAATTGGATAAATCTAATCTTTAATCAGGTCTTCCGAGTTCCACTTCCTATTGTTATGGGCTTCCTCCCCACCCATCTACAGCACCTTCTGTTTCTATAGGAAAAAAAACGACACAAGCTTTCCATGCTCACATCAGCCTCATCTAAAATGCCAGAGCAGAAGACGACAGAGGCAATGGAAGGGAATCATGAGACCATCAGAATACATTAGATTACTAAAAGCTTTCATCAAATATATGCAGCGTGATTAAATGATGGCGTGCTATTGAAAGTGCACGTGTCTTTTGTTGTGTCATTGGGTTCAAGAAACTTATCGACAGTGCTGATAGTAGGCTATAAACTACTATGGTTCTTATCAAAATCATTACCAAAGCCATGGCAGAGTTGGTGGGAAAATCACAGTATGCCTGCGCCTTGGGAAGAAAAAGGTTAGAAACTCCATGTTTACCATATGTGGGAACGGAAGCCAGTGATGTGCCAGCTGAGCGATGGACAGGCTGCTTTGATGCTGTAGAATTGCTGAAAAAGTGAAGAAAATATGATCTTTTTATACTGTCACTCCCAATAAGGGGGAATGGTTTCTAACGACATCAAAGGACAGACACACACACACACAAACACACACATACAGTGGACACAGTGTGTGTATATCTGTTTGTATGGCATTTTCCTGCAGATTTACTGTGCAGTGCATCTGTTTGCAGCTGCTGGTTTCTGGACAGAGGTGAGACAAATAATCACACAGCTAAAAAGCACATGCAGATGATACTGTGTGACTCATCCTTGAATCTAAAATGTGGTTTAGTTATGAAGTTTAGAGCTTAAATTATCTTTAAAGCCGTGAAACTCCGTTCATGATCTCAATCATGAGTTTAGTGGTTTCTGGGTTAAGAATTAATCCAAAACCCAAATCTTCCTGCCTGACTTCCTCCAAACTCATTTGCATATTTCCAGACAATGTTGTGCTGTATTCTAGGGTTTGCAGCTGGATATCCAGAGATAAACAATGTGTGAGTAACAGGAAACTGCTAAAATAAACTAAAATAAATTAGACTGTTTCTTGCTGCTGTAAGTTTTAATTGCATGTGTCCTTAGCAACAAACTCTTTAAAAAAAAAAAAAAAAAAGGCCCTGATCCCATCTAAGAAGAAAAGGTCAAAACCCATGAGCTCAACTTAGCAAACAACAGCGAGAACCCACCAAGAATGCATCACACACATGGTGAGAAATGTGGAATGCTGTCTGGTGTTTGAAGTAGCAAATACTGTACTTGAGCTTGTTAAAGTTCACCAGTTTCCAAACAGAGTGTCGAGGGCAGAGAGTCATCTGATCAACTAACAGGTACCCTGCAAAGTGTTATTACTCGGTCCAATCACAGTGCTCGGTTGCTTAAAACTGCAGAGAGCAATGGGCGGTTATATTCCCAGTTCATGAAGCAATATCACAGTAGATGAGGAGGCGGGGGTGTTGTGCTCAGTGGAGGTCTGTTATGTGGTAGCTGACCCTGGCTTTTCTGTTAACCTGCCCTGCATGTCTCTCTTTAATAACTGCTAAATGTCTCCATCCACTTTGTACAAAACATTATTTAAAAGCAAAAAGTTCATAGTCAGTACTGAGAGCCCTGAATCTAATTTATACTGCCTTATTGGTATGTGTAAGAAAATCTGTACACTTTGAGAACAATGCTACATTTAAGTGAAATCTAAGTTTGTTTGTTTTATCATTGATCACTGTCATGTTATCTATTACACTATAATGCAGGAGAAAGCCCTTTTAGTCAGTCTCCTAGTGGAATCTATTGTAAAAACCTGCATCTTGAATCATAAAAATGTGGTTAAAAAGTCAGTATAAATGTCATTATAAGCTGCTGAATATCATTTAGAGTAATCATATTCCATATCGCCTTCTTAAATACTTCTGTCACTGACCTGTAGTTTGCGGTTCCAGTCTTTGGAGCAGTTACTGGATCCCTGCCACTGGCCTCCTGCAAGCAGAGTGAGCATTAAACACAGTCTTCTGTATCTCACAGCTTGGAGGAAATCTCACAACAACTCAGACAAAGTCGAGGTGCTGACCACTCCCAAAGGAGCAAAAACTCCCCTGGGTCCTATCCTCCCCGGCCTACAAACAGCACCACTCATGATCTGTCTGGGCTGACTGTGATTTCAGTCAGATTACAGCCTATGAAGCTGATTTAATCACACCAGAATCAGGAATAGCATGAGAATCAACAACATTTTTTGGCAGGGTTTCATCCAAGTCGCTCTCTCAGACAAGCACTGTGGGATTGCAAAGGGAAGTTCTGAAGGATATTATCAAAAAAATATGATTTAAAGAAAACTTTTTAGAATTTAAAAGTTCTTCATTTTTTGGCAGCCAGAGCTACATTTGCTGAGGTGGGTGCGGGGAACTGGCAGGCAGGTGATTAACATAGCAGATCAATCCGAGTGCAAGGCAGGCAGGTGATTTCAAGGCTGTCATCCAGGTCACAGAGGAAAACAAAAAAAACAAAACATACTTGGTCAAAGCTAGCAAGCAGAGGGATCTCACTGAGGCTCACAGCCTTCACACGAGTGTGTGTGTGTGTGGGGGGGGGGCTAAGGGTGAGGGTGGGATTCTGCTAGATTGGATGGGGAGGAGGGATGCTGCAGCAGAGAGAGTCAGGAGGGGGCCTCAGTACCTCACCCCGGCCTCGACGCTGCCTCTTCTGGGAAAGTCTCCTCTCCAGGCCCTGGATCTCCGAGTCCAGCTCAGCCTCAAATCGACTCAGCTCAGAGACCAGACTGGCCTGAGCCCGAGCAGTGATGGAGTTGGAAGGGCAAAATTAAAACAACAACACACAGTCGGATTTTTGGGACCTAATGGTGTCCCATTTCATAGTGGTTCAAAAAGAATAAAATCTAAAGTGGTAAAGTGAATGCAGAAAGTCAGAAATTAAAGTTGTGTCAAAGGTGCTCACCTCAACTGAAGGTGACTTTGGTTTCTCCGGCTGTTTCCTCGGGGATAGATAAGTCTAAGAACAGAAAAAATATTGTTATTCAACTTGTTACTGAACTAAACTAAACTGATCATGTTCATGAACTTTTGCAACCCAAGGCTGGATTACCAACCAGGCACAGCGGGTAGTTGTCCTGGGGCCACAGAACTCCAGGAACCCATATGTACTGATTATATATAATTCAAATGAATTAAGGAATTTTCACCAATATCAGCTACTTTCTATTGGGCCTTATTTAAAGTTGCACCTCAGGCTCTATAGAGGGTCACAAGTGCTTACTTATGATCCGCTCTCATGGTCCATATTAATAAATATTAATACATAAAGTTGTGTTTCTTATGATATTTTGGTCTGGGGAAATAATGATGCTGCTATGATGTGTAATAGGGCCCACAACTAATTTTTGTGCTGTGGTCCCCTCACAGTTTAATCCATTCTGCAACCATTTCAGCAACAATTCCCTTCAGAAAAAATGTGTGAACAACAGTTAAGAAGGATTTAGACACAGGCTGGATGTCAAGATGCCAACAGCAGTATAAGGAAACATCAATAGTTTAGAGAGCTTGATTTAACTAGCCAGCCAATACTGCTTTCAGCCTCTCTTTACAAAAACTGAACATGACTGCAAGCAGCTGATTCTACCAAGCATTACTTTAAAAGGCTGTGCTGGCGAGAACCACAGAGCCACTGCTCAATTTTCTGATTTTTCTTTTTTTGCAAAACCTTGGCTGAATGTGTTTCTCTGAACGCCAAGAACTTCCTCTCAGTTGGAAGTCATACTCACTACAATCACAGACTATAATGTCACTGTGAAACAGCACAACACCTGATATGGTCTGTACACTGGTTTTCTAAACGTTGTCGAGGGGATAGAACATTGGACACTGTCATAGAGAGGAAATGAATTAAGTCTCCATGCTGTGAGCCATTATACACCACAAGAGGTTAACACCATAATACGGATCACAAGACACCTCGGCTCCCGTGGGGGAGTGGAAACAAAGATTCCTTTTCTTCACAAGCGCAGACACAAGGCACAATATGCACCAGATCTGGGACAATGTTGCAAGAGCCATTCAAAACACTGTAGGGACGCCGCTCTGGAACTCACCAGGGGTGTTTAAACACACAGACACATACAAACAGCTGCACACTCAATTACAGCAGGACAATGAATTACAACCCAAGCGTTAAATAAATAATGTATGAGTCAAAGTGTCAACTTCAGCAGCTTGAAAATCAAACTTTCACTAAAATACCTGATAGAAACACTAATGAAAATACTTAGATCATGTCTTTTCTTGCCTGAAAAAGCTTAATGAATGAAAGAATAAAGGGAGGAGTGAGCACCTGTGGTGGTGAGCACACTCACAAGTTACTAGACACCTTGCGTGAGGAGATGAAATACGATGACTTAGACTATAATCCTTAAAGAAAAGGTGCCCATCCTCAAACCTGTTCTCGAGCTGCACACTGGGAGAGCACAAGGACTACACAAAGAATCCCTGTGATTAGAGCCAGCAACAATGCAGAACAAATCTACATAATCATGCAGAAGCATTTTTTTTCTTCTGCTGGAATCAGAGTGATACCAGATCTTATTTTTAAGCCATGACTGTGTGTGAGGTCGTACCTGGCTGTGGCTCTCTGAAGTGGTGCTCTTCCCGGGCTCAAAGTCGTATATGCTCTTCGGTTGAGGGTGCTGCTTTCCTGGGTCTGACAGCTTATCTACATCCTCCGTCCTGAAACATAACACCACAATACACACACACACACACACACACACACACACCATGGACAGCAACTTAATCACGGCTTCATTGTGAGTGCCTGTAGAAACAAATCCAAACTTGTCTCTCCCACACGTTTTCCCTCCACTGCTCTTGGCCTGAGTTTTGGTTGGTATTCAGTTAAAGACGTCACCTGCAGATGTTATCTGATGTGAAGAATAAATGCATATTGGTGCATATTCTACTATGAGCAGGTGAAAGAAATTCAGAGTGTCATTATCTGGAGGTACTGAGCGGTTACCAGCAGGTATGGCAGGAAGTTAACCGGGTAAAGCCAGACTGACTGTTTTCTACCTGTTTACAGTCTTTGTGCTAAGCTAAGCTAACCAGCTGCTGGTTGTAGCTACACATTTATCAATCTTCTCATCTACTATATTTCTTGGCAAAAAAGCAAATAAGCATATTTCTCAAACTGTCTGTAGCTTTAAGTTTGACTCCTGTCTCTGGGATGTCTTGTGTCACATTATGGGCCTCTAGGTTTCATTTTCTTACCACAGTTAAAAAAAGATGCAGCTCAGATTGATTCCAGACTTTAACAAACTGCCCAAAGGTGTGAAAGTAAGGGATTCTCGCTGACTGTATGTGCCATGTGATGCACTGGCAATTTGCCTGTCTCCCTTTCCAGTGCATGCTGGGATATGCTCAGCCAACCTCGTGACCCTGAAGCAGTTAAATCAAATTAATGTAAACTCACCAGTCTGGTAGCGCTCCATACGGTGTCAGTCTGAAGGGATCCTTGTCTCTGTCATTACTTTCTTCTGTGTTGGCAGATAACTGGAGCCCTACACAGTTGATCAGAGTAGGTCAGTCTTAACTATAAATTAATTATGTAACTATGGACGGGACAACAATGTAGACTTTGGTTGATTCACTTACGTTCGGCTGACCACCGCTCTGAATCCTCCAGCTCAGTTTCTGCTTAAAAAAAAAAAAGTACAACAGAGACACTTTTTTTAGACATATAAAAGTGGAGTACTTTAATTAGATAAATCAATCAAAATATCATATTCATACGTTTCTGTTTCATAATTGAATACTTCCTTACAATATGGCTGGATTTGTCGCATATTGTGACCATACTCACTCTTATAATACAAGTGCAGGAAGGAATATTTTAGATCCTTTACTTACGTCAAAGTAGCAAATACAGACTGTTGTATATTATCTGTATGTTATATATAATATGTATTGCTGAAATATTTAAGTGTAAGCAGCCTTCTGATGTTGTAGTTTGTCAATGTGAAGCCACTTTGAACTACCTTAGACTATTTTAGAGGAAAAAAGTTTCCCACAGCAATCCTGTCCTCAGATCAACAGTAGCGTCTCAATAAGTTGTATGTGCCCATGATAAGTGCAGCAGTGCTTCTCAGCACTTAGAAATCTAAAATTGTTTAAGAAGGCAAATCACAGAGGCAGAGAGTTGAAAACATTTCTCTTTAACAGAGCTGATCCAGAGTAATCCACTAAAACCACTTCTGTGCTGCGATGGTGCCATAAACCATACAAATAACAGGGAATGTGTCTCTATTACGCAACACGTAATAGAGACAAATGGAGAGCTAGATGTGGGAGGGGCTGAGATAAGAAGCGGGATTATTGTCAGAGCTAATAAAACGAAATGACGTAAGACTTAGGGCTCTTTCATCATGTCTCATTCTGCCTCTGCAATAATCTGTTTGTTGGATCACCTCAGTAGTACCTGACACTGACAGAGAGGAATTCACTCTGGACATGTGTGTGTGAGAAGAGGAGGAGGAGGAGGAGGAGGAGGAGAAAGAAGAGGAGGAGGAGGAACGTCTTTACCCTCTGGCTTCTTGTGAATCTGTCTGAACATGCTCTTGTACCAGTCTCTGGGCTTGTTCACACTCTGGTATAGGAAGAGAGGGGAGGTGCACAAAGTAAACAAACCTGGCGAATAAGGCTTTGAGAAATGCAACACATTGGATATGGCAAAAAAAAAGAATTAATCAAGCTTATGTGTGATTAGGCAGTGCTTTTTTTTGTCTTACAGATCTGGAGGCAATGGGCATCCCAGTTTCATCCACTGGACCGATTCCAGAGAATTTGATGAGCCTCTCCTCCCTGGTGGGAGTCCAGCTTCGTGGTAAAGTGGCAGAGCCATTGGACAGTCCACCTAAGTCACAACAATGTAATTTTAGTAATTATGTTGTTCCATTTTATTATCGATTTCAGTTGATTTCAGGTAAAGTAGCCAACCGTTAATCGGAATTTAGACTCTTCAACATCACATCTAACCCGGAAGTCCAAGCTATTTTGTATGTTGTCCACAGAACATGTAGCCTTTTCAAGCTATTGTTTCCATCCAAACATTCACATAAAAACATTAAATGCAATACTACACTCCTATGATGCTCAATGTCCTCTCACTCTTAAATACAATAAAATAATCCTAAATATTTATAGCCTGAAAACATATTTTTAGTTGTCCAGCACTGCTGTGATGCACGGATTTAAAAATTCTTACCGTATGATTGTGAGGGGCCGTAGTACGATCCAAAGCTGAGAGCTGTCGGGCCACTTCCATTCACCTCTGAAACCTTGAGAAAGGCAGAATGATGTAATAATTTCGATAATATCTCAGTGTAATGTAACTGACAGCTACAATAATGATGATTTCAAAACATAACATGTGCTTGGCTGGATGTATAGTATGTGATGCTTAATATTTCCACAGGGAGGAGCACTTGTTTGCTGAATTCCATGTGCTCACCCTCAGCATTGTTATTAACACAGCCTCCATGACATTTATGTGCATACCTTGAACTCTCCAGATGGCAGCTTTGAAGAGTGAAAAGGACTCAGAGGAGGAGTAGGGAGTCCAGGGGAGATGACCACCTCATGGATCATCTCTGGAGACGTTAGTATCTTCTGCCCTGAATAAACTCCAGGCTCCCCGGAAAAGATAATCCGGGAGCCATGTGGATTGCCAACCACTTCTGCAAGTTGCTAAACATAGAGGAAATGAGAAATATGGATGAACAAAAACAATGCGTGAACTTTGCTCCTGTCATGTCCTCCTGCTGGCCCTGAGTAAACACCGCTCTCTATTGGGAGGTCATGTGAACTTGTTAGCAGCCCAGCTATTCTCCAGAGAATAACTGAGCTCTGTGGGGGAGCCTCTGATGAAAAGGCCCCTAATTTATTTAAAGCGGGACCAGTGGGAAGTGTTGTTCCACCCTCTTCATCATCTCTCTTGCCACAACTGCAGAAAGGCCTCATTCAAGGTGCAGAGTGGGGGCACTGAAACAGGAGAGGACCATTATGGGCCCATTAACTTCCTATTCACCAGGCCTCCCTATTCTCCAGCCAGAGGGCGGAGCTGAGGCCAGTGAGATTGGGAAAGGGTCGTTGATGTCAACCTCAAAGACCAGCAGGGTTAGCAGTAGTCTTGTGGTCTCCATAGTGATCTTTTTACCCCACCTCCCGCTCATGATGACCAGTCTAGTTCTTCTATTGGAACGCTGTGTATTGCAATCAGGTGCTTTGACCACTCTGTGTGGTTGCCGGGGGTCATGGGGGTCATGGGAAAGCCCCCCCGTGTCTCTCATCTACAGTGGCTAACGCTAGAACTGTTATCTGTACCAAAGGCGTGTTGCTGTGACACTGGCCTGGACTGACTTGTGTGACACTCATGAGTGTTCCTCCTGGAGTTAAATGTGCTCATTCAAGACAATGGCATTCGTTCAACAGTTGAAAATGTTGATATTTAGCATAAGTAAAAACAGCTTTACCTGAGACTGCATGTGATCTGTTTTGGTCCTTGTGTGACGGATGTCAAATTCTTTTGCCCAGCATCAAAGGTTTCTGCAAAGACATACAAAATGCAAAAATTTTAATATGAAATTACACTTTTTTCTTTTTCATTGAAATATTTATAATGACAGAGTAACATTAGACTGAGAGTAATATTTTATGTGTGTTTTGGTCAAGTTTTTGTGTGTTGGCTTCTATTTGATAAAAGACTCTCAGTTTATTGCTCTGCTTTGAGGATAAATTGTTGGAGATATCCCAGGGAAATTTTAGGTTACCCACCATCAGAAGCATTAAAGCCCCTGAAACCTTTGTTTTAACTCTAACTTTGAGTGTGTCTATATGAAATCAAATATTTATGACTAAATCAACAAAAAGTTGCGATAACTAAAACTGTTCTAACTCAGGCAGAAAACTGAATGTAATTCAGGACTGTTTTGCTCCAACTACAGCTGACTGAGAAAATGTAGATATTTTAAGTTGGAGATATCAAATGTGAGAAGAACTGAAAGATCTGAAGATTGTATCTCTTCGGTTTTTATTCAGTATCTTGTCCCTTTTAACCCTTCGATTCATTAGCTGTGTGGGGTTCCACAAAGCCACTCTGTAATAAATCACATTTTACTTCCAGGCAGACCTGACAGCTGTTCCATTATCCCATCCCACTACTATTCCAAAGAGGGAAAGTTAGCGTCACCCGCTTTTTCCCTGTTACTGTGGAAAAAACCACCCAAAACAATGAGTGTGACTCACATGACTGCCTCATTCTTCCCACTCACACAGTGTTGTACTAAGCTGGACTTGAGGGGTCTGGATGACGGAGGAGGTCAGCTACTGAAGGTGGAGACCAGCTCCTAATCGATTGCACCTCAGAAAAACAGATCAGGCCTGCTGTTTCAACATCAAAGGCATGAGGAGAATGAGGGGGAGGCCGTTTCCGCTCCTCTATGAAACAGGCACCTCTAAACTACAGTGGCTGAATGAGCCATAATAACAGAGTAGGCCAAGAAACCAAGACCCGCATACAGCCCTACATCCCTGCAACCCTGGCCTCTGCAGAAGCAAGTTGTTAAGTGATTCTCAGTCTTGTGCAGTCGGACAGAAGAAGAAATCATCAGACACAGTAACTGTTGAAGCAAACATTAGCTTTAATATAAGGATTAGGCTATTATTTATGTTCTGGTGCAAACTATGACTTTGTAGCTTGGCAAGAAAGTAATAACCAAGAGTGGGCCATACAGACTGAGAGCTGCCCAACGCACTGGTCCCAAGTCACTGATGAGTTTTCCATGTGGCATTTGCAGCTGAGCAGTGGAGTGTATAATCACTGTGGTGAAGACCTTAAGCTATACACACTCAGTGTCTCTGTGCGCAAGGTTAGGAGACAGCACAGAGCCCATATAGTGATAGAAGCAATGTTCCAGTTTCCAGACAACGATGTCACTTGATTCTGAGTCATCATCTCCCAGTAAACACTGTTACATAACAGGAGAAATATGGGAACTGGAGGATTGTGTCTACAACAATACCATTACAACTCAGGCATGACAAATGACCTATCATCGCCTAAAGCAGCCACAGACAGCTGATTATCCATCTAACAATAGGCAACACTGCAAACAAGCAGCATTTACAAATAATGGTGTTTGCTGTTTTCACTCCAGATCTCCCCTGAGCAGGCTGCCGCTCAGCGTAAAGGCCCCAATCACACTGATGAACAAATGACTGGGTGAGGGATTCATTAGCATTTTTGAGAAGTACTATTTCCAGACATGCCTGTTTGATTCAAGAAACAAAACATTGTTTTTTCACTTCTACATTGCTGCCATTCAAGCATCAACAACATTTCACAATGGGTGTGGTTACATGAAGAATATGAACACATTTATGAATAAGATGTAGAATTAAAGGGACACTCGCACTGATTTTCTGTTGCACTTCCATAAAGTTCATAAAGAGATTGAAGCAGCAGTGGCTGAGATAACCTGACTTAATCTCTAATATGGGACAAACTCCAAAAACACAGAATCCTACATTTCCCATAACTCAATAGCATATTTCATTATACCCTCCCTGCCTCCTAAATGTCTTTCAAACTCAACACATACAGTTTATAACACATTATTATTTCTGTGTAGGACTGAATCCCCATGTAAATAAACTGATAAAAGTCTTTCATTATATTTTTAGAGCTGGAACTCCCTCCACTCAGAGGCCTAAAAGCTGAAACCCCCTTCGTCATCGACGTAGCATCCGGATGAGTAAGCTCATGTCATAACAGTGTCTCTGTGTCTCATTTCTCTGGGGAGCAAAAATCCAACAGAGAAATACCCCAGCACATTCCCTCATCCAGAGCAGCAAACACAATCCTGCCTAATAAGGAAAAATCAGTGTTGATATCTAGCAAGAAAATCCCTGTCCAGAAGTCTGGCTCTCCCTGGGTTTGCTCTGAACGCCCAGTGCATTCTTACGTAATTACTGAGATTCAACAGCGGAGGAAGCTATAAGCTTTCACATGGAGACTAGGTCTTAGAATTGGAGCACCTTGATGCTATCACTATCACAAAGAAACTAAAAAGTATTTACAAGTCAAACCCCTGCTAGGTGAGAGGTCCATTATCACCGCTGGATCAGTTATGTGATGGAAGGAAAACAGAGCCATAAAAGGCCCATGTGCATCTCAGATGAAGATGAGATGATGTCCTGCTTCAGACAAGCCTTCACAACACCAGCTGTTTAGACATCCAGCTCATTGAAATCACATTGTTTCTTATGTAGCATCTTACTCTTGCTTTACATTTAGTTCAGCGCAGGGTAACCGATGACTTGCAAAATGAGAATCAAGGGATTTTGGTGTGGAAATCTTTGCCTCTGTTCCCAGGAAAGTCATCCGGTCTCTTGAAGCACTTGACCAGATGTTAAACTCTGTAAATGAATCCTAGGAACAGAAGTCTGTACAGCTGAATCAGCTATATAAAATTAAACATTTGTGCTGTGACATTGTTCTAAAAATGAAAGTTACTTTCAGCATGAGGATTTCTTTTCTTCTCCTTTTTTTTTTATCTGAAAGGAGTGGATGAGGAACCGGACAATTATTTGAAGTTGTTGAGCCAGAGCAGACCTACTCAGCGGCTACAAGGTCGTTGAACTTCACCACACCCCTGTGATTCCTGAGAATCACAATGGGAGGTTTCAACAGCTGGGAACAGCCGCGCAAGAGAAATGTAATAGTAACACTTTTGCAAAAAAAGACTTAAAAATGTGTGGATACAGTTGACAATACAGTCGCCATATAGTTGTCATTCAGCACTACAGCAGGATCAACTTAAATACAGAGCACTTGCTATGAGGTCAACATCTTTCAACACTCATTAGTCATCACATTTGTCTTTCTTCCATAGAAGGATGAGACTAGGTCTTTCTGAGAAGACCCTGACCTATGATGACCTCCTTCTCCACCACATGCAGAGCTTCTCACATTGTTCTCGCTAAGAACAAGGCTGTCAAGGTGACCACGCATACCCTAATGAATAACTGTCACAGCGTTGACACATATAACCTCTGAGATCTGTTGGTCAGGAAACGAATGATTTGTGGTCAGAGGGAGAATCGATAAATAAATCCATAAATCATCTGTGCAAAGAAGTGTTGGTATAATGAGCAGGGACAATGGTCTTTAAATAAAACAAATAAAAGTGTCACTTATGAATTGATCTCCATTCATTAGCACAAGTGTTATCCTCTGCTTCCATGTGTAGAGTGGTGAGTGGAAATGCGGAGTTAATCATTGACTTCATAAGGTGGGAACTGCTGCACACAGTCCAATGAACGGATCAAAGTCATTTACATGAATGAAAGCAGGCAAAAATATTAGCTCAATATTTGCTTAAGGTGGTCATTTTGTTTGGCTGACCATTGACCTGCATTACATATGAGATTAAACACTCTTAGACAATCTTGGAAAAGTATAAACAGACTCTGATCTTTTAATGAAGCAGTTAGTTCCTCGATGTTAACAACGTGACGGACAGAAGGGTAAAGTCTTATCACCCGTTTGCACGAACACAAAGTTACTGCTGGTCAACAAGTTACATAACAAGGTAAAAAAAAAAAAAAAGCAGAAGAAAATTTGCCTTAAAATGTGATGAAAGGTAATTACAAGCACTTTTGGTGAATAAATAAAACGGGCATTTATTTCTAAACACATTCAGTGAGTCATTCTGCAGTTATGTGAAAGATGTTAGAGGTCCTGTGAGGTTGATAGCACAACCACACTTGCCCTTCTGCAGCAGATGTGCAGATGCAGCCCATACAAGGTCCTGGAGCTGCAAGTTTATGATATGCAGTTATTGGGGGATACACACATTTATCAGGAGAGAAGTATTTCACCTCCTTGTATGGTGCTTCTCCTGTCTGAACAACAGGAGGAGTCAGACTGTGTGCTTCTTGTCAATGGAGAGGCAATGTGTTCCCAGGAAGAGCTGCACGGCAGTAAATCACAGCCTCTTTCTCTCTGAGAAGCAACACTGAACTGAAGTACTGTGCTGTACTGTTTATCAGATTTGCTCTTAAAACAAACAGATATTAATCATTCAAGATACTTCCTTATTCATGTGGGTGTGTAAAAGTAAAACCTGTCAGACAAAGCATGAGAAAATACACACTTGAAACACAGTAACTGGTGAAAAATGTCACAAATCCTCATGCCTGTCATTCTGCATCTTCAAAGCTGAGTGCAGCCTGTGGATATGAGCGCTGGCAGCTAGACCCCTCAGTAATATCACAAAGGGAATCAGGGCTGGCTGTGGAAATCACCCTGACAGTAAGGGGAGCCTCCGGTGATGCCTGGACAGTCCCGGGGCCATTAGACTTGATATCTGCAATAAGGGCTGGCATGTTGGGAAACACTGCCCACAGTGCCCTCTCTCCGTGCTCCAGCTGTAACTCACAGCTGCTCTCCCACAGGTCCGTCTCTACACCAAAACCCCACAGATCACATGGGTCAACTTGTTTTCAGGTGTATTGCAAAAGCATGCCCTCTTTTTTCTTTAAAGACACTGCGCTCCTGACTTAGTCTGCAGCACTAATCCTGTGGAGCAGCGTGTAAGCCCTGAGCAGTCAGCATCAACCTGGGAGGTGACAGGTTACTCAGACCTTAACAAAAACACTATTGCAAAACAGCCGACCACATAAGCTTCTATACAATCACAATGTTTACGATCACTCCCTCTGACTTAAACCTGTGTTCCCATGGGAAAGAGTGCACTCACCTTCAAATTGGCACCACAGCACCTCTCTCTCTGCCCTGCATGTAAACCACGCTGCCGACCTGCCCTGCTCCCTCTCCCTCTCACTCATGAAACTAGCCAGGACACACAAACTCTCTCTCTCTCTCTCTCTCTCTCTCTCTCTCTCTCTCCCCCTCTCTCTCTCCCAGCCCTCGCTCTGCCTGCCTCCGTGCAGAGGACTTCCCGGTTGACAGGCATCGCCATAGCAACCAACTTCAGCCCCCGTTCAAAAGCCACCCTGCTCTTGGCTTGTCGGCCCGGGGCACCTCCTTCAGTGAGGCCTATTGTTGCGATACGGTGATATTTCACAGCACAGGGTTAACCAAAGGGGAATTCAAATAGTTCATCACCTTCACCTCCTAGACACTGACCAGTGACTGCATGGCACCCCCTCCTAACTTTATCTCTGCCATGCCTCCCTCTCCTTTTGTGTGTGTGTGTGTGTGTGTGTGTGTGTGTGTGTGTGTGTGTGTGTGTGTGTGTGTGTGTGTGCAAAGGCCAGGTCTCTGCCTAGCTGAAGGCATAAAGGGAGAATAGGAGCTCTTTCTGTTCCAGTGGCCTTGGAAGCATTTCAGAGTCATTACTCCGCAACATACAGTCAACCACTGACAGCACAAAGTCCTGCTGACTTTCTCCCATGATAACACACACACACACACACACACACACACACACACACACACACACACACACACACACACACACACACACACACACACACACACACACACACACTCACACATGCACACCAGCAACACTGTTGGCTGAAGGAAATAACAAGCGACTCAAACATGTTTAACACTTTTAACAGCAAATTATTCAAAGTAGGAGATGCAGTATGTGCACTGATAAGTCAGTCAAATTCCGGTAGGATGGTTGGTCAAAGCGCAGAGCCAAAAACTTTCAAGAAGGAATTAAGCACATTCTCAAATCCCAACTGTTGCTCTCGCATAAAGAACTTGCCCAAATAAAACCAGGATTTCCAGTTTGTCTGCGCTTCTTGCCAATGAAGGCAAACACTGCAAAACCTGAAATCTAACCTGCTGACAGACTTGTTTTGGCACCGAGTGTGCAGCAGGTAGACTCTGTTACAAGGTCCACTTTGCAGGTGAGTGATTCAGTCACCTGCTAACGAATGCAATCGGCTTATGCATTTAGGGTTCTAGCAATAAACTAAAGACAGGGCAAAGAATAACATGTAACAGGGTCTAGTCAGTGGTTTATCCATTTGTTTAAAAGTGTGTGCGTGAGTGCGTTTGTGTGTGTATGTGCGTCCGATCCAACTTGAAATTGAAGGACTCAGCTCTTTTTAATAATTCAGTGGTCTGGCTTGGTGGAGCAGGGCAGATATCCATTTACTGCGCCTGTTCTTTTCACAGGATTGTTTTTGCCAAACGGTTGAGCCTGGAACCTGGAGGGCAGGCCGGGCAGTGCAGGCTTCAGGAGGAGGCTCCCTTCGTAATCTGTGTCCTGCTGGAGCAGACTTTCACCCCGCTGTGACCACATCTGACACCCTGTCACTCTGCAGCGAAATGAGGTAATCACGCAAGAGGCGATTGCAGCTTTGGCCTGGGACTCGACACCTCTCCCACACTGGATCCTTGTTCACTTTGTCTTTTCACTGAACAAACACAGGGCTTCACCCCTTCCCATTCTAACACAGAGAAACACAGTGAGGACAGGAGGGAAGAGGCATGGTGTTTTTACCTCAGTGCTGCTGAGATGGATGGATTCCAGCTCAGCTTTACGATGCTGTAAAGGCCAACCACTGTCCTTTCACACTGAGTGGTATGTTACTACAGAAGCTCATTAAAAAGCCTGAGAGCCACAGATTCCAGCGAGTGACATAAATATGTTATGTAATATAAAACTATATCACTTAATGACTATAGCCCTGGGCTTATAAAAAAAAAAAAAACACCAAAAAAACCAGCAGCTCTCTCAAGAGACAGCAAGTCTCAAGCAAGAGTAAAACTCACTAGATAAAACTCATCAAATAGGAAGATCTGAGGAGATATGAGTCAACAAGTTGAAATAACAAACATCACCACAGAGGACCAGATAAGATGCACTGGACGTCATACAATACTGGCATGTGTCACTTCTACCACAGGTTGAGCTCTGAGGTCGGGTTCGTGGAATGTCTCTGAGAATAAACACAAAAGCATCAGGGTTTATTTTAGCGGTAAACAACATTTTTTTCTGAGCTGTGCACATCCCAGGACTCTGATTTACACTGTTGGCCGACGAGGACAAACATCGTTGGTAAACTCTTAAATCCTCATGGGATCTGCTGCTCTTAGGATGCTTCTGCTGAGACGTTTGGTTTGAGTTAAAATTAAAAAAAAAAAAGATTAATGAGTACATTTATAACAGGAAAATATTCACACACTGAAATGTTTCAGACCAAAACAACAACTGAAGCCACAAGAGGAATCTTTGGGAGAGATATGATGATAACCATCCTCTGAACCACACAATAAAAGATATGGCATCTACTGGATGGAAGTACAGTCCTCCTCATATCTGCCCTTTTACATAAACCTGCTCAACTGTTGCTCAACAACATTCTGAGAAGAAAGAAACTGCCACCACTATGACAGATCAAAGATAAACAGCCCCAACATGCTTGTCACAGTGGTTTCTAGTGAGAAAAAAATCCAGTGATGAAGCATAGCAACAACAACATGATGCTGAAATCTGTGTCCCAAATAAAAATGTAACTCAAAGCTACCAGATCAAAACTAGAAAGTCAGTCAAATGACAAACACAGAGGCTGGGAAAACTTCTTTTAAACTCTAAATCTGTATTTTCTTGTGAGACAAACCCTCGCTCTAGTCATGGTTTGAAGTGGCAGCACAAGTCGTACAGTACTTACAGGGCTGAGCTGAGCAGTGAGGTCTCCTCAGTGCAGAGGGAGAGAGGAAGTGAATGAAAAAGAAGGAGGGAACCACTGCTGCTCTTCTTTCTCTCTCCCTCTCTCTCCCTCCCTTTTTCTCTTTCTAAGGCCAACAGAGTGTCTTTTATCTTTGCTGAATGATTCAGCGTGGGTCCGAATGTTTGACTGAGTGTTCGTAGGCGTGTGTGCGGAGATGTGTGTCTTAATGTTTGTATGTCTGTGTGTGAGCACGCACTGTGGAGCTCATCGGGGAGCAGGCACTCAGTAATAGTTTCCATCCACAGCTGGAAACAATAGAGATTCCCAAACAGGCCCAGGCTCGGTGGCACCGCCCTCTAGTGTTTTAAAGCAATGGAAAAGGAGGAGATTTCCTTAGCCATGTCAATAACTAGGCCTGAGTGACACGCATATTATAATAGCACTGTCTAGTCACTGTCTTAGGTCTTTAGATAGTGTGTCTGTCACATTCATATCAAGTACAAGAGAGTCATTTCTATGAGATCCAGATGACTCAGTTGTCTTGCTCACCTGTCACCTGTAAATCCAGGACAGAATATTTCTCTACTTTCATACACACACACACATACACACACACATGAACACTCGAGAGTCTCAGAGAAGTCTCAGTATTTCCATGTTTAGTTCCAGCACCAGGCCCGACTTACTCACCCTACGTTAGAAAACCCCTGCAGCAGAGCCAAAAGGAGAAGTGCTACTGCTTTCCTTTTATAAATCCAGTGTCATCATGGACCCCCGAGAGGTTCATCCGCCAGTTCCCACTCCCATGTTTCCGTGTCCTGAGATATGAGTCTGCAGACGCATTCCTGCAGCCCGAGTCCAGACGCAGCTTTCTCAGCTCTGCCATCCAAGATAAATATTTAACAGGTTGGCTGCCTGCGAGATCAGAAACCAAAGGTCACAGCTCTCTCTTTTTCTCTGGAGTCCATCTTCACCTTGGACCCAGGAGATTTCACCCAACGGCTCCATGGTGACATCTTGAATTACTTTTAGATGAGAAACATGCAGCTAACAGATGCTGAAAGACATAGTTTGAATCATATTTTGCCTTCACTGATCTAAAAATGTATTTGTATTTGTAATTTTGTTTTGTGCGAAATTAGAAACTACTCTCTAGAACAAACTAGCATTTCTGAAAACCAGTGAACAAGATGCACTTTGCCAAAGTATTCTCTTCTTTCACAGACTTTGTTTTGTAATGGACATTGACATGATAAGCAGGACCACACTGCCTCTCAGTGGCTCTAAAAGAGAACTGTGTATAGTTTGTATTTTTGCGGATGCACAGACAGATGTCGCCAGAATCTCAAACATGCCACAGTCAGTCTTTAGAAATAGTGTCCAAGCACAAAATCTCATAAAACAGTTGGCAAATCAAATGAGGTTGATACAGACATTATCAACACATTTCATAATAAATATTACAATATTTACATATAGCAGTGCCAGGCATTGCTCTAGTAGGCAGAGAGCATAAATATTCAAGAAAGGAAATATATCATTTTATCAAAATAGATTAAATTATAAATGCATAACACCGTTGCCAATAATACACTTGAAAGCAAAGTGAAATTGGAGCATGTCTGTCTGTAAATCACGGACCACGCATGTGTGACCTCGCTGACACAGCAGCACACAAGAACACACAAACACACAGTTATATGACTGGAATGTATACACTGTACTTCATGAGGGTTATAAAGAAGAAAAACAACAATTGTTTTCCGGCAATGAATTCCTTCTTCACGGTCCAATCATATAGATCACATCTGCAAACCAATCAGCATGTGAAAGTCAAAACAACTGTAAGTTATAAAATGGTGTCACCTCAGTTTAAAGTGCAAAACAGTAAGTTGCTCTGGTCATGATGCTAGGGTTTCCGTGGCCACACAAGAGATGTGTTTGCTGCTTTCATGAAAGGCTTCTTTAACTTCAGCGCATTCAGCTCCACACTGAAGCAGCTGTCAACATCAAGTGAGAGGAGCGTCAGAGAGAAATCATATCATTTTGTCATATATTCAGATTATTATTGGGCTTAGGTTTCACATGTGAAATGTCAAGCTAGGGGCGTCGTGTGGCGTAGTGGTCTAAGCAGGCGCCCCATGTGTAGAGGCTACAGTCCTCCCTGCAGTTGGCCTCGGCTCGAGTCCTGCATCATCATTCCCCCTCTCTCTGCCTCCCCATTTCCTGTCTCTCTACTGTACTATCGAATAAAGGCATAAAAAAAGCCCAAAAAATACACTTAAAAAAAAAAAGAAATGTCAAGCTAATAAATGAGAGGGAAAAAAGCTTCTTCGATATACAGAAATGAACCTTGTCACCCAAAGGTGAAGTAAATAGAGCGTGCTCCCTCATAGATCTCTATCATGGCCCACAAAGGGCGGCGGAGGTCAAAACCTGTTATTAGTTCGATCTGTTTTTGTTTGTGACGTAGTGTAAACTCCTTGAATGCATGTTCTGGATATGCAAACCACAAGACTGACCTACTACAGAAGAGACAAGGCCTGTGTTCACATTTGGGTATTTCCTTTTCAGTCAGGAAGGTGAAATCTGCACAGTGTGTCAAACAGGAGGAGAGATCCAACATGTATGTTCTAAAACCCACATGTAGCAGACAAGCAAACATCTGGTAACATGTGGAAATCTTTCACTTTTGCAAAGAAAAGTAAGTGAAGAAGTGACAAAAAGCTTTTAATACTAATTTTTTGCACCATTAGCCACATTTGTTTTTCAAGGTCAAACTACAAACAAGTGCCTTTATAATGGTTTATCTTAAACAGATTAATGATTTTCTCTGCAGCCATGATAACATTTATTGAAAACAAGTCATAATGAAACTAGCTGGTGTTGTACTTTCACATTTGAAGAGTGCTGTGAAAACACTGCAACATTACTGTTGCAAATATAACAAAATATGTAAAGACTGTATTCATGTTAATATCAAATAATATAAAACTTCATTTTCAGACAAACTTTAATTTTACAAAATAAAGATTGATTAATGATTTACAACATTAATGAGGGAACATTTTAATGGACATATGACTGCTGCAAAGACTTGCAATTGTAAAGAAATCATAATGAAACCTAGCTGGTGTTGGACTTTCACATTTGCAGAGTGCTGTGAAAACACTGCAACATTACTGTCGCAAATATAGGAAAATATGTAAAGACTGAGCCGAACCTCCCCAACCACTGGGCTACACAAGAACACATTAATATCATCATAGTGCATTGTTTATCATAACATTCAGATTTACTATAGCTTAGGCCGCCCCAGAGACTCACCTGCCCCCAACTGATGGAGCTCTGATCTCATGTCGACACAGTGGGCAGGTTCCAAACTCCTGCAGGACTTTGGGGCTGCAGTGGTCACACAAACACCGGTGGCCACAAGGCAGAGTGATTCCTGCCTTTCTTCCCATGCACACCACACAGTATTCATCTACGATCAGAAGAGAGGAATCTTAATTACCAGACTGATAACTTCGACACAAACACGACGACACTCTCCTCCTCTGTGGTTCAAACTGTTTCAGAACACTGAAATCAGAGGGAATTTGTTTGGGAGGACTCTTTCTTACCTGCTGAGATGTTCTTGTCAAGACAGATGTTGGAGAGATCAGAGATCAAGTTGTTAAGGTTGTGTAATATCTATGAGGTGAAGCGTTCAGGTGCAGGACAGGATCTTCTAGTGCACATCAGCCTTTTTTTCTCTGAGCCTGCAGCAAAGGAATAAGAGAGGTTTTAATCATTTCATTTTTTTTTAACAGTCATTTGAACAAGCATCGGTGTTGTCAGTGCATGTGAACTGCCCTGCAAACAATATACCAACAAGAAAAAACAGGCTGTAACGTAAACAATGCATCATAGTATATATGAGATCAAAACTCGCCCAGGAGGAAAATGGAGCATGTCTGTGTGTGTGTTATCAGAGCACAGTGGCTGACTGAAGTCCACTCCCGTCAGTAGTTTGTGCCTCGTGCAGTTGTTGCTTTCAGTATATACCACCATATGAATTATTTTCTCTTTGATATTTAATGCTGAGAGTTGACATTGATCGTGATGCTAGGGTTTCCGTGGCCACACAAGGGATGTGTTTGCTGCTTTCATGAAAGGCTTCTTTAACTTCAGCGCATTCAGCTCCACACTGAAGCAGCTGTCAACATCAAGTGAGAGAGCGTCAGAGAGAAGTCATATCATTTTGTCATATATTCAGATTATTATTGGGCTTAGGTTCACATGTGAAAAAAGCTTCTTCGACATACAGGAAATGAACTGTGGACCCAATGGTGAAGTAAATAGAACGTGCTCCCTCATAGATCTCTATCATGTCCACAGCAGGCGGCGGAGGTCACTTTTGCAAAGAAAAAGTAAGTGAAGAAGTGACAAAAAGCTTTTAATACTAATTTTTTGCACCATTAGTTACATTTGGTTTTCCAAAAGGTCAAGCTACAAACACGTGCCTTTATAATGGTTTATCTTAAACAGATTAATGATTTGCTCTGCAGCCATGATAACATGCAATGTAAACAAGTCATAATGAAACTAGCTGGTGTTGTACTTTCACATTTGAAGAGTGCTGTGAAAACACTGCAACATTACTGTCACAAATATAACAAAATATGTAAAGATTGTATTCATGTTAATATGATAATCAAATAATATAAAACTTCATTTTCAGACAAACTTTAATTTTACAAAATAAAGATTGATTAATGATTTACAACATTAATGAGGGAACATTTTAATGGACATATGACTGCTGCAAAGACTTGCAATTGTAAAGAAATCATAATGAAACCTAGCTGGTGTTGGACTTTCACATTTGCAGAGTGCTGTGAAAACACTGCAACATTACTGTCGCAAATATAGGAAAATATGTAAAGACTGAGCCGAACCTCCCCAACCACTGGGCTACACAAGAACACATTAATATCATCATAGTGCATTGTTTATCATAACATTCAGATTTACTATAGCTTAGGCTGCCCCAGAGACTCACCTGCCCCCAACTGATGGAGCTCTGATCTCATGTCGACACAGTGGGCAGGTTCCAAACTCCTGCAGGACTTTGGGGCTGCAGTGGTCACACAAACACAGGTGGCCACAAGGCAGAGTGATTTCTGCCTTTCTTCCCATGCACACCACACAGTATTCATCTACGATCAGAAGAGAGGAATCTTAATTACCAGACTGATAACTTCAACACAAACACGACGACACTCTCCTCCTCTGTGGTTAAACATGTTCAGAACACTGAAATCAGAGGGAATTTGTTTGGGAGGACTCTTTCTTACCTGCTGAGATGTTCTTGTCAAGACAGATGTTGGAGAGATCAGAGATCAAGTTGTTGAGGTTGTGAATATCTATGAGGCGAGGCGTTCAGGTGCAGGACAGGATCTTCTAGTGCACATCAGCCCTTTTTTCTCTGAGCCTGCAGCAAAGAATAAGAGAGGTTTTAAATCATTTCATCTTTTTTTAACAGTCATTTGAACAAGCATCGGTGTTGTCAGTGCATGTGAACTGCCCTGCAAACAAATAAATACCAACAAGAAAAACAGGCTGTAACGTAAACAATGCATCATAGTTATATGTGTTGGGTCTGAGCTCTACCTCATGAGCTGGACACCAAATATGTTGGATTTCGGTTATCTATCAATTTATTGGCTATCATAAATTAAGGAAATATTAATATTAAAAATATTAATAGTAAATAATAACTTTAAAATTAATTAAAGTTCACGGGGCACCAGCCTAAACTAATAGGCAAAATAGCCAATATGGTTTTAGTCTCAATTTATTACCATTAATCTGAAACTCTGATTAACCATTAGCTTACTAACTATAACCAAATCACCATATCAACAGTAAGTTAAAGTTGAAGGATTGGAATTCTACCAAGTAGAGGTTGGCAATTTTCACGCTTGTGCAACATTAAACACACCAGTAGTTATACTTAAAGACATTTATTTACAATAGAGCAGAGTAAAAACACAATGTCTAATCTAGTATATACAGGTGTGTGCATGTGTGTATGTAGGTGTATGTGTGCGTGTCTGTGGGGACACAGACAAAGGCAAGATGGCCGATTCAAAGTGATCACTGTGACCACATGACCTGAACAAAGAAGACTACACAAGATGGCGGTAAACAAAGAAACTACTCAAAATGGCCGCTGAGACCACCTGGTGTGTGTGAGGGAAGGTGTGAGTTTCTTTGTTAGCCTAGGTCATGTAATCTAAAGGTACCAGGTTAGAGGGAGGAGGTTAGCTTCATGCAGGTTCTAGAACTGAGACGTACTAATATGTGTGTGAACATACGAGTACCCGATTAACTGTATTACTGACCACAACCTAAGCAAACATTACACCAACCAGACATCAATCAACAAGTACATTAACAAAGTTAAGACTTCTGCTGCTTAGCTATGCTGTGCTGTGCTGGGAAAGGTTAGGCCCAGTCAGTTAACGTTACCCAGTCCTTGGAACAAACAAAGAGGTCCTTTCCAGTGTTGTTGTAAAGTACAGTGAGTTGAGAGGCTTCCTGGTGGAGTAAAGTCCTGTCTGGCTGTGTTGCTTTGCTGTTATCTCCTTTGTTCTCCTCAAAGAGTTAGCTGTTCCACGCTAACTCTGCTATGACTCCTGTTGCTTGGAAAATCAGCTGGCTTAGTGTCGAAGCTGCTGATTCTGAAGAGAACTTGGTTTACTCTCAGTTAATCCGAAGCAGGTCGATGCAGTTGAGGAGAAGAGTGTTTGCAGGCTGCTGTGAGCAGGCCGGCGAGAGAGCTGGTTTCTCAGGTAGCAGGGCTGACCTGGGCTGGGGCCTTGTTGCCCTTTGAAGAGCCGAGAGGAGAGAGCAGGAGCTGCTCTCCAGAGCAAGCCGAGAAGAGAAGAGAGAAAGAAGAGGGCCAGAGATCTGGTTTTGTTTGGTGACATCCTTGGGGGTCACATGTCACACGCTGACCCACACTGGCTGGCCAGTAAGGTCCGTGGGGGGAAGAGTCGTCCCCAGGTGTGAACGGTGAGGAACTGTGGAGTGTGAGTTCCTTTGTCCAGTGGAGCAAAGAAACATCTGGTCTCTTGAATGATGAGTCCCAACATATGAGATCAAAACTCGCCCAGGAGGAAAATGGAGCATGTCTGTATGTCGATGTTTATCATGGCCCACAGTGGCTGACTGAAGTCCACTCCCGTTAGTAGTTTGTGCCTCGTGCAGTTGTTGCTTTCAGTATATACCACCATATGAATTATTTTCTCTTTGATATTTAATGCTGAGAGTTGACATTGATCGTGATGCTAGGGTTTCCGTGGCCACACAAGGGATGTGTTTGCTGCTTTCATGAAAGGCTTCTTTAACTTCAGCGCATTCAGCTCCACACTGAAGCAGCTGTCAACATCAAGTGAGAGGAGCGTCAGAGAGAAATCATATCATTTTGTCATATATTCAGATTATTATTGGGCTTAGGTTTCACATGTGAAAAAAGCTTCTTCGACATACAGGAAATGAACCCTGTGACCCAATGGTGAAGTAAATAGAACGTGCTCCCTCATAGATCTCTATCATGTCCCACAGCAGGCGGCGGAGGTCACTTTTGCAAAGAAAAGTAAGTGAAGAAGTGACAAAAAGCTTTTAATACTAATTTTTTGCACCATTAGTTACATTTGGTTTTCAAGGTCAAGCTACAAACACGTGCCTTTATAATGGTTTATCTTAAACAGATTAATGATTTGCTCTGCAGCCATGATAACATGCAATGTAAACAAGTCATAATGAAACTAGCTGGTGTTGTACTTTCACATTTGAAGAGTGCTGTGAAAACACTGCAACATTACTGTCGCAAATATAACAAAATATGTAAAGACTGTATTCATGTTAATATGATAATCAAATAATATAAAACTTTTTTTTCAGACAAACTTTAATTTTACAAAATAAAGATTGATTAATGATTTACAACATTAATGAGGGAACATTTTAATGGACATATGACTGCTGCAAAGACTTGCAATTGTAAAGAAATCATAATGAAACCTAGCTGGTGTTGGACTTTCACATTTGCAGAGTGCTGTGAAAACATGTAAAGACTGAGTTCATGTTAAATTATCAGATGAGAGTCTCTTTGATGAGTGACTAACTGCCATTTCAAGCTTTGGTAACCAGCACATGAGCAAGGATCAGCATCTGCAAGTTTAGACTCATCTGAGGTCTATCTGCAGTATATAGGTCATCGCTTCTGATTGCAGAGATTCGTGATTTCTGTCACGTACTGCTATTGTATTTATTTTCAAAATTACAAATCAACAAGTTTGCATTTCCAAAATCCACTGAATAACATGCTCTTATTTTGGGCTTTTATTATTTACCTTGTAAAAAGCAGAAAACAAAACAGTCTCTACTCAAACGTGGAACAAGTGACTAAGTGGAACTTGAATGAAGTCTCATTTAATAAGTGATGTTAAGGGATGGGTATCAACTTTATAAGCTAATGGACACAGAAGTTTTAAGAATTTGTATCATACACACATTTCACAATGAATATCATAACAATACATTCAACTAGTATAAGAATAATAGAAAGAGAAAGAGACTAACGTGATGTCATAAGAATTTATTCTTTTAAACATTTTCATGATCAAATAATATAAAAGCTTAATTTTCAAACTTTACAAAAATAAAGATTGATTTAAGATTTACAATCAAGGGAAAATATTATAACTATATTACATAGATACATTGTCCGCACCAACATGTTTTACACTTATTTAACAAACAAAATAAATGTGCAGTTTCTTCATTTTTCAAGTCTTTTTTCACCATTTCTTTTCCATGATCAGATATAAATACTCCAGTGTCTTCACACAAACATCTCAGTACAGCATTCACATATTATGGAAGAGAGAGCTGGACACATGTCACAAAGCTCCTGGCTTGGCTTCGGCAAGGGTCACTGTGGCCACACCCCAAAAACCGCCCCAACCACTGGGCTACACAAGGACACATTAATAGGTCCCGCTCATGATGCATTGTTTATTGCAGTCACTCAGCAACTTCCTGTTGTCTTGGAGTTTAGGCCGCCCCAGATACTCATCTGCCCTTCACTGATGGAGCTCTGATCTCATGTCGACACAGTGGGCAGGTTCCAAACTCCTGCAGGACTTTGGGGCTGCAGTGGTCACACAAACACAGGTGGCCACAAGGCAGAGTGATTTCTGCCTTTCTTCCCATGCACACCACACAGTATTCATCTACGATCAGAAGAGAGGAATCTTAATTACCAGACTGATAACTTCGACACAAACACGACGACACTCTCCTCCTCTGTGGTTAAACATGTTCAGAACACTGAAATCAGAGGGAATTTGTTTGGGAGGACTCTTTCTTACCTGCTGAGATGTTCTTGTCAAGACAGATGTTGGAGAGATCAGAGATCAAGTTGTTGAGGTTGTGAATATCCGGCGAGGTGAGGCGTTCAGGTGCAGGACAGGATCTTCTAGTGCACATCAGCCCTTTTTTCTCTGAGCCTGCAGCAAAGAATAAGAGAGGTTTTAAATCATTTCTTCTTTTTTTAACAGTCATCCAAACAAATGCACCATGGTTATATGATGGTAAACTGACCCAGGAGGAAAATGGAACATGTCTGTCCGTAGATGTCTATCATTGCCCACAGTGGCAGACTGAGGTCCACTCCTGTTAGTAGTTTGCGCTTCGGGCAGTTGTTGCTTTGGACATATATGGTGCCACCACTTGAAACCCAGAACTCCAGCTCTGAACCGGTTTGGCAGTAGGATTCAGGCACAGCAGCAGCCCAGTGCCCAGGGTTGTTAGTGAGGTTTGGGATGGCCAAGCAGGGCAGAGGTAGAGATCTGGCTGAGGGCGGCACATTGGTGAAGCCCACACGCAGAGCTCCATGCCACATATACATAGCTTTCTCCACCCTGAGACGAATCATCTCGTGGATCGTCACTGGGCGGCTGCTGAACACCACACCGTTTCTGAACGTGCCCTCTTTCCTCACTGCAAGTTGACACCCCTGGCTCAGGCGCACCTTGTCTCCCACAGCATGACTGTGGAAGGTGAGAGGGCCGAGGCAGAGCAGGTTGCACCTGTGTGGCGTCTCTGATTCAACAGCTACAAGACAGCAAAACCAAAACTGTGAATCTTGATGTGCAAGCCATATTTTCATACAGTGAATTCTGTTCCAGTCCAATCTTTTAGATTATATCTGCACAACAACAACGTGCATGTGCAACCGGCAATCAAACAAGAAAACACTGCACTGTAGTAAACAATAGACTGTTCTGCAAATTTGAGCAGAAATTGTGCATCATTTGAGACCATAGGAGGTGAATGCGTAGACTCTTTTCCTCTTTAAATTTTCTTCTTTATGTTTAATACTATTAATGAAAATTGTGAAATGAATTACCACCAGCGAACTCACAAATACCTAATCCAGTAAACACAAGCTCTTGTAAATAAGTGACATACATGGTCAAATTATGAATATATATATTTTATTTATTTTGACCATATACAACTTAATCACTTGCAATAAATTTAATGTTGAAGATTGCACAACTATAAAATTGTAAACATGTAATATTGAAATAATTCAGATTAATAATTAAAGTGACCACTGTATCTTGAAGCACTTGTAGCTGATCCAGAGAGCAATTCTCTCGGTGTGACTCATACACATCTGCAGCAGTATAGTAAACCTGCTACCGTATGAAAAGCCTCTTACTCATCTCAGCACATTTCCAGTAAACCACAACTTATAGTTTCTGCTTCTCTTCTATCATGTGACACTTTACAGTGAAGCTCATAAATCATGCCCCCCCCACCCCCAGCCCCATGCAGATATTCTTCCTCATTTGCTAATCATCTGTTTTACAGTATTGATAATAACAACTTGCTTCTGTTTTGTATCTTAATAATGACCATAACTGACACAGTGACACAGCTTTTACACAGACTACATCTAAAGAAAAATAATGGTACTAATACTAATACACCATAACCATCAAATTATTAGTTTTGTTGCTTAAAATTAAAAAGGTAAAAAATGCTTTAGAAAGTAAATTTATCTATTTAGTTGATTAATAAAATCAAAATTTTTATTCCAGTTTTTGGCGACAAGTCAACATGACAAATTTTGATTGACAACATATCTTAATGATATTCAAAGCGATATGTTAAGTGACATATCAAGTTCTCTGCAAAGATTAAAAACCAAAGAAAGATGTCTCACCAGAGTTCCCATTGTGTCTGTCCTTCACCATCTTGACTGTAAGTTCCCTTGCGTCTTGAGAGAAGATGTGTTCACTTCTGTACCTTGCTTCAATTGTCTTGAAGTGGGAGTGTTAGCTAGCTTTAAGACATGGTGCATGTGTGACTTCAAAACACAAACATTCCCTTCATCACGTGGAGAGTGGAAAGGGACGGCCTGAGGGAGGAACCAAACTTTGGAAATTTTCCTGAAGTTGAAAGCAGGCAGGCGGTGCCAACCTTTTTTTTTAATTTCCTGGTGAGGAGTTTCCAATTTATCTGAAATGGTATCTTTTCAAATCAAGGACATTTAGACATTTACAGGAAACTGTAAACACAAAACCATAAAACCAGCAGTAAAACATGAGTCCTGCTCTCATGCAGACTAATAATCACTGATTATCTGTCAGTGTCTTGTCAGTGTTTATTACGCTGAAGGTCACACAGACACGTTTATGTTTATTCCTGTGCACAAAATTGAACTGATTCAACAAATATACATCACTTAGAGTATATTTGAGGCAATGATGTACTGTAAAAGAAATGCACACAACTTAAATCTAATTGTAATTTTTCTTCATGTGGTGGTGCTTATATTTGATGTTGCAGATAGTAAGCCTGTATGTAACCTTTACAGTGTATGTACTGTAACTAGCTTACATGTATCAGTTTACTGTACTTGCTTGTGTTAACTATAAAATCAGATGCATTTTCTCCCTCTATGTTGAGATACCAAATACTGACACTTTGCGCAAAGTGACCAGATTTGGTTGTTTTCCTTCTCTGCTGAAGTGCCTCTTTGTGAATATAGCAAATATTTGCCATTTTATCAAAGCCTCAGTACAATATGCTCCTTAAAAAATGCAATGCAATATGGCTTGATTTTACTGAAACACTGGGAAAGTCACCTGATTTACTATATGATGGAAAATGCCTAATCAAAATATTGGATATCACTTCACCAAACGGTTCTGTGGATTGGAAGGAAATTGAGTGATGAATCATGCAAACGTCCATTCTTTAAAATGTACTGTGTAAATAATGAATCATGAAACAAGAATGTAAAACAGCTTTGTCTCCCTCTACAGGAAACAGAAAGTCATGTCTTTAGTCCCCACTGGTCGGCAGCCAGGATCATGTGACAGGATGGGCCATAAATGGAAATCCAAAACAAGATCATCACTCTTGGAAAGTTACTGACAAACACATGATTTTTCCCAAGAAATTTCCACCATTCCCATGACAGACACTGCTGGCCACACTTGTCATACCTATGTGCAATATATCGGCAGTGTATGTGTGTTTTTACAGGTGTTACAACCAAATGGGAATGGTGTTTTGTTTTGTTTTTTTATGCATGTAATGGACAAAAAAATACATTTATGCTGTTTTTACTCTTTTCATAAAAAAATGAAATATTCTGTATACATCCTGTAGTTAAAATATGTCAGTTTGTAAATTAGAAAAAGTGCAGTACACAAGAAAATCTCTTTCATTTTCACACCAGTTCAGGGCCTAAAAATAAACCATAAAACATTACCAACTGCAAAACTGAAAGTATTCATGTGAGGTATAATAAGACATCTTAATAAGTTCATGTGTTAGTGTGACAAAGTAAAGTGGAATTAGGTGCAGTAAAACCACAACTTCTCCTGCCAAGATATATTCAATATTTGAATAAATGCAAATATATAGTAAGATTTTAAGTATTTGCCTGATATCAACCTGTTTAACCAACTGTGTTGTCTGGGCAACACATGCTACAAATGTTTGCAAGGTTGAAATCCAATAGCAATTATGCACTGTAACAACTATATGTGTTACTTGAATATTATTCTCGCATATTAATTATGATAATTTATTTCCTCAATCAGTATAGTTTAATATAGACTTTTACAGATTTTTTTAAATCTCAAATAGTTGAATGAAACTGTTGTTTCGTCTGAATACGTTCATATTTTCTAAAACCAAAACCTACCGTGGTTTAGTATGAGACATTTATGACAGTCATATCATAATCAAAGAGGAAAGGAGTGGTTTATTGCCATGTTGAACCCGTGAGCTATAACCGGATGAATGAAGATCAGAGGATCCGTAAACAAGGTGGAAAACTACATTCATTTTACTCTCTGCTGCCCTTTATATCATCAAGGTTCAGAGTGGGTTTGATTGAGGACGGTGCTTTGACTGAAGACCGTTACCACAATGTCTGGAATGCATGGAACAGGAGGAGAAAAGTAACCACTGACAAATAAAATCCTCATACTTCAAATGGGTTTCATACGATTTATCCATGAACTGAATCATATATACAATCTTTTAACTGGTGCATAAATGCAGATTTTGTTTGGGTTGGATTGTGGTTATGTTATATGCAATAAAACAATAGAATTTTTTGTTTCAAATCTCCATGTCATCAGTATTAAACCAGAAACGGAGCAACTCTCCTCCTCCTCTGTGTACTCCAGCTGCCTCAGCTCCACCACACTTGGTCAGACATGGCAGGCCATCAAAAAATCAACTTGTTCCCACTCCACCTGTTCAAAACACTATTAATCTGCTGCCTTCCAATAAAAGGCTTGGCTCTCAGCGATGAGCCAATAGAACGGCATTAAAGCAGTGAGACCCAGGCCAATCCCAGGCTGCATTCTAATGTGGCCTATCTTTATCAAGGTGCCACTCCATTTCCAGATACTGCTTATTTATGATTTCTGAGGAGAGAGCCGGCAGGAGGCATATGTCTTTAGGAGCACACTAACATCTGTGTCTGGAGGGCTCAACCAAAACTTCAGCTATGGAGCTATCACACACCACACTGTGGCTGAGAAGAGGTGAAGGGCGAGAGTGAAGCGTTTATCTGCTGCTACACCGTTTTCTGATGTGGTAGCAACTTTGGCAAACACCAGGGACTTTGTTAAAATTGCCACTAGTGCTCTTAATTATTTGAATATCTGGGGTGTGATCCCAGATCCAGACATCACCTGTGGGTGAGAGAACTTCTCGTGGGCCCATCAGAGGTCTTTTCTTGTCTGGATCTTACTGGATGTGTTACTGAGACCTGGAGGCAGAGTTACAAACTTCCCATGGATCCAAACATCCAGGGGTCTTTCCTGTTCAACAACAGCCTCAACCAGTTCTCCTCGGACCTCAAGGCACCGGTGTGCCAGTACTCGGTGCCCAACTCTTTCTACAAGCTCAACCCGGGCCTGAACAGCCATCTGCAGGCAGGGACGCCTCACGGCATCAGCGACATCCTGAGTCGCTCCATGGTCGGGGTGGGCTCCACGGGCACCACCACCCTGCTGTCAGGGTACTCAACCATGGGGGGGTTCGGCCCCTCCGTCACCAGCACGTCCATGTACTATAACCGAGACTACAACTCCTCGCTGAGTGGCTTCTCCAAGCCGGGTGGCGAGTGCCCCACTAAGGCTCGCAGTGTGAGCTGCTGGGCTGAGAGCGGCTGTGACTGGAGAGGAGGGAGGCAGCAGTGCACCAACAGTGAGTCTGAACACTGCAGCCTGGGCTCAGCATCCAGCCCATCATTACATTACAACTCCCCTCCATCTGTCTGTGAGGACTCACCTCTTGATTTGACCTGTGTTTTCCATTGTTCTGAAACACTGACAATACTTATATTGTATAAGATGTTAGATCAGTGTTTTATTGAAAATGTAATATCTAAGGTTTGATTGGTCATTTCAAGCATGCAGTCAAACATCTATCAAATGTTATTTTTTAGGTAATATGTAGTTGCTATGTTTATCATGCTGCATAAAACTGTGTTTATTAATGTAAATATTACACTACATGATATACAACCCTAATAAACCATAATATTCAATTGATTCAGTCCAACACTCAGGGTATGAGCAGCAAATACAGTTTCTGACTAGAGAATAAACATGACACAGAATGTCTAAATTAAAAACTGTGACACCTTTTTTTGTTTAAACAAATGTCTATGTCTGTAATGTTTTCTGCTTTGATATTGTCTAGGTAGCGGTCCTCTTGGAGAGATGTCCGGAAGGAAAAAACACACCAGACCAACATTTAGTGGACATCAGATATTTGCTCTGGAGAAAACATTCGAGCAGACCAAATACTTGGCCGGGCCTGAGAGAGCGAGACTGGCTTATTCTCTGGGAATGACTGAATCACAAGTTAAGGTAAAGTTTAAAGCACATTCATATACCGGCTTTTAAAATGATTCTTCCTCATGAGATGACTTTTTAACACATGGCTTCTTCTTTAGTTTCATTTCTCTATGTTTTTGCTGTACCTTTTGGTTTTATGTGCACCTGAATATCTTGTTAGTCTTGGTCTGAAAGGTGCTACAAAAATTACGTTTATTTACTCAATTATCTACAATAGAAAAAGCTCAAACTTCTGGATCAGTGAAATTGCCACATAAGGAAGTCAACAGCAGGACACTCACCTCATTCAGAAATGGGGTCAAGGATGTTAATTACTTGTTATGTCTGCTATGAGTCACAGACAGCAAAAACAAAATCTTGTTGTGTTCAGGTGTGGTTTCAGAATCGACGTACCAAGTGGAGGAAGAAAAGCGCCTCAGAGCCGAGCTCCACGCAGGCCAGCCACGCGGGGCAGGGCGGCGAGGCCTCGGAGAACGAGGTGGAGGACGAGGAGTACAACAAGCCTCTGGACCCGGACTCTGACGACGACAAGATCCGATTGCTGCTACGCAAACACCGCAGGGCTTTCTCTGTCCTGCGCCTCGGGCCGCACCAAGTCTGAAAACACCACGTGCGAATTACACGGCCACACAGACACACGCGCGCGCGCACACAGACACACACGCACGCACGCACGCACACGCGCACACACACACACACGCTTCTCAGCAGACCTGCATGATTAAATGAAAATATTTAGTTTTTGAATACAACGTTTAATCAAGCAGTTACGCATGTTCAGCAAAGGTCATCTGTGCTCCTCCGAAGAAAGAGCAGCAAGAGGGTTCAGCGACAAAGAGGCTGAAAAAATGAAGCTAAAAAAAAAGTTGTTTACTTTTGTAAGTTACTGTAAGAAATGATCTTTGGCCTGTGTGATGTTACACTGATATATGGGGGGATTGTGTCATACACTTCATTTTGTAAAAACACAGGAAAAGTACATGAAAAAATTGCATGATGCTATTGGTAATACTGATAAATAAATAAAAAGAGAGTAACCTGACACTCTTTTTGAACAGCTGAAGTTGTTTGTGATTATTTGAATTTCAAAATGAAACTGAAAAATAAAATAACTTAATGAACCTTCCTTAATTCGCCAGTAAACATAATGCGCTCACAGCTATTAAATGTGGCAAATATCATTAGCTCTACGATCAGATATTCAGAAAATTCGTTTAAAAATAAAAAACAATGAAAAATCTGTATGTAGAGTAATTTTAGGACCACTATTTCTGGGGAATTTGCTTTTAAATTATATGATTTCACACTCTTGGTGCAGACTCTAAATGAGACTTCTGCTATAATGCATAATGTGCTGATTAAAGGCAGGGATACACTTTTATTTACATTAAATCAGTGCTGAGTAGATAATTAGATAATGAAACATTTACAGGGAACAGCCTCGGCTCCTTGTTATTATCTAGTATAATATAGTATTCTGCTGCATGCTGAAACTCAATGTTGACTTGAAGCTGGTTAAAATAAAGTTAAATGTTTTCATTATTTTACCTCTGAAACTGTGAAAATGTTAAGGTGGACAAAGTAAAAAAAACACCTGATTGTGGATTATTTATCAAAATTGGTGGTTAATTTCTTACTTTTAAATACAAACAGAAACATTATTTGGCTGCATTTGCTCAAATTCTGTCGCTGTATTTGCTGCCAAGTGACAGTTAAAATGAAACAGCAAGCAAAAATGAACAAAAGCTGAAGAGAAATGCAATGGTCAAAGGTCGAATCTTGCGTGATTTACCAGTGTGGTATGGCTTAATTGAAGACAATGACCCCCACAACCCACTCCAACATAAAATCAATAGCAGCAGAGCAGCTCATTCACCATTTAGGCTCCGTGAGTTCAGACTCCATCTGGTTCAGGCAGCTGACATCGGGCCAGATGAGTCTGTCAAAGGAGAAACCGAGGAATGCTGCTGAGACACTCACGTCGAAGGCAACAAAATATGCTTGTGTGTACCAACAATGTATTGTATTCTGTCATTAAGTAACTGTTGCTCAAGTCCATGTTGGAGCTATGATAGCAAAAATTTAAAAGTGATCCTGCATTATAAAATCTGTGATATATGAATTTTCAGGAGGCAAATACACGCTGCTGTCAGTGATTTTTTTTTTTATAAATCTGGATTCATCTCTTTGAAACCAAACACAAAAATGAAATGCAATAAAGGTTAGAATCAGTCACTTGATTTGTCGGCCCTTGAAGACTTTCTGTCTGAACAAAATGGCCAGCCCATTCCAGCTTTAGAGGGCAGCCTTGATACCTCCTCTGTTTTAGATGTAATTCTTCTTCTACCTCAATATAAGTGCAGCTCAATCCATGGCTGAAATCTGGAAAACTATGGAAACTCAATGCATAACACAGAAATAAAGTAATATACACCTTGCATTACGTTAGTGAGTCTATTTTGCATGAATCTGGTCCAAATTACTTCAATCTGACTTGCAAAAAAGTCAGCATTAGTGTATACCTATAATATAAAAAGAACAATAATAAAAGTATAATCTGTTTACTTCCTTCTTGCAACACCAGTTCAGATCAGTTAAGCTACGATCAGCTAAAACTGGAAAGGCAGCTGCATATAGAAACACACACCCTGTGGCATGCAGTACTTTACCTAGCCTTTCAGGTCAGTCAGCTTCATGTGGGAAATGATGACAATGAGTTTGTAGATGGACATGGTCACATCTTTCTCTTAGTGCTCCCCAGAAAGGCCTGACTGAATTGAGCTGTAATGGTTGTTCCCTAAAGCCGAAGAGGTCAATCTTAAAATCCCTGACTTTGTGTTGCAACATAAACGCATTTACACTAAAGCCAATAAATAATAACGCAACATATAGATGAGGGTAATATTTTATTTACAAAAGTGAAATATCACAATGTTGTAGTGTTGGACCAGAGTTCATCAAAGGGTGATACTGGCCATGTAACCAACCCCACTCCCAGGACTGGTCAACGATGAACTCTTAAACGTTTATTTCTGACGTTTGCATCACTGAGTCTTAAAGTTGCAATTTCAAAGATCGCAGTTTCATTATCAGGTTTGAACCACTCATTTGTATAAGTGACTCATGTTCCATGTTGTCATACCAGACACCCAGTTCATAAAACTGTAAAATGCAAAGACTTCTATATAATCTCATCAGTGGGTCATAGGCTCAATCTCAATTGTTACTCCACTCAGCAACAGATAGTGACTGAAAAGACACTTACTTAAATGAAACTCTTTGAGATTGCCACTTTAATCTTGTTATAACAAATCCCTCTGTACAAATGAGTCCAAACTTAATATGAATATCTTGTGAATTTATGCGTGAAAAAGTATTTTTGAATGAATATATACTGAGTGCTGTACCACCGAGCTGTTTAAGACAAGAGAACCCTCACAAAACACACACACACACAAAAAAAAATCAAAATACAACAAGTAACAAACCACAAACATATTTTAAATCTCTGGGTCATTGTTAAAGCCAGCGAAAGAAAAACAAAATCAAACTGATAATCCACACATCAAAAATATATTACAGCGCTGGTGCTACAGTGTGAGACTACGAATCAAAGAAACAAAATGCAACAAAAATCGAAGAAATCCAAAACAACTTTTGTGTTGTCTGTGGGTGCACGTGTGTGTGTGTGTGTGTGTGTGTGTGTGTGTGTGTGTGTGTGTGTGTGTTTGTATAAACTGTGTATATGCAGGGTTTCGTGAAGTTTTTGTGAAGCCACGTGAATCAAACATCCACACTCCCTAACTACAGTTAGACGTAAACACACGAGGCCGACAGCATCATTCTTTTGGCAATGAAATAAGGTTGATGCCAACCAGAACAGGGTGGAACAGATTTCTGTGTGATTAACTGAAAAGATAACTTTCACTGAGTGAGGACAGCTAAAACCGACAAACCGAGGACTGCTGAGTTGCAGCTTGTGGAATAAAGCACTTGGTATACATGTAAAGTTGGTTCACAGAAAGAATGTCTTTATAAATTTAACAGGGTAAAAGATTCTGTTCATAAATTCAGCCCCTGCCACAGCATTCATAAACAGACTAGACTGCTGCGGTTGGTTCGTTGTTGCTTTAAAATGTTAAGACTGTCTAGTGTCCTTTCTAAATAATGTCAGTATTAAAAACTTTATCAAAATCCACTCTGAAACTGATTTTGTTATGTGATCAGGACACATCTGACATAGTTAAAGCCGCTGTGTGTGAAGTAGCCACATGTATGAAAAACAACATGTCAGTAAGAAATTCTTCGAGGTTTTATCTACAGAGGACATCTGATCAAAGACGTGGACAGGAAACTGAGATAGCAGCATTCCTCTACTGTGTTTCCCTCTGGTGTGAAATGCTGCTTACAGTCATAGTAAACAACTTCAACAAAATAAATACCTGAACTAAAAATGGCATCAAATACAAAATAAAAGCATACACATGTAGTCAGTAGGACCTATGTCCAATACTTGATATTAAAGATCCCATATTGTTTAGTTTTCATGATTCAATCTCTACATACACTCTGCCTCATGATAACACTAATACTCTTCTATATCTTTAGCTACACATTACTTCATGATACTGGATTATGATTGGCTGAATTCAACTGCTAAGTTAAAATTTACTGAGTGGAAGCTCTCTAGTTCAGTTGCAACAGTGTGGCCTGACTAACTGGTGAGATTTAATCAATTATTTAGGGCCAATGAGGAATGAGTAAATTTGTGATCTGCTGGCCTGGGGTTTGTCTGACACTGCCTGTAAAATAAAAGACATATTTTCAAAAAGTCAACAGTTTCAATCACACTAATAAAAAAATTTAAGAAGGTTTTGCATATGCATGTACATGTCCGTGTAAAGGGCCTGGTCCAGAGTCACACACTTGAGTCTTTACATCATTGTTTGGTCCCATTTGAAAAAAACAAAACAAAACAAAAAAAACACAGCAGGAATTCTAGGAACATCCTCAGTGTGACTGGGTTTTCAGGCCAGGGGACGTCTGCGAGTGAGAGGAAAACTGCCTCAGAAATTCATGACAGCTGCAGATTAATCTGTGCTCAAGTCACTAAAGCTGTGGTCGACAGTGTGTGGCAGCGAGAGCAGATGTGAGAAACCAGTTACGTTAGGATGGGGCGTTAAACTGAGTCGAGGCCTGCGGCGGGTGGGCTGTAGTTAGTAACCATTGAGCTGATTACCTTCTGGTACTGATACTGTGGCGGAGCTCCAAGGATGGGACCTGCAGCAGACACACACAAACACACACACACACACACACACACACACACACACACACACACACACATATACATTGTGTACCATCAGAATCCAAAGTACAGAAATGAGAGTAGATCTACAGCAGGACTTGATTCAACCAGTGTGGAAATGTGTCTTTTTTCTCCAAGTAGATCAGAGTGCAGATGCAGGATGCAGTGGGTGGAGACACTGTATCTTCCTCACACGGATTATGAATAATGTCTACCCCATTTATCAACTTCCATTGTATATATGATGTAAGACGTCTCCGTTTGAGCTAAAACATAGCCTGAGAAACACAAAGTTACTGATGCACTGGAATGATCTTGTTCTGTGCCTCAAAATGTCAAACACAAAAGGAGTAGCTTCGTTGTGTGCAACTCATCATTTTGCAGCCCTGTGAAGAGGGACCCTCATGAAAAAACAGTCCATCCTGAAAAAAATAAATTTAAACGGCAGCAAAACAAAATCACGGCCGTAAAAATGCCAATATGCTGTCGAGCACAATGTATGTCTCTCCCTCCGACCGACCAGATGGTAATTAATGAAAAGCGGGCCGGCAATGCACTTAGTGTGTAGCCACAGTGACAGTGGAGAGGATTCAATAGACATAGATCAGTAAAAGGTGCTGATCGCTTGTGCTCCAACTACACTGGACACAAAGGAGCGCTTGTGTCCCGCAGGCACTTCATCTTAGTTCATATCCTGACTCCACTGGGCCAGCCTGGGTTATGGCTCTCCAGGGACCGGAGCAAGATTACTGTGATCGCTCTCACACTCTGAATCCTCCCTCTGGAGTCAACACAGGACACAGCTACACCTCCACGTACTGTACAGTACACACACACACACACACACACACACACACACACACACACACACACACACACACACACACACACACTCACTGGCACATGCTCTTACCTTTGAGAAGGATCAAAGTCAATGGCCGTTTGTCTTCAGTGAGAAAAACAGGAAAACAGGCTGTAGAGAAAACACAAGAACACACCAGAGCTAGTCTGCATGGCTGCTTTTTATTTGTCTGCACCTTGTACATACTATTTTTACTATTTAAACTGTTACCTTATGGTCTCCCATACAGACGTTAGGCCCCAATGTGTCGTAAACAACGCCCCTCTCATCGTCATCTCTCTGTAAAAGAAGAATGAACATCTATATCATTTGGACGAGCAACAAAATAAAAGACAAAGTAGATGCTGAGGCGACATGACAATATGATGACAATGCTAAAAAAAAAAATCTGTTCAAATCGGAGTCATTACACACAAACAGGCATGTTTTCCAATATTTATTTTTTTGTCGCACATTGAAAACAACAGCATGATGCTAATCACAGATACTACACTTCAGCAGTTAGCACAAATTTCATTTTTTACTTAGAGTGAAATGTCTGATATTACATTTTACTTCTTATTTCTAACACTAGGACAACAAGGGGTGCTTCATTTGCACAGGTCATGTACTAACTAAAAATAAACCCTTGGTTATCTTTTAAGATAATTGACAATCTTGTAATAAACTCTACTACTCTACTCTAGAAAGCGCCGCTTGCCACTTAGCCTTATCTGACAACAAATAACCTATTAAGAAGTTGCAATCCTGTATACATGTATATATATATATATATATATATATATATATACACATAAGGGTCAGAGTATACTTTGCAAACAGATAACATGCAGAAAGTTATGACAGTAAACACTGACTGACCCTGTGGATGAATTCTTGGGCAGTGTGCGACATGAGAATACGATCACACCAGGCCGGACAGCGAGTGTTCATGTACTGGGTCGGTTTAGTGTACTCTTCACTGTAGGGGTAGCTGAGGAGGAGGCGAGAGGAAAAGAAAAAGAAGTTGTTAGGAGTTGGGAGGTTTTACACAGCATGTTTCCAGCAAGTAGGTGAGCTAGGAGTCTTACCTGGGTGGAAACTTGATGTCCTCTTCTCTGATAACATCATGAAAGACTGCAACTTCTTTGTCATATTTCAAAAGCTGAGGAACAGAGGCCATTAATGATTAGGGCAAAACAGGAAATCACTAAACACATTAAAAACAATCATGATGTGAGTGAGTACAAGTTTGGCATGGGCGACAGGCCCATTTACTGTCCCTGTTATCTCAGTTTTATTTACTTCCGAGCTTTTGTATTTACAGTACTGTCATTATTAGGACTTTATTTCCGCTTATAAGATCTAATCTAAAAACTGTGAAGATATGCCAGATTGTTGCTAAGCAGCCTGTTGTATTATCAGTTATAGTCACATTGCAGAGTTTCTGTGTAGCTGCTGGGGTTTGTGTGGGTGAAAGGTCTCACTGATGGGACGTTGTCCTCCCTGAAATATGCCTGGTGCAGATAGGCAAACAGCTTCTCCTCAATTTGGAGCAACACCTGCACGACAAGTGAAGACAAGTCAAGTGAAAGCGGCACTTCAAAGTAAAACATTAGCTGATGTTTTAACTGATAGTTTTAACCACCTGGTGGTCATTGTCTTTTTCTTCACAGATGATTTTCTCCACTTCATTGCTGCTGTCCTTCTTCACTGTCTGCACATCTGCTGAGGTGGACAGATGCTGCTCACAGAAACACAAACACACGGAAGGATTTGAAAAATGCCAGGATAATAAACATCCTCATCACATGAGCTTCAGAAGGGAGTAAAGTTGTTACCTGGACCAGACTAAGTGTGTCCAGGCGGAAGTTGAAGTCTCCAAACAGGAAGAAAGGCAGAGGAGTGTAGCGGCTGTCTGATATCCTGGAAGGAAGTCACACAGATGTTTGGCTCTATATTTCTATGAAACTTTACTTTGAGTGTGTACACATTCACATAGATATGATGAAACATCCTGTTCACAGGAGAGGAAAGGCTGTTTGATAGCAGATGATATTAGCTCGGACATTATCGGACCAATTCCATTCACAAAAGCCTTTTAATCAAGTCTTAAATTGTACTTTTGGGTTTAACTCGGTGGATATTTTCTGTCTCTTTGAGCGTTTTACAGTCAGATGCTTTTGCGTGGTTGTGTGCGGCTGCAAATCTGACCTGTTGATGACGTATCTGAGAGCGTTTTTGCGGTTAGCTGAGTAAATGGAAGGACTGGATTCGCAGGCAGTGAGGTTGGAGGCATCATGGAACAGGTGGACATTGACCAGGTCCAGACCTCTGTGAAGAACACACACACACAACACAGGCAAAATACAGTGATATGTGATAGCTGGAGGAAGTGAATCACAGCCTGACATCTGATAGGTGAGTATGTGTGTGTGTGTGTGTGTGTGTGTTTGTGTGTGTGTGTGTGTGTGTGAGTGTGTACGCATGCGTGTGCATGTGTGGTTAACACAGGTGTCACTTATGAGAAGCGTTCTTATCAGTGAGTGCTCTCGTGTTAATGCTGAGTCCACAAACAAGCACATTTGTCTTTTGTGCCAAGCGCTACTGCTTTTCTTTGGCTGTCACTGGAAAACAATTAATGTGCTTCCAACATGTGAGCGCTGTTGACTCACATCATGATGTTGTGGCACACAGATTGTGGGCTCCTTTTGTTATGACCCTCAGGTAACAACACGGCAGAGCAAATAGTAACTACAGTTCTCTGAAAACACAGACTGTAGCAGCAGCACTGTGTGTTTTACTCACTTTCATTTCCGGGCTGTATTTAGTTCAGTGTCAGTGGATTCGAAATATACATTATAAAGATACATTCAGTGCTAATTAAATGAAAACGTGGATCAGCACAACAAGGGCTGGATATCGTACCTCACTATTTTTTGGTACCAATTGTCAAGTATCAAAGGTGGGTATCAAATGTCTGGTCAGATATTTACTGATTACATTTTATATTTTATAGGTAAAGTTCTTCTACAGATGCATTTCTTTAGTGAACATTTAATATTTGAACTTAGGCTGCATTCACTGATATATGTGGCTCCCTGGGTTCAGCAGAAACAAGTTGCAAAAGCAACACTGACATATCATCACATTATAATGTTGATACAGTGAACTTGTGCCTACACATCCAGCATGTATGAAGCAACATTATCTTTCATTTGGAATCAGATCCAAATGAAAGATAATGACTGGCTACTTTGCTTTAGCTCTGTTTTGGTTTACAATCTCACCTGAAGCAAAAATACCTGAGTGAGTTTTGCTTTTAACAGAACTCCAGGTAAATTTTGTTTTGACACATAGTTAGAAAGCAAAACTCACCCAGTCCTCCCCCGAGATGAAAGAGATAGAAAGCAAAAGCTCTCAAATTTTGTTTTGACGGATAATTGGTGCTTAATTCTTTCCTTCTTTGAGAACTTATTTCTGAGAATGCTGATGTTGTTGATCAAGGATCCAACACAGATGAAAGCACTGGCTTTCAAATTTGCTAACACACAATCTGTCTGGTCACAACAGTGCCACATTTGTTCTAAAAGTGAGTTGAGTCCCACCCTGACTGGTTTATCAAGGTGAGGTCAGTGCACAGTACATACTGATTGTGTATGATCCAGCGGGTCCTCATGAAGCCCTTTCTGGACCATTTGAACTGCAACAGAGACAAATTAGAGTGAGTCAGTAAACAGCAGCGAGTCGTGTCTTTGAAAGGCCAAACTGATAATTATTGATTCTCCCACATAATTTGTCTCATCTCCCTGTCAGAGCGGGCAGACAGCGCCTGCAGCCCCAGTAGACTCATTTGTCCCAACATCTCCCTTTGGCCCATACGTACCCCTCCCCACACCTGCAAACACACACACATACACACACAAATGCAGACATACACAGATGCACACTCATGCATACATACTCACATCAGGCCAGAAATTCTTTGGGAATTTTTCTTTCTCCACTGTGGTGACCCCGGCCAGAGAGCCCACGTACTTGTTCTGCCCCGACACCGCTTTAAAATCCTTAACTGAGAGAGGGAGGCAGAGGGAGGGAGGGGGAGAGGGGTGTGACATGTAAAAGAGTGAGAAAACATGCAAACAGCAATCAATAAACTGGTGTTAACCTCATCAGAGCGGCATACGTGATGAGAGAATCTATAAGCGAGCCATTAGACTGCGTTTGGTGAACAACAATCGGTTTGGTCCACACAGCGAGTGGCAGCTCCAGGATGTTTATGGTTCTTCCATAAGCTTTTCTGAGGAGCTTTTTCACGCCTAACGTGACTGGACTATGCAGCAGGAAAATAACAGCTCCACTTTAAATTCAGGTTCTTTGCAAATATCTGGCCAGGTGGGGTGGCCATCAAACTGCCATTATACACAGAGAAATGATTTTGCTATTCTTGATATTAAAAAAAGTGACAAGAATCTTGCCAATCATGCGCAACATTGCTCTAACTCCACTGTAGATATCGATGAGCCATTACCAAAAAAGTACAGGATGCAAGGGGAGTGGTTTACTTTGAGCGCTTAAATAGTCTGTTTCAGGAGTGCGTAGATTACTCCTTCCTTTGTTCATTAAGGTGAAAAAAAAAGCATCATAAAGTTCACGAATAACAAAACAATTAAAATCAATATGAATGTCACATGTAAGAAGCAAAGTTTTTACCATTAAAGTCATATTGGTAGATGTTTTTCAGTGTCTTGTGGATGAAGTACATGCTCCCCAGAGCCTGTGGAGAGACAAGAAATAAACAACATGAATCTTACAGTATCTGATAAACGCACCTGGGGACAACACACGTGACAGTATGCAAGATCAGTTTCAGTTGAAAGACTTTCAAAGCAAAACATCAAAAAAAGTGCAAGAAAAATCATACTAAAACAGAACACCCCTTTACTTTCAGACACCTGCTGCAAAGAACATTAGAAAATGACCAAAAGCAAAAAAACCGGACATGTTTAGTCGAGCAAAAAGACAAACACAACTTCATAAGTTTCATCTGAAATGCATCAGAATTTAATTTCAAAGCAGTAAAGCTATGGAACGCCTGAACACATGCCTTTCATATTTCCATGTTTCAACTTTAAGCTTCATAAAAGTATTAAATATTTAAGGCTTTTAAAATAAACAATAGAGTCCTTCTGAGCCATCCCCAGTGGTTTCACAGCATTGATCCACATGCAACCCAAACAACCAAATGTGATGTCAAAAACGGGAGAGACGAAGGATTGAATTGTTCATTTCCCCCGTCATGTGAGCTGAAATGTGAGCCTTGTATTGAACGACACAGAACGACACAGTGCATTGTTACTCTCCCAAAGACACATGAAACTTTAAAGAATTTAGACGTACAAAATGAACACATAACTGCTCAACACATCCACGCACTGCCCCTCAGCACACACACTTCAGCACCCAATCATCCCTGACATGGGGCTGACAATTTTTAATGTACTAACTGCCTGCTCCACTGATCTGATTAATCATGCCCTGTGAGATCAATAAAGACAGAAAATTAAAACAATTTAAAAGGTATTAAGCAGTAGGCCTGCTGTCTGCCAATGCTGCCGCTGTGACTGGGGGAGCCGAAGAAAAATAAGCCGGCGCTCAGAGGGCTCGGGGCGTGACGGACCACTGGGCAATCCACCCCCTCCTCATCCAGCCAGAGCATGAGAGATCTCTCCCTGAAGAGATCATTTATCTTCAGTGCCAAAGTCATCCTCATTTAATAAAATGGAAGAGTCTCCATTGTCGGCTCCAGTGAGCGGCAATTAGTGACCAACTTTTCCAAACTAAGGGAGCGAGGTTAAGGCAAGGCCAGAGATTCATTCAAACTAGCCTGAAAGGGTTTAATGACAAAAAAAACAAAATGCTCACAGAAGAATGTTTCTGAGGAGCAAGTTTGGAAAAAACTACATTGTTATTTCAGCTTTTTAATAATGCAAGATTATCATTGTTGTAGGAAATTCAAGGACTATTCTCTAGTAATTAGCTAAAATAAAATAATCTAAATTCGGCCTAGTTTGTGTTGGATCAGTTACAATGTTGTGTTTAAACCGAAGAGAAAATACACATGCACACACTCAAACACAGATACACATTCTCGTCCACATACTCTGCCAAACACCTATCTTCATCAATCAAGTTTGTGCACAGTTTAATAAAAAAATATTGACTTACAAGTGATTTTTTATCAAAACACCATTTGTACTGGGAATGCTTGCAAGTCTGCCCCCTCTGCTCCTGCAGCTCTTCTGAAAGCCCCCCCCCCCCCCCCCCCCCCCCCCCCCACCCCTCGGCCCCCTTCCTCCCAAAATCTCTCTCTTGCCACGTTGTGTATAACTGATGTATCGCACCAAAGGGAAACAAAAGTTGAAAATCAAATTTGCCACAGTGAGCGAGGCGAGACGAAATGGAGAAATCGAGGCATAGAAAGTGGTGGGGGGGGTGGGGGGCAACCCTCTCAGGGCAAAGAGTGGAGGGTGCAAACACTCCAGCGCAGGGGAAACTTAACTCCCAGCTGTCTTCCAACCCTCACACTTTATTTATTGTGCAGAAATAGGCTGGGATCAATAGTTTTAATCTCGAGTTAAATGTATTGACTTTGCCCCCCCCACCCCCCACCCCACACCTGGCCATTGACTTTCTCGTGTTTACTTCACGCACCTTCAGTCTACAGATGCAGCCATTGACCCCTACTGTCAGGCAGCCAGTGTGAGGGTATCACCTGGGAGGAGTAAGGGTTAATAGCTTAAGGGATACTCAGCCACTTTTCTCAACCGGGGGAGGTGTTACTCCCACCCAGGGCAGAATTTCAGACGAACTAATACTGACAAACCCGTCATGAGCAACTACAAACACAATTCAGTTCCGAGAAAGAGGCTGAAAACTTGCTTGTGCTGTGTGAGGTCACTGAAAGAGAAGTTGGAAGCCAGAAATGGCTTTCACGACAGGTGTGGTGATTGAGGCTGAGCCCATGACCCGAGCAATGTCCCGGCAGCTCCATAATGGCACTTTAGTAGCATGAAGAGCACCAGCTCAGTCTTCAGCTACAGAGACAGACTCAGGGTTCAACAATAGATGACGATAAGAGATGTAGGTAGCGACACGAGTGCTTAACAAACTTGTCTTTAAGAATATCTCCTCTGTCTGTGCCCATATTGTGTAACTACTACCATTGTTGTACACTATATCTTTGAGATCTATGTCACTTATATAAGGCTGTGATTTTACACGTGTCTGAGCTTGTGCAGTGGGCCTTAATGTATGAAACCCAACCCGTTAGCGCAAACACACAACACATCAGATTACAATAGGGAAGACAGATCTGCACACCTATTAGAGGTGTGAAATTAGATCTGTAATTCTCTTATTTCTAATTTCCTGGTCTTCATCAGGAATTTCGTTTGACCAAAACATCCCACAATGAGCATTGCACTTATTCAAATCTGACTTTTACAGTCAGATTTGTGGTGAGATTTACTTTGTTTTATTAGCACACTGAATTTACTCCAGTCTCCATGATTTTTGACTTGATTAAAAAAAAAAAAATTCAGTTCATATCAGGGAGTTGTTTTTTCCCAGTGAATCCATACCTTCAGATTGATTAAATACACACATATAAACAAGGCCAATAGTTTAATGACATATGCGTGCTTAACTGTGCATAACTTGACTTCATTTTCATTTAACATTCTTTAAGATAACCTGTTTCACAATCTAAAACTTGTGTTATGTTGTAGTCTATGACAAAAGAAATGACTTTTTCTGGTGCTCCACTGGGGTTTACATCCAGCTCCAGTACACAGCACAACACCTGCAGCCACCACTGAGCACTAACATGGAGGAGGACCCCATCTAGTGGAAGCAGGTATGAACTACTCGGACTGAGAAAACAAAGTGTGTGTTTCTTACGGTGAAGACGTCCTCTGCTTGGAACTGGTTGTCCACATAGATGCAGACCCTGTCATAGTCTTTCATTTCTTCATTGGACTCGATGCTCCTGGAAACAACAGGCCACAACAGATCGATCATTAGGCAACGGAGCAAAAAAAAAAAAAAGCTTGTTCCTTTGGATGTAAAATTGAAGAGATTAGACAATTAACTGATTAGTCTGTCGCCAGAAAATTAATCTGCAATGATTTTGATAATTATTTCATAATTCTTAATTCAAATGTATAGCATTATTGCTTTAAATTGTTTAAAGCTTCGCTGGTTCTAAATTCTCAAATATGTCAGCTTGGGCTTTAGGGAATTGTGATGGGATTTTTCAGTTTTCTGACATACTTTAGTATACTTTCATAATTATATTATTATATATTATATAATATTTATTGATAAAAATGCTTTTGGATCCAAGAAATTTATAAAGAAAGAGACAGGACTCTCCTGATTAACAGTGGTAATAAAATCAAATACACGGTGAAGGGAGAATATGACTTTCCAGGCGAACATGGATTGTGATCAACACATTAATCCTACCGGAAGAAGTTGTCTGCATGGCCCATGTTAACCATGTAGTCCTTCCCGCCCACCTCCTGGAAGTGCAGGGCGATGAACTGTGGCTTGTAGCTGTGGATAGTCTGTAACAAAGCACAGCAAACAGGTCTTACATTACGGTGTAACAAGGAGTGAAGAGGGTCGACACTGTGTGTTACAGGATGAAGTTAACGATCCATTAGAGGTCATGTGGAGCTTTACTGTTACTGTTAGTCTCTGCACTGAGCCTGATGTGGCTGTGTTATCAGTTATCAGCACAATATCTGTTTTCTAGAGAACAAGGAGCAGTGCATGTTGGGATGTCACCAGTGTGATGATGCCAGAAGCCTATCAAAGTGGGCTAGAACCAACTATGTAACACAATTTTTATTTGGCTGAACTGCACCAGACTGTCAACAAAATGCAAGAGAAAATTATGAAACTGTCAGGAATGATAGGAAATGGCAAATGTGAACTGTGAATTATTAATGCAGGACCCAGGAGGCCCAGACTTACCTTATACAATTCTTGTAGCCACTCACTTTGAATTTCACCCAACTATAAAATGACAAAGAGAAAAATCATCAAAGGCGTGCAATGGAGGAAACTGTACAAGATCAAATATTAAGCCTGCATTCATTTAATTTTGGCCACCTGGGGGCAGTGAAGCAACCTGTAAGCATAACATTAACATACAGTATCATTTCCTTATAAAAATGTTATGGCAAACATGTTAGCAAAGAGTTGCCTATTAGCATATCCAGCACATATGACGCAAGATTCGACCTGAAGTCCAATATTCTCTCATTTAGCTCTTTTGTTCTCTGTTATCAACTCTTGATGTGCAGCTCTTTGGCTGTGGATGATCGACCATGCTCAACAGCTGTAGTGACTTGTGGAGCCCCGAAACTGATCAAATGCAGTAAACAGTTATCAGACAAGTCTAAAATATAACTGAATATATCAATAACAACACTATTGGTTAAATAATTAAAATGATTCAACTTTAAAGGTTAAAGAAAGTGACCCCAACTTTATTACCCCAGCCTTTTTTAGCATTCCCCAACTATGTTAGCATAGGTGCTAGGGTTTTTTCAGCAGCTGCTGCATAATTACACAATTATTAAATAAATAGGGAAACAAAGTTTGCTGACAAAACCAAACCCCCCACCCACCCTCCCAAAAAATGTTGTTTTTTTTCTTGCAAAGACCACTTGTCAAATTTAAGAGCCCATTACTTGAACACAAAAAGTACACTAGGTTTTTAATTATTACTCTCTCTATTTATTTAATAATTATGTAATTATGACAGTCATCACAATGTTGACACTGAACAAATACTGAAGGTCATGGTTCAAAAACATCTATAAACGTCTATAAACTTAAATTACTAATATGATATGAAAGAAAGTGATATGACTGGAAAGAAGACGTCTCACTCTGTTTCTATGAACTAAATGAACACATTTGTGCTTTTACAGCGGTGTTGTAGAGTGGAGCTTCCCTTTATCTTTGACAAGTGCCAATTGCATGTAGAGAGCACACAGGCCGACAACTGCCAAGTTTAATTTGAGCCTGACATCAAGTTACTGAAGGAATTAACATTAATAAGTGACAGCTGAAAAAGTAAAACATTTTCAGTTCATTATGAATCTATGGCGGGACTAATTAGACTGTGACAGAGGACATTAGTTGAGTAGATGATCCTTAAATATGGCCCAAAACACATTTGCATTCACACTGATAAAAGAATGTGGTCTGAGTGATCAGATCTCAGATGCATCCTCAAAGCGTCTTGGGCAGGTTCACATCTGAACTTGAATCTGAAGAGCTGTCCACTTGTGATTGGTTCACTCGAGACGGATGTTAATACCAGGTCTGAACAGGGCCTAAGAGATAAGGTTATATCATCGGTCGAATACTGTATATGTGAATGCAGAGAGTAAGGAGAGAAAGCAAACAGATGAAGGTCTGAAACCGGCTGACACAAGGCAGGATGCAAATAGCCTACGACGCGGTCCAGCCATTTACTAGGTTTTGACCTAGTCCTGCTTTTTGGTGGCAAACATTTAATCATTAATCTCCACCCAACATTTCCCTTTTTACATATCAGTGGAGCAATTTCAGCTGGCAACCTAGCTGCAGGTCATTTCTGTCATAAAATGGCACCAGCCATTGCAATGCTGATTATCCATATACCGTGCTGCATAGACCTACTTTTGTAGCATCACTGTATATACTGTATGAATCATTTTGGCTGGCAAGCTAGCCAAAGTTAAATAGCTAATGCTCAGACACTTCTATCTTCTAACAGTGTCTCCATCTTTTAGAGTCAATCATACTAGTAAGCTCCGCAACCATAAAAACAAACTAAACGGAAACTTGCTCTGTAAATCTGAAGGGAACTTTTTCATAAGCAGCCAGGTGATAATTATCCGTGGCTTTGTCAACACAAGCGACATTCACATTTCGCATTGTTAATACAAAACTGTAGATCAGCTTTAATTATGAAGTCCAACTCCAACTGCACAAACAGGATACAGAAAAGGAATGTGTTTATCAACTAAAAAGATTAATCACAATTTATGGGTTTAAAATGACATTGCTAGCTTACAGGAAAAAACAGGTCAAATAGAAGTCAAGAAGTCATGAATCACTGACATGAAATACTCTGTGCTAATATTAACTCTGAGCAGGTTAAAACAAACAATAAGGGTTCTCTGGAAATATTATCCTGTGTGTTCCATCGGTTGTGTGTTCCAGGATGTAGTCTCATTCAAGTTTAGCTGCACCTGTCATAATCTGGCCACCGTCCACACTTCATCCCTGAAAGGTGCGTTTAATATTGCATGGCCACTTGACAGTTGAGTATAGGCTACTGTAAAACATGTATGAGTAAAGCAGGCAGATAAACTTAACACACAGCAAAGTGTCAAACATTAGCAGATCCTTCCCTGTTTGGAGCAACAGGTAGACTTCAATTTACACTGTAGATGTCGACGCTGCACTGGACAAAATTTGCATAGAAGAATAGACCGATTTTGTCTGTTTAAGCGGGGTTTCAAGTAGAGTTGTTCCAATACAGATACTACTATCGGAAATGCCTCTGATACTGCTAAAATACATGATCGAGTACTGGTGAGTACACAAGTCTATGCACCGATCCAAAACCACATAATTTATTTATAAACTTTATAGTTTCACACCAAGATAAAACTGCAGTTTTCCCAGGAAATACTACGAATATACAGCTGTGAAAATGTTTTATGCCTCTGTGCCAGCCACAGCCAGGGCCGGAGGCATTATGTTTTCAGGATGACCGTCTGACCGTTCCATTCTTGTGACTCGAGCATGAACTGATTAGTCTTTGGTGGTAGGTCACTGTGACTTTTTTTAGCCTCTTGAATGTGATATCTCAAAACCACCATGAGGGAATTTCTTCAGATTCAGACAAACATTCACTTGGACTCAAGTCAACTAAACTGATTAGATTTTTGTGTGCCAACATCAAAGTTCAGCGTCACGGTGACCTCACGTTCTTGTCAATGCGATGATATATCAGGAACAACATTCTATATCCAGCCGGTCAGAGGACAGCTTCACTGTGACATGATAATGTTCTGCAAAAACACTTGGCCAACATTCAATGCTGTAACTCAGGAAGGGGAGATTGTGACCGAATTTCCTGTAACTTGGCTGGTTGGCAGAGGCATACAACAGCAAGGCAGTAATTTTACATTTTTTAACACAATGGTATTGGATCAATACTCAGTATCGGCCAATACACAAGTTCAGATCACTATAGGGAAGGAAAAATGATCTTGAGATTCAGTTTATCAGTTACCTCCTCATACAATATTGCCTTGTTATCGTAGCTTCAGATATTATTATCTTCAGTGGTAATATGAGGAATTGGTAAATTTATTGAACTATGACAAAAAAAACAACCTTGACAGGTCTCCATGGTGGGTGTGATAAATATGACTGTAAAATAAAAGGTTTTGTTCCGACGGTAATATAGCTTATTGCATTTCTGACTCTCGTCCCAGAGAATCCTCCCTCAGTCTAAAACTGGATTCTCTGGCCTTTTAAAGGCAATAAGCAGCACATCAATAAACAACTGCCCCGTAAACTAAACTCTGGCATTTGCACATCGTTGCTCACACACCAGCGCCAAAATTTGGCCGTAGTGTAGTTACAGGGTCACGCACAATCTTCTGCGAAGCCAGCTGCATTCATGCCACCCGAGAAATGGCTTTGCATAGTGTATTTGCATGGCAGTGCAGCATGTGTGACTGCAGCTCAGCCATTGTGACGTGAAGGACTCCTCTCACATGATTTTGGCAACTAACACAGCCTGTAAGCGCTCATGAACACAAACACAGGGCAATACCAATGAATCTGTCCACAACCCTGATTCATTTATATGTAACTGTAACATGTTTTAAAGATAAAGTTCATACAGTAATTATAGTCACAGTGCAACTCTGCTTGCTTATTACAACTCAGAGAAATACAGTACATTAAAAATGAGATTGGGGAAATCCTAAAACACATAAAGAATTCAACACTCGCAATCCAACAACAAACACATCTTCCCATGTGTGGAAAAAAAATGAGCCCTGTGCCACGCAACAAGACCAGGCACGTTGATCAAGAGATGTCCTAAGCGGGCTTACACAGCAGCACTGTTCCAATGAAATTGATAGCCAAAATGATTAAGCATGATGATTAAGTAAAGGCTTTGTTGGTCCAAGCTGTCCAATAGTTCTTGGGGAAATTAGCTGAAATGAGTCCTTGGCAATATTGTGTTCCCATAACTAAGACTCTTGCAGATGATCAATTGTCTAACACTATGTAAATAAATAAATAAAGGGAACGATTGTGTAATAAAAATATCTACCCATTGCAACTGAGTCTACAAATAGTCATTATACAAGCTACAAGAAACAATAGATGCAATCTCCAAGGTACTGCTACGGTGACCATGGAAATGTGGCACAGAGCAGCCGTTAAGAGTTGACAGTCTCACTGCTCTGACGGGACACTCGGCTACTCCAATACTGTAAAGCTATAGGATTTATCCTGTGATGTGCTTAAGGTCTTGCTCTTATCCCAAAGACTGAGTGAACGTTTAGGAGTGTTTGTTTATAGAAATAGAGGGGCCAAAGTAAGTAGAAAAAGCTCAAGTCCCCTGGGAAAGATATTCATCTGTTTACATATCTCCCACAATGGGATCTAACATGTTTTCATTGCAGCCAGATCGGGCAACCGGAAACATGGTCCTGAGCCAAATTTCCATGAGTTTAAGAGCCTTCCTCCCTCCTTTCGTCTAAAAGTTTTTTTCAACCCAGCCTAGGCCCAAACTGAAAACCCTTGGATATTTAGCCCAGTGTTTAGACTACAGTCAGATCTCTTTAATCCCTAATAAAAAGTGCTCTTATTGTGTTTCCTTAAAGATACAAACATCCAATACAAGGCAATAAACTACAACTTAAATAAAATAATGTAAATATAGTGATACCACTGAAGCTGTAAATGCTGTATGATAAGAATACTGTAAACTGACTGTTGAATGACACAGATCCTTCCTGTACAAACATTCAAGCCGGTGATTTTTAACAGGGATCGACTGCACACAGTTAGGGGGGATATAAGAAATGAGAACAAATTTATCAAGAAGTAGCCTAAACATGGGAGTCAAGACATCCGGTCTTGGTCTACATGTGACATGTGAGGACGGTCAGATTCTGTGACTGTTATTTAAATCTTTCAAAACCTTTATTTAACCAGGAAGCCTCATAAAGGCTAAAATGTTCTGCCCGTGACAGGTAGCACCAACAGACAAACACTTTTCCTCATAATTTAAGTAATTCTTAAAGAGTATTTTATTTAATCTAACTATAATAGCGTTGAAAATGAAATATTTAATTTAACACTTTACATATATGTTTAGGTTTTGACACCTGTCAATATGTGGTGAACAATTTTCAGTATCACAGTATCTGACAGGTCAGTCTACTCTGACTGTGAGTAGGTCACGTGAGGCGTGAAACTTACTTTGGCTCGTGGCTTTTTTAAAAAAAATAAATAAACGACAGCGGATGAATACTATTGAGCACATGCTATTGACAGCTGACAAAGAAACACGACTGAGTAAGTCGACTGCGTGCTATTAGATACATAATAGCCTACAAATGATTATTATAATGAGAGTAAAAGGCCGTTAAGCGCGTGAAGACTTGAAAAGACTTTACTACATCCTTGTATCTTGTTGATGTAAACTAGCAATGGAGCCCATTCAAGGTAAAAACCTAGCCTACCTCTTGTTCCCTCGTATTTATCTGTCAGCCTATCAGCATGAAGTACAATCGTCTGGCAGCGCTACCGCCTGGTGTAGTTTTAATTTCACTCTTACCAGCCTACTTACATTGTCAAAGAGTGACCCGACATTTGCGGTGACAAGCAGCACATCAGTGAATGTTTCCATGTTCACGATCCGCGTTCACAAACAGTCCGAGGAAACTCCGCAGCGTCGCCAAATGACGCGTGCCCAGGGCCTGAGACAGCTTCTCTCCAGGAGCTTACAGAGGCTTTACTGTGAGAGCCCGAATCGCGTCTACAACCGCTTAAAATTACACCAGCATCTCACTGATGACACCGTGTCGCTCCTGCTCCAACTTGTCTGCTGATGGCGGGCTGTCGTAGTATCAGGTTGTCATCATACACCGGAGCGGCGCTCATATCCATCGTCGGGCCGAGGAGGAGCAGATAAGTTGTTTTTACAGCCTGCGTGCGCGGATTTCCGCCTCCCCTCGGTTAATTGGACTAGTGGCTTCTTAGCAGACTTAAACCCGGCTGGACGTTGCATCTGCTGTTGCTTTGACAAACCGCTCTGATAACCGGACCAGGCACTTACATACAGGCGGTGCTGTGTTGTGTTGTGTTGTGCCCTGCGCTGCTCCGCCCATTGGCTGTGAGCAGTCAATTACTGTCTTCCTTATGTTCTGTCAAGTTTATCACCGCTGAGCAAACGTGGCCATCAAACTCTTCAAAGTGCTCCGAGGAAGATCCTATAATGTTAGAGAGTCACACAGTCTTGAGTATGTGGCTTCTATTGCTATTTAGCCGTTTTTCTTAATGCATTGAGCACTATATTATTATCCTACCATAATAACATGAGATGACATAAAATGCCATTGTACATAATAACTTGACTACCTGAGGAAATACCTGACAGGGCTCTCAACTCACCACTCAACATACCACAGGCTCATTGTGTGCTGTCTCAACAGGAAGTTAGTCATTTTCTTTTTGTAAAACTCTTCTTCTTTTAATGAAATATGCTCCCACTTAAGGCAGTTTGCTTTCACTCACTGAACTGTTCTTGTCCCTATCCTGTTTTACAGCTGTTCAGCATTGAAACATTATATTACAGGTGGGGTCTTATCTTTGTCTATGACTTTGCCTTAGGTGTGTGCTCATCAGTAATCATTGCTGTTACCTTTACTTACATTGCAACAAATTACAACAACAAATGACCTATGGGAACAGCCTGCCTCCTACAGCTTCTAGTCATTGCAAAAGCAGAGTAACCACAATATTTTACAACACAGCCACAGTAGCTTGTTCTTTACCCAGAGCCAAAGCTGTAAAGCTCTCATTTTGAGTAGATGGATCGGTGCCATCTCGCTGTCTGAGCTCCAGCCCAGGGTAAAACAAAGACTGCTGGGGGCCAAACTCTGGCTCTCCATAGCGCTGTTAGTGAGCTGTTCAACCATGGCGTGGTTTACACAGCCAACCTTTTGAGCTCCTCTCCCCGCTTCCTCTTACTCCTCCTCTGAGCACTGTGTGCTTTATTCACCAACTTCAACAGATCCATTTGAAAGTATTGCAAAAGAATACTGCCATGTCCATCACTGGTTCGGAAACAAAGACAGTTAAAAGGGAAACCTCTCTGAAAGGAGACTGAGGCAGTTTATTCCAGCCAGGAGGACAGGCCCTGGGTATGGATGAGGCAGCTGCAAAAGAATCAGTAATATACATTCATGGAAATAGCTCTTATTTAAAGACTCCATCCTAACAGTCAGCTAAGGGAATAAATGCAAAATACAGTGTTCAAAGTAAAGCTATCAACGTTCATGCTAGACTGAATATTGTAGCTTGGTGCCCACTGGACAATAAATCAGACAGGAAATGTTACCAGAGTCCTGACTTGCCTGCCAAGAATAGCACAGAAAAGCTACAGCTAATCAAGGCAGGACTGTTGGGAGCAAAAACATTACATTACAAAAATATCAAATGAGGATTGATTTGATTTTAAAACATTTGGCAGTAAAGGAAATAACCAAATCTCTTAGATGAGATAGGCTAAAATGGAGGCTCTAAAAACTCTAAATCAGTGGTTGTCAAATTAGTGTCTAGGGACCCCCAGGGTCCTTGAGGGGCATTCCCAAGAGAAAGGGGAATCATTTATTTTCACTATAATTCCATCAACATTGACAGGATGCATGACTATTTTGGTCATGAGTTTCAAAACTCTTTCTGTAATAAAACATCTGAAAGCAAATATCTTATCAGATGGGGGTCCGTGGCATAATTTGCGTCAGTTTAGGGGTCGTTGATGTGAAAAAGATGGAGAACCACTGCTCTAAATACTACACTATTAAAGAAGTATTATGTTTGTTATAGCTGTACTTACTGTAACGGTTTTTAAAAAAATGTTTTTAATCTTTATCGGTAGAAAATTCCTTCAACTACTGTAAAGTTACTCTAAAGTGCATCTACAATATTATACTCAAATCCCCACATTCACCTGCAACCATGTTATGGGGTGTAATCATGTCATATGTCCTGTAAGAACATGCTTAGAACTCCTTTGCGCCTGCATCACGCATGACGGTGTGAGAAATGCTCACAGAAAAAGAAACCCTCAAGTCAACTGTAGAGTCACATTCTTGAACATTTATTTTGATGAACAGTTTTGACATGATCTAAATGACTATCCCTGATAACAGCAAACTAGAGGGAGGAAAGCCTCAGTGAGAAACCCAAGAGGCTGTCCACCATGTTCCTCAGCCTAACCGGGAGCCACTCTGACTCTCCTTGAAACGTCCTCGAAGAGACTGCCAAGTAGGAAAAATATCACTGATGAGGGGAAAATAAAGACAGAGCTTTTAGAGTTCACCTCAAATAAATTAGGCGATATGGTTACTGCACAAGCAGGAAGCCGATGGAAACATGATGGCTGTTAGGGAGTGTAATAGGATGAGCATGTATCAACTAATTGCCATTATAACTGTTTTAGTGAGAAAACCAATTGTGATGTTCATCATCCTACATCACTGTTAGTGTGCCATGGGCCTTAAAGGGACAATGCTAAAAGCATCCAAAATAAATTCTTAATGAATGGACTAAAAACCCTTTTACTCCATTAGCTGAACATGAATATCTGCCTCAGTCCATAAACCTTCATCAGCGTAACTGTGTGTGCACAATTTCCACTTCATAATGTGAAGATTTACACATTCCGTGGAATAAAACACAGAAACAGACAACATATCAAGAGCTCACCTGCAACGCAAGTCCTATAGTGACCACATGTTGGTAGAAGTCTTAATGTAAAACACAAAGCTTAAAATACAAGTTTTTTTTCTCTTGGAAAAAGCCCATAAAAATATTTGAAATGTAACAAAATCTGGCATAGTGCCCGAAATCATGGGCAGAAGCCAGTCATGCAAAACCCCAACTCAACCACAGGTTTTAGCTTTAGAACAAACTAGTTTTTATCTACAATAACTCTCCTCTACATCCCAGGTATATCAGCTCTGTAATGTTAACACAGTGCAATACAAACATGACAGTAAAATAAAAATCAAAAAGTTGAAACTATCAAACAAAGACAGGAACTCAATGATAGATAATAATACAAGTTTTCTCTCAAAAGACTGCCACCAAGGAAGACAATAGTCTTTTTCTGTGCACACCTTATTTTCATTTCTAATGCAAACAGGGCTTCAAGTCGAGCTATTCCAACAGAAGGCAGCAGACTCAGAGAGACCCGTAACAGTGATGCAAACTGAACATGCCAGGCTGAGGCAGTGACCGAGGAAGCCAAATGGAGTACTGTTGACATCCGAGAGGGAATTTTCCAGTCCAGGAGTGCCAACAGAGAGTGAGCCCTGCTGACTGCCTATTTAGTCAGAGGTGCGCAAGTGGATCTCTGAGCCAGTCCGCCTCCGCAGAGGTCCTTCAGGAGCGACTGCGATCTTCTTGGGTGCCCACCAGCATTTTACTGTACAGCTTTTGCTGCTCTTCTTTAAAGGTATCTTTTACCTTTCCTCGCTTCAATCCTCCATCCCTACAAAAGAGTGTAAAATCAGTGACGACAATTATTAAGGTTGTGGACAATTATGTAGCTCACCCATGTTGGCATGAAGTGTAGATCAAGTATGCTGTATCAGTGTTTCTGACACTGCAACAGACATGATATGCAGTATATACACTGACCTGACCACAATCACAAATAAAACAATCCAACTCTACTAACCACTAACTCTGCAGTGTTTATTACTTTATCTTTTTTTTCTAAATTGTAGTTCACTTTCTGCCAAAGAAGTGTTAAATTCATTTCAAAGGTTCTTATGATGCTGCTGTCGGTGAAGTTTCACTGAACCAGCTGGGTCTCTTTGTCTTATTTTTGACTTGTTACTGCAGAAAAAGCACAGGTGTACCTGATCATGTTACATATATATTGACAGATCTCGTAGCCAGTAGGCCAACAAGTAAAATAGCGGCACCTAGGAACCAGCACACTAAAAAAGGAACAATCAAATGCAAAACTGATTTATTAAACTGTAAGCTGGTCATGATATTTTTATTGACCACATATATTTTTGATGAAGACAAAACATTATTGATTATATATAATCAAGTTTCTATATTATAATTTGTTATTAATATCATATAGAGAGTAGGTGCTATATTCATATATTCTGCTTCACAAGCTCAGAGAACAAAATTGTGGTTGTAGCATTAATTTCTCATACAGATGCCAAAATACAGGAAAACAATGATATTAAGTTGCACCACTTTGCTCACTGTCTTATTGAAACTGTAGTTTAACTGCAGTGACCATTTTAGTAAAGCGGAAAGTCAAAACGTCTATTTAATAAACAAGATCTGGTATATTTCAGTCATTTAGCAATGGTGTATATGGGACTGCAGTGTCAGACCTGAGTCCATAAGAACAGTAACAGAGAGGTATTTGACCTTTTTCATGCCAGCCATTTTAACTTATCTTAGAGGAAAAAGCACAGGTGGAACCAATAACATTAACGATGGCTCAGTTCTATTGAACCACTGCAGAGAGTGGGCATACATGACACCAGCACCATTTGACTGGATCACCTACACTGAATACAGTTATTATTCATATTACTGACTACACCTGTGATGACATGTCAAAGGGTCATAGGGTTCAGTCGAAGGGTTTGTATGTGAGAGTGGTAGAAACCATTGAGTTGAGTGGGTGTTATCTTACCACAAGAGATCGACTAGTCCCCCTTGCCTGGCTATAGCTGCCTTTACACGATTGGCAAACTGCACAGCATCCTCTCCCTCCTGTTGGTGAAGATTGACATGCATGGAAACACGGGCAAACAAGTGGTCATAAAAAAATAATTTATAGCATAGCTATTCTCATTTCTAAAAGCTTTATTCAAATGTGGAGCTTTGTCATTTGCTGTTGATTTAACAGTCAACCAAACAATTGTGGTTTCTCTCAGTGGTGTGGATCTTCATGAATTTACAGAAAAAAGGAGCTGCAAAGAGAGGCTCTGGAGTAGAGAAGAAAAATTGATCCTGGTAAGTTTTGAAATTATTATTATTATTATTTTTTTTTTTTTGGGCTTTTTGTGCCTTTACAGTAGAGAGACAGGAAATGGGGAGGCAGAGAGAGGGGGAATGACACGCAGGAAAGGGCCGTCCGAAGCGGGAGTTGAGCCGGGGGCCAGCTGCAGCGAGGACTGTAGCCTTTATATATGGGGCACCTGCGTAACCCACTGCGCTACGCGATGCCCCAAGTTTTGAAATTATTGTGTAAGAGCTTGTCTGTATACACGTTGCGCCTATTGTCACAGCAAACGTATTTATTGTAGGTTGTGTGCCAAATGACAAACACAGCAAAACTGCTCCTTCACAAAAATCTGTTGTGAAGTCTCAAGTTAACCATGGAGTCTCACCTCTCTAGACATGGGAGGGAGGTACCACACACTGCAGACGATGGCCCAGCTGCTCATCATACGTAACAGGTAGTTGACCATGCCAAACTTGCTGCTATTCCAGAATGCGTCTCCAAAGCGAGGATCATACTACGAGGATCAAACACACCAGAATTATTAATCAATATTCATATTATTTTGAACAAAGTGCTAAAAAAAAAGTTAAAAAAAAAAAAATAATATTGGTGGTTAAAACATGTAACAGGTAAAAATAACATCTCAAAAAGAAAAAGAAAAAAAAAAAAAAAGGAATCACTCTCACCTTAATGGCCACAGGGTAGACTGTGGCACCAATCTCAAAACTGCCCTTCTTAAACATCATAACTGATGTGTTGTTAATGCAGGTACCTGCGGATTTAGAGGAGTTATAACAAAATAATTTGAGCCTTTTTAAGAAAACCAGATGGCTATCATGTGATTACAAAGTTGTTCTATCTATACTAGATCACTGAACCAGCTCACCTTCTGGGAAAATGAGAATAGGCAGTTTGGATTTATCTTCTACATGGTCACTCAATCTGTAATACAAGAAGTATGTAGGTTATTACTAAAAATCTCATTTTGAGATCCAATACACAGAATTAAAATCTAAAAGAACAAAAAACTAACTTTTTTTTTGTTACACAAGTTACACAAATGAAAATTCCAACAGACTAACACTCAAATTCAATACAAAAATGTTACGATTCAACAGCTCTAACTGAATGACAAGAAACTGTATTATAGGTTGAGGTAAAAAAAAAACAAACAAACTGTAATGAAGTGTGTGAAAACAATAAACTAAATAAAAATAAAGGTTGTAATATTACCTTTTGGCCACTAGATGTCTGTCTTTGACTTCTGAGCGTTCAAACCAAATGTGTGGACATGCCTTGACCATGGATCTCTGAATGACCCCCATCAAGCCACCGTGAATTTGGCCAACCTGACACAACACAAACACAAAGACATGCTTATAGCAACTCGTCTATTTCTGGGAGAAATGTCATTTCAACAGAGAAGCAGTTGCCAAGGAAAAAGTGACCAGTGTAAGTGTTTTCTGTAGTTTCCTGCTAGGAAGTAGTAAAGTTACCATAGCATAGCAGCCATCACTGGCCAGGATGATAACATCTATGGGTGAGGTGTGGTTGGCGACACAGATGCCTCCATTCTTGGGTTTATTCTCACTGGAAAAGTGGAGAGAGGGAGACTGTTAATCTATCATGAAGGCACTTTCTGGAAGATTTATCATCAAGAACTGAAATGATTTGAGAGTGGTGTCAAGTATCAAAATGCATTTTTAGTACACAAAGAAGAAAGAAATGCAATCAGATGTCAAAACTATAATTCTTCATGGTCCTCTGCCTCTCCCAGGCTTCTGGTGAAAAACAAAGCAACCCATGGTTTCTCTGTTAAAAGGTTTGACCCCCAGAGCACGCAGGACCTGAATGTACTTAGTCCACATTCCTAAGATAGAGTTACAATTTTAAATAGAGAGAGAGAGAGAGAGAGAGAGAGAGAGCAAGACTTCCCATGTCACTTGTGTATTTTTAGCCCCAGACTGGAGAGGAATACATGTTACAACAGGCTAAGTCTTGATGACAGACATTCAGAAAGACACAAGAAATGATAAAGGTCCTTCTCGTATGACTACTTGATCTATATCAATGTGTTCTTTCTCAATTAATTAAACAAGGGGAGGGAAATTCAATAAAAGTAATTCAGGCAGGCCTGCACTGCAGTTAACCAAAACAACAGCAGCTGTTATGTACCTCAGTTTATGGGCAAATACATGAAACATTAACTTCCTCCTCCACATCCTGTTGCATGCGCCATCCTCTTGATAAAGGCTCTGACTCCTGTTTCATGTTTGTCTTTAATTCTTACTCTGACAAATCTAAATAAAATGTTCCCTTCACTTATAAACCAAACCCTTCACTACCAACATCCACTTCAATCAAAATAGAAAATACCAGTGCACAGTCCACTCTCTATTTAGCTATATGAATTCAGTAGTTTCAAGCATTGTGTTAAAGTTTTAAAAACCACTGTAGCCTGGTAAAGTGTTCTTTGGATTTGTGTATAAGAAAGCATTGCTGACTAGAGGTTTGTGCTGCACTGAGGCTCACAATGCCTGCTGCAATGAATATGAATGTAGACAGTTTAGCCTAGGGGACCCCTTCTTTTCATAGTTGCACTCAGAGTGCTCACATTGCAACTGCTAACACACCCAGGTTTTTGTTCTCCAAAGGCAACTCATCTGTCATTATGTAATCTCACATAGACCTCTCTCACGTCACGGCAAGAGGTTCTGTGGCAGATCGTGTTTGAGAATGAAGAATAATGAGACCACATGAAGATTTGAGTGACGTTTTATATTACATCCCACTGGATTCAAATTTATATAACTTGAAGTCAAAACTTTCATTGTTCTTACTTTGCCCCATCATGACATATCTTGAAACATTTGTTACCTTACTTTGTGGAAAAAAATGTTTTACTGTAACATGCCAAAACATAATGCCTTGTAATGTCAAACTCTCCATTTGTACTTCACACACTGTGTCCTTTTATGCATGTTATTTCTCTGTCTACTAGTTACTTCCACAACAGTAAACAAGTGAGCATCACTACAGAACTCAGAATGCCGATAATCAACAGCAGCACTGCTACACTTTTGTGAATGACCTATAAGTAGGTTTTGCAAAGTTTTATCCATGTACAGGACCTATCATGCTAAGTTTTATGGTGAAGACTAACTAAACTGGTGACAAAAAGTGGAAGTGATAAAGAGCCAATAAACTGTAACCAACAGATTCAATGGCAATTTGTCAGAAATACAGCATTCAGAGTAAGAACTGTGCAAAGAGCATATAAAATAAATGGCTCGTTCTAAGTCAAAATGTGTGTATTTAAAATGTCTCCTATAGTATATACACAGGTGACATTTAACCACCTAAGGCAGTTGGATTGCCAGGCCCCAAACTGTTGGCTTGTGGCAGAAACACAGTAGTTTGGACCAATCAGCGTCCAATGATGGAGGAACTACTGGCAGCTACAGAGAAGCGACTGTTTTGGTATTCATAAGAGTGCTTTTTTTGCGTACATTTTCATAACAAGGACAGTATGAATCATTTACCAACACGCTAATTAGCTTTCAAAGCTCCTCAAGTTTGTTGTTGTGTTGTGTTTCCTCTTTAGCGTTCTCCTACTACATCATATGATAGACAGATGGTTCATCCAATCACCTGCCAATTATTTTTTGAAAGCACCGGCCCTTTTCCAAACAGTTTCCAACAAAGCCTGATGGCTCCATGTAACAAACCATCTGGTGCGGTCTGAATGCTATGGGTGTTTTAGGGATCATTACTTTGCTTCCCTTATTTCTGTTGACATGATTACCATGAGTCGTTCATCTGACTTAATTAGATTACTTGACCGTCTCATGTATTTGCACACAGTCTTCCTCCACCTTCCCTTTACCCATCTTGTCCTTATCCATCAGGGGCTGTAAATTCTGCACCAGAAAGTTGAGTAGTAGACTTCCTGGTTAAATAGATAAAAACACTGTAGGTCCTTTACCTGTCATGATAGGTTATAATGGCTGTCAGAGCTCTGACACATATTCTGTAGCACATCAAATGGACTTTCTCACTCAGAAAGTTTTTCATCCTGCAAGAAGGAGCATACAACAACACCATTTACTTTGTGTGTCAAGACAGCAAATCTAAGATGATTATACCCAGCAGTCTGAGCTGATATTTTTGATAAATTAAAACAGACAAGCTTGTCATCAGCTGTACCTTCCATTCGGCAGCAGCCCAACAAGAGAAGTGAGGAACACAAGGAGGCCGACACCAGTGAAGGCAAGAGTTACCCTGGTGGAGAGGCAGACAGGCAGGTTACACATAATCCTTTGACAGGGAGTTTTACAGCAAAACACAGAAAGGAGGGATTCCATGTTTTGGACGCACACCTTGAACTAATTAACCTTTTAACTGGCATTTAAATGTAAGAAAATGATCCTTAGCCATAAAAGTTCCTTTCTGTACTACAAGCTTTCACTGAGAAGACTGACCACTCAGTTAACATATATGGTCATGAATAATGTTATCCCAGAGAGAGGGGCTCTTGTTATCAATTAAAAATATCATGCTTTCCTCTACTCGCCACTGATAATAGACTCCAGGACCTGCAGGACGGCATATTAGGCAATGGTTAAGCTGACCAACAGGTCGACTTAATCTGGATCAATCATCCAGGGTTGGAGAAGGTGCTAATCAAAATGGGCAAGGATCGGAAAAACGTTGAAGACGTGAAGTTTTCTTGCAAGTCGTGAGCCAGGCCAGAATTCAACTGGACAGGCACTGAAGAGAATATCATTTATTAGCTGGATGGGGGACTAGAATGATGCCTGTCTGTGCAGTGGTGGCCTGATTCGTCTCCCCACTGGCAACTGGAAATGAGCCAGCCAGGCTTAGTACTGAGTCACTGTCCTTGCGCCTCTCTAAGCTCACCCTGGACAAGGATCTCGCTCTTTTACTCACTGCATGTGCAAACATTTAAGCTTTCTTTTGTGTTGTGGAGTGGTCCCACACTCCATGCAGTGTGCACACATTAATGACTTTTCACAATGTGCACACATCATGAATACAGCTACTGTATAAGTTTTCATTTCTAAATATTTTGGTTATGCAACAGTTTCCCCACATCAGTTTCCAATAAAAGCAACTTTTGTTCCATCATTCCTCTCATTAGTGCAAAAAGATGCCTCAACATTTTTGAGACATCTACAACAGAACAAGATTAAAAAAAAATCTGGTTTTAAAAAAAAAATTTAAGCCCTTGATTGGAGATGAGGTTGCATTGTGGCTCATAAGGTCCAGGATTTGAACCCGTCCCTGCTGGCTGGTGCCTTTTTGCCAATTTTCTTTCCCTGTGTCTGTGTAGGTTTGCTCCCACAGTCAAACAACATCCTTGTTAGGTGAGTTGGAAACAAAATTTTCCATAGATGTGAATGTGTTGCCTGTGTAGGCTATATATGTTGGCCCTGTGATGAACCACAGACCTGTCCAGGGTGTACCCAACCTCTCGGTTAAAGCATGCCTGCAACGCCAGCGACTACACACAGGTATTGGTTCTGTGGCTGGTTTGGCTTTGTGTCAACCACTATGCACAGTCAGCACATTTTAAGCTCAAGTTGCGACTCCTCAAATAGCAGCCAAATATGAAGCCTCGGGTTATATCATGGAGGTTTTGTATCAGATACCCAACAGGTGAAAATCTTGAAATCTGTTAGTTAAATCCCAACGTAGAATTATTTTAAAACATAAAACTGAGATGACTGGAGGAAACACGTTTCGTGCTGCAGTATTTAATAGCAATATTTAACTGAGAGCAGCTTTGAATTCCTGTTATACTAGCACTTTTGTTAGTGTCATAGTCAAATTTTTGGAATTATGTTATACTGGTGGCTATTTGTGAAGTAGGGACTAAAATTACATTTCTAGCCCTGACTCGGTGTGTTCAGTCTTTTCAAAAATGTTACTGTGGTAAGAGTTACTCTTCTAACATCAAAAAACCTCTATATTGGCGGTATAATTCTTACCTGAGAGGCAGCAGGAAGCCGTAGCGGATCAGCAGGCCCAGCCCCCATAGGACGGTCAGCCTCAGGCTGATGTAGTGGAAGTTGTAGTTGCTGCGGGTCAGCAGATTCCAGGACTCCAACTCCTCAGCAGAGAACCGCTTGGTCACCTCATCGTCCATGATGCTCTCCACTCCTCGCCGAGCAAAATAGAAGATGTCAGACATCTCAAACTCAGGGGCTGAGTCCAAGTCTCTGTTGCTGCCGCTCCGCCGGATCTCCTTGATCTCCTGCTCCAAGGAGGTTGGCTCTCTGGCAATGATTGCTGGAGCGAGTTAGAGAGACAGGATATCAGCACTACTCGCTTGTGAAACAAATATACCTACTGAGCATGCACACATGCATCAAAACAAACTGATATCACATCTTACCATTTGAGTAGGGTTTGTACAGAAGGTGATTCTTTTCTTTTGCTCCTCTCTCTATCCTGAGTGTGGCCCACTAGAGAGAAACAACAAAAACTGTGTAAAAACTCATGAAGGACCCAAAACACATTGAATACGTCTTGCTCATATTGCTTCTTTAACAAAGATTTCGTCACATTGAACTTTTGTTTATATGGGGTCTGAAACGCACTGTGTACACATACAGACAACATGCACAAAGCTTCTGTAGCAGACAGCTGCCACTATTACCAAACTGATGTAATGTCTGACTTTCAACATTCAATAAAGTCAAAACAGCAAGTTCTTCATTATGATCAGTCTCAAGTGCTGACTGCTAAAGTTGTCTACTGTTAGTCTGTCTGTTCTGTGTTTGGTTGTTCATGTTGTTAACTGTTGTCAAAGCTGAGGAAAGAGATTCTGAATTCTCAGAGGTTGACCTCATCCTGGGCCAAGAAAATGCACAGCTTATCTGTTGCCACAGCCTTGCTCTAAGAGACTTACAATGCCCACTTCTCCCTCTTGATGTACAGTAAGTGACAAAATTGTATTGCCTGAAGTAAAAGCCTGGTCTTTTATGTGCATGTCGCATGCTGGAACAAAAACTAACAGGTAATGTCCACTGAGAGGCAGGAAAAGGACACAATGTTCTCCTCGCTGTAAGACAAGCAGGAAAGATCAGGAAATTATGGACTGGGAGGTGCTGGGTGTGTGGATGTGCGCAGTTTCAGACTACACTTCATACCACAGCATTTAAGGTTTGTCTACATCAGTCAATGTTAGCGAATAAACTCAAACTGCAGGAAAGCTGCATGTTCATGGGTATCCTCAAATACAGTGACACTATGCCTGCATGTTTGTACAGGTCAAAATCACAGGAGTTAGCCAGGGGCACTTGGAAAACAATTCTAAGAATGTTGACTGATACAGTGGTTTTCCGTGCACCTCAGGGCTGCAGATGTCATGCTGGGAAAGAACAACCTTGTAACTCTAGGGCACATGACTTTTACTTTTCTACATACTTCATCAAACCTAAAAAGGTACACAGACCTTTTATGACATGGGGCTGATGACATTCTGAAAAGATTTGATGTTTATAGACTTAGAGATTTATAGACTTAGAGATATATAGATAGGCACAAACATTACCACACCTTACACTATTTTACAAATACCTTTAAATTGTGTTGCGACAAGCTTACTGAGTCATCATGTTAAAATGCAGCTGCAGTTGAAACTAATGATTGTTTTGGTGAAGAGGAGGAGGAGCACAGAGAGCTGCTCTTTCTAGTAAGAGAACAATAACAACATGAAGTGGGTCCATCATGGTAGTATATGGCTGCAGAGGTGCATGTGAAAGAGAAGGTGTTTACTTATTTATCCACTATGAATTATTACAGGTGTATACCCAATCATACCCACGACACACCTTCACAGGCAATGAGACATATGCAAATGGTAAAAGCCAGAAAAGACTGCATCTGTCCTTTGACCTTATCTCTAAATCTCATGGTTGCTAGTGGAATCATGAGCTGAGAAAACCTCTCTCTCTTATCATATTTCCCACTAGTCCATTTATTTCTGGCACAAGATCTGCTCACAGAGGTACATGTTGGAAGGTGATGACAGCTTAACTAGTGACGCTACACCAGAGATAGCAGAAGGATTGAAACTGGATAACCATTTTTGAAGTCAAATAGGCAAGGAGATTATTAAATAGTAAATCTTGAACCAGCCCAGCTGATGCATTAATGCCATCAATGGCGATTCATGTTCATCTCTAGAAAGGGAAAACTGCAAATCAGAGAATGACATTCCAGGATTCTAGGGCCACGTCACAGACGACAGTTACTGACAAGGTCTGTACCACTGTTTTCTCTGGTTACATAACAAGGGAATAATGGTTCTGTGGCTGTGTTGTTAGTCTGCATCAGTTAGTCTGCAGACAGTTACTACCATGACCGCTGGTTGGAGGCTAAAGACAAGCATAAAGCCTGCAACCAGAATTACAACTGCATTAATGATACTGTATTCTGGAAACTGCTTACCAGAAGCGGACTGTGTTGACTGAAAGGGTGGGAAAAATGCACAGCCAGAGCAAATACAGGTTGTCATTGAAGAGCAGAGCCAACAAGTTTTAAGAACTATAGTTGGTTGAATAACAGGACGTTTGGCAGAAGCAGACACAGAGAATTATTTTAACTGGGACATGTGCAGGAACAGTAACAAAACCTTTCACCAATCTTTTATGTTGTGTGTATGGTATTTCAATTGCATTCTCAGATCCAACCCAGAAGTAAACATTTATGATTCAAACTGCAGTTAACATTGTATGGTTCCTAGTTTCTTCAAATAAACAGAGAGTATGCGGCGAGCTCTTACCTCAAAGATCTTTAACAATGTTTTCATGTAAAGACGTCGGATGCCAAAGGACACCCCAAAGATGGCAGGCACGATGATGAAGACCAGCAGCAGGGTGAACCACACGGTGAAGGAGATACCCAGCAGGATACACACCAAGTTGTCAAAGGGGTTGAAGAAGAGCTCCATCTTGAAGTCAGGAGGGCGATGAAATCTATTAAATAGTTGAAATCAGAGGGCAGAGCAGATGGCACTCCACCTCCTGGCCCTAAGTGGCCTTTATCTTTTGTCAGAATAAGGCCTTCATCAAGATAACTAGGGGACGGAGCTTCTCCTCATGCTGAGCAGAGATTCAATACAAGTACAAGTGACCATCTTAGCGTTGCCCTCTTGGGCAATATAAATGAATTTCATTATTTTCACCGTGAATCAGTTCCTGAAGCTCAGTTGAATTAAAATCCAAGAACTGGAAGGTAAAGTTTTGAAAACAGCTGTGATGAAATAATGGCCGTCCTTGCTTCAGATGTCCTCTTTTGCTATTTGTACAAAGCCTCCCACTGGTGACAGAGATGTAAACAATGAAACAAAAACAAGAGCGCACAGCAGGTGGTTCTCTTGTCTGTTGAGGATCCAGGGGCTCCGCAGCTCAGTGTCACACAGACCTGCAAACATGCACAAATAAGTCAGGATGATCCACAATAACATATCCACTTTGGCCTGAGCACATCATGTACTTTAATAATGCAAGACAGAAAACGTGTCTCTGAATCAATGTCTTCTATGTGCATTTTAAATAACGGTGTGCAAAGTTAATACTAACCCTGTGGCTATTCTGAGATTAAACAGATGGCACTAATTTTGAAAACGCTGATTAATAGTAGTGTGTCTATTTTCAGTGAAGGACCAGATAAGTTTACATGTTAATGTTACTGTTATCAGCCACGGTGCAGAGATAACGTTAGAGGCCCTCCATCCTCACCCCCTCGGATGATGCAGCAGGACGGCTAACGAGAAGCTCCATCCCGAATAAGACCACACTGGGTTAGCCTTCCTCATCATTGCCTCCAGTGAACAGTTAACCAACGCTGTCTGTGGTAGTTTAGCAGCCTCCCAACCCGACACAGCTAATTACATCCAAGCAAGACCTAAGCTAGTGCTGCGTGGTGAAACTGAAGGCTCCTGAATCCGCACGGACGAAATAAAGTCTATGCTCAAGTTAGCTTGTGGCCTCCGAGCTAATGGTATGCTATATTTTGTCTCCTGGCGTGCTCCACCTCGCTCAGCTAGCTTGCTCCGAGCCCTTGAGAGTGCCGTCCGGGTGTACATGAAACGCTGAGCCAACCTTTTTATTATAAGCTTGGGTTCGGTACGCCAACTTGGTATCTTAACAGGTTATCGTCCTAACTAACCGTTAAAATACACGCAGTTTAATGGACATAACAGTCAACCAACCTTCCGTCACGTTGTGTCCAAAGCCGGTACAGTAGCGTTTCATGGGTCCATCACTTGTCTTTGTCTTGCGGACTGTAGCCAAACTCCACCCGGCGGACAACACGAGCAGACAACGGCTCGACGGCGGCTACGTATTTGAGTCGACCAGTCCTCTGCCGGAACCCCCAAACAACATGCTCGGTTGTGCCCTGACACCTGGTGGTCGAAACGGGACACTGCGTTGGATTTTTAAGAGTTATATTTGTACTATTTTTGTCCACCAGCGGCGCTATTGAGCGATGTTTTGATAAAGGCAACTTTGCCACAGTCGCTTTACTGCAATGGGTGTATTTAAGGGAGAAAAAAAAATCTGAATTCAAGTACTGAATTTGCCTCGCATTGTTTTTCGGCTGACAAATCAATAGCAGGGTGGGCAAGGAGCTGTGTAACCACGTTTAACTTTTCAGTAAGACTATTTTAAGTTCTTCCCTATTTAGCATTCACAAGCAGTACAAAAACATTTAATAAATGATTAATAACACACTGTAATGCGCAAAATAAAAAAATGTTTATTCATTTATTTGTCAAAAACTAATACAAAATATGTCTTTGTAGAAGTTATTTTTGACAAATACTGTACATTAATAAACACTTGAAAATGTAGCCAATTAAAACGTAAACCAGTTATTAAATGTTTGTATAATGCTTATAAAAGAGAGGGACCTACAGTAGCGTTACCAACTTTTCAAATGTAATTCTTCAATGCTTCAATCAGACAAACAAAAGGGCAATCACCTGAGTTGCATTAGGGAAGCGAAAGAAAATCTCCCACATTTCAAACCTAAGCAAAGAGAACCAAATATTTTTCTGCATGGCCACTACAGTTAAGTTGGTAAGGTAATGGTAAGGTCAGAGGTAATGTCCTTTTTTTTTGTAATTTGGGTGAATCAACCATTTAAATCATTGGACACCAACATGAATAACAAAAACTTTTTTTATTCACACATTTACATCCATGTACAACCTTGTCAAGTAATTTCAGATACAGAGAAATGAAAACAGGACTGACATTTGGCAAACCATTCAACCTTTGAATTAATATACCTGTTCCACAAGAAGAAAATAAAACCTGTTATGTTTCATATTTACAGATAGTGTATTTCAATATGTTATTATAGCCACTCTGTAAACACATAAGCACAATCAACTTCTGTTGGATGTCAAGCCCCAAAGGTACAGTCCACAGTAACAGTGAGCATGTTGTCAACATCTCAACCTACCACAAGTGCATCCATCTGTCAAGATTGAAGAGGCTTCGCTGCTCTGATGAGCATCAAGCGCTGCCCTCCAATAGAGCCTCAAAGTCTGGGGAACAAACCATTTTGTGTTTGACATTTCCTAACACAGTCAAGTCACCTGTTCTTCCCTCCGTACCAATAGAGACCAGCTCCTGAGAGAGCAGGGGGTGGGGAAGCAGAGAAGACCATATCAGTAATGTTCATAATTCTGATAGAAAATATTCATTCTATGATAAATTAATAAAACAGTAGCCTGTAGAGAGATACTGAAATACAGATGTATAGAAACAGAGACAGTACAGAGACAAACACAGACAGAGAGCGAGACATATCAATAAATATACTACTATCATACCTGAAGAAAAGAGCATGATGTTCCCAGAGACACATCAAGTGTCACTTGTCCCAGTATGAGCTGTACCCGGCCAGACTTCCTCACCAGCATCTTTCCTACAAGTCCCTCCCGCAGATCTTTCAGATTGCAGCTGTTCTCTTCAGTTTCCTCTTCCTGTTTAAAATCAAAATACCATTTACACATGTAACCTTAATATGAACATGTATTTAACACACAGACAACAACTCTATCTACCTGAGACTCTGTTTTCAGAAGCACAGACTGTCCATCCTCTGACTGCACCTCTGTCTTCACCGGCCGGTGCTCTATGGTGGGAGGCTGGCCGGGCAGCGAGTCCGGCAGCTGCATGAAGAACAGCTCCTCCTCTTTGCTCAGACTCCATCTTTGCAGCAGGTCATGCAGAACCTCAGGCTCGGGTAGAGGGGGAGGCTTGAAAGCTACCTCTGACTTCTTTATTTCCACTTCCTCTGGCTCCTGTTTAACTGAAAAGAGGACAATGTGTATTTTAAGAGAGCAGCTACGTGGCCAAGCATGGTTCTAAGTTATTTCATGCTTTCACAAGCTATCGAAAATAATCAATTGAAGAAGTCAAAATGTCAAAAATCTGCAGTTACCTTTAACTGCAGGCTCCATGGGTTCACAATCCTCCTCCATTTTCTCAATTTTAACAGGAGAGTTACTAAATTCCTCCTTGAACCCCCAACCTGACACAGCAAGGGGAAGCTGGACAGGGCAGCTCCTCTGCTCACTTCTCAGGAAGGGATCATCTATTAACTGAGAGAATACGATAGGAAAAGGAAGTTAATTCAATGGAAAATGCAAAATAAAGACGACTGACAACCAGGACTCACATTGTCTCGTTCCAGACTGCGCAGGATCTCCTTAGTCTCCTCCTCAGTCTCCCGCTTCTCCTTTTTAATATTGATGATGGGTGAAGGCCCCACACTCGGAGCCTCTCTTTCGTTTTCATAGCCACCTGTGTTTAATACAAGAATTCACTCAACTGCATTGGTTGAATTAAAAAAAACAAAAAAAAAACAAAACATAAGCCATAGTGGTGCAGAGTGATTGGTTATCCAGCTGAATTTGTACCTTTCTTTTTCATCATCATCTCTGCAGGCCCCTGTTCAAAAATAGAGTGGGACTGGATGACCTCTGGGCGACCTCGGCCCCTGCCTCTATCTCTTGGGCCTCGACCTCGTTCAGCATCCTTCCTCTCTCTCCTTTGCCCGCCCTCAGCTTTTGTTCTGTCATGACAAAGTTATTGGTCAACAATCAGAAAAGCAGTTCAATCTATTTTTTTGGTATATTTTTTTCCTTTAATGTCAATTATGAACTTACTCCTCTTTGGCTTTACGGCCGATAATGTTGGGTGTAAACGTTTTCTAAAAAGTAAAACACAAAAACAAGACTCAACTATTGGAACAGTCATAAATATTAAAAAATTGATTTATATATAATTCACTGATTCATTATGTATCATTCACTTGAAATATTGTTCAATGAAATACAGTGCATTACCTTCTTCACTCCTCCTAGGGTGAGGTCTCTTGATCGCATTGAAGGCAGGCGGGCGGGAGAGATGCCGGCTGATGGTCGGCGGCCCATCAGCAGTCCTACGCCGCTCCCTCCAGGAGCTGGCGCCCGCTGACCACTGGGGTCACCTGAGCCCGAATCAGCCATCCTAAACTGGAGATATTGCATTTTACTTGTTAATTTGTTTGTGCATTAAAATGCTTCGGGAGTTAAAACGAATTAGGGCTGCAACTAACAATTTTTTGTCATTCTTCATTAACCTGCTGATTATTATTTTTTTCAATGAATTGCTTTGTCTATAAAATACCAGAAAATAGTAAAATAATAAGGCCTGTTCTAATTTCCCTCAGGTGACATCTTGAAAGGCCTTGTTTTGTGTGAACAACAGTCCAAAATTCAAAGATATTCAGTTTACTATTAGGTGTGACAAAGAAGTATCAAATCCTCATATCTGAGAAGCTGGAAAGAGCAAATGTTTGACAGTAACTTAAAAATGACTAAACGATTATTCAGTTATTAAGACAGCTGCCGATTAATTTTCCTACTGTAGATCAACTGATTAATTGACAGACATTGATTGTTGTACAACTGTAACGCCCCTGATAAAGTTCATCATGACAGTTGTAAAACCTGGACAGACACTTAACAGGGTCTGAGCCTAACTGCTATTTGAGTAACCTAAATGTCCTAGGAGAAATAATGTGCTCAGGAAAGGCTCCCATCAATTTTCTTTTGTTCAGTGTTTGAGGCATGACATCCTAAAGAACTCCTGCTTTTGTTTCACAATTTTTAATCGTCTCAGTATATTATATTATTACATAATATAACGGATTGCTATATATAGAAAAACAGTGCTCTCCTGTATGGAGAAAACACAAGTCTGGCATCACAGCAGCGCTTGTATTTCAGTGATATAAACAACTGACAGTCATTTTAAGAGTACGGGCCACATTACCACTTTAAACTGCATTTTTTAAACCACCATAGTCATGGTTTGTGTCAACAACAGAGCAAAAATTCAGCAACACGTGGCCAAATCACAACACGAATACAAACATACAGTACAAATATACTGAACTTTAACACTGTCAACGATAACCTTTGACACTCTGTACTTCTAGGGATACTTACGTTATGATTCCTCTGATGTCCTAAGTAGATATTAAGTTCAAAGTCGGAGCAGAAGAATCATAGAATCATTACAAGTTGTGTTGTGCTAACGCCGCTTCTGACACTGCCGAACGTGCGGCGCCATGACACTTCCGCCGCGTCATCAGCCCCTATGTTCACGTGGACCGAACCTGCGCAGAAAGACTCGCATATTCATCAATTATCATATATCTCACTTCTTATGTATATTTCACCCACAGTGTTGTCTGGGCCATAGTCATATATAAATTTCAAGTGCATAATGATTCAATAAAGCCAAAGATGACGTATGTATGTTGAACTTGGACCAATTGGTGTGTGTAATTTGCGTTATTCTATACAGTCAGTGTACAAAGTGTATTACGTTGCCAGGTTCTGAATGTCATGAGTTTGCTTATGCTTATAGATAAACTATTTCAGATTAATCATACTTCAAGCACTTACAGGCAACATTTACATACTGGGCCAACAGAATTTGAATTTAGAGAGCTTTGCTACATTACATACAGTGCAATGCAAAGGATATGAACAATAATACAGTATGCATGCAAAGTGCTATATTAATAAGTAAAGTCTTTGTGACTGGTGATCTAAGCACTAATGAGAGTAGGCTGCATAAACATTGCATTCAAAAGTTAACATCGGATCAGAGGCAATGTTTTCCATTTTGTTCCATTCTACACGCCTGATTAACATCTAACTGAACCTTTTGTTTGAAATGGCTTTCCATCCATACAGAGAAAACATTTTTGTGTGGGTGGTGAATCTATTTGTGACTGTTGGAACAGAGGTGGCAGAGGTGAAGTATTCCTTTCTCTTAGCTAGAAAATTCTAATAAAAATCAGTTTGTCTCTTACTTGTTTTGAGCTTCTTTGTGGTTGTTAAGTGTATAGTTGTTAGGGGCACATGATCTCTCGGGCCCCTGGCCCTTTGCCTGCTAGGTCCATTCAGTAATCCATTAGCAATATCTAGTTTCATATTACTACAACACCAATCTAATTTACTGTTATTATTTCCAGCTCGTGGCACCACAGTTTAGACATTGTATATAATTATTAATGTGTAATGTGACTGCTGCAAATGTACACTGGGGTTTGTCAGTGTATACCCATGACCAAAAGAGCAGTCATGAGAGACTTACCAACATACCCAAAGAAAATTCACAAGCGTCCCATGTTATATCCATATGCATCTAATCAGCATTGAGCTATACTTGTGAAATTTGTCTATAATTTGGGGCACAAAGATTCATATAATGAAATGCAAAGACAGTATGATGCTTAAAATCATGTAAAGTGTAAACAGTTCTGGTACTATCCCGCTGAAGGAGCGAGAGAGAGAAATAAAGCGTTGCTCCGGGCTGCTTCTCAGGCCAGACACCCGCTCCAACCGGCTGGTGTCTGCTGATAATGCCAGGACCTTGGGGTTGGTCTCATATTATATGTAAAGATATATGATGGACTGTGATTAATTAATCCACACAAAATTTGGAAAATAATAAAATTTGCCAATGTGTGTACACATCACTCAAACGAGAGATATTGCCCTGTTTTTCGACAACATAAATGGTTTACATGAATGGGGCCAAAATCTCTGTTCCCACCACTGGGGCTGAGATGGTTATTTGGACAGAGGCAAACTGTCATGGCATGACTAATGATGGATGATTGCAGTTTAATTACACTCCGAGGGTATCACTTATCTATGGCTGGCTGGAAATAAGAGAAGCTTTTCAATATCGCACACAGTGGAATTATAGCAATATATCTTTGTCATTTTTTAAAATACAAATATTATTTATTTGTCAAAGGACTGCACTCTCACTATTAGTTTATCCCTTTGTTAGTTGTCTTTATCCGAAGCCCATACCCATTGTTTTGGCAGTAGATTATAGGCATTAATCTGTGAAGGGTCTCTCTTAATCTTTACTGAAATCCTATAGATGTCCCCTGAGGTTGAACCAGCACGAACACATCCCTCTGAAAATTAATGCCTGTGGAAATCTGCTTACTCTGGACTTACATAGTGGCGTCCCTCGCCTCCGTATGGGCTGGGGGGGAGATGCCCTGTGGAGTTAGTCCATATGGCATAACAGTTGGCACATATATATTTTTTCTTGATGGTGCTCTATGTAATTTACTGGGACATCACTAACAGCGTAATCCCTTCTGAATGCTCAGTAGTAAGTGGAGTGTGTATAAAATGGTTCATTTGTTTTCCTCACACCCCCAGTGTCCATACTGTCTCCATATCTGAGAGGTGACATTTATGCAAACAGCTAAGTGTTCAGTCTGTATCAGTGTGTGTGTGTGTGTGTGTGTGTGTGTGTGTGTGTGTTTCTGTGTGTGTTTCTGTGTGTGTGTGGATTTTGGGCCTCGGGGCAGATTTACTGGCGAGTGATGTGATGTGTATGACTGGCTGGCAAAAGCACGATGCTGACGAGGTTGACTGAGTGTTTCACCGTGGTCACACTCCATGTTTCTTCTTTCAGGTTTTAATTCATCCTGTGTGGCTGCATAGGAGTGAAGTGCACATCACGCTGAGCCCAGAGCAAAAATGAGATTGGGGGGTGGGGGGTGGGGTGGAGGGTTTGTGTGACACAGAGAGTGAGAGAGAAACGGACGGAGAGCTGGAGAAAGAGAGAGAGAGAGGAAGAGAGAGAGAGAGAGAGAGAGAGAGAGAGAGAGATAAAGGAGGCTGTGTGTTTGTTTCACCTCCTAATCAGTTTTCCTGCGGGATCTATCATCGACTGCAGCAGAGGAGTCAAGTAGAAAAGCGGAAGAAGAAGATAGTACAATCCAGCCCGGCTATAATCTTCTCCCATCACAAATTTCAGCCTCATACAAGTAAGGAATTCTTTTAAATCAGTCTGTTCTTTGATGCTTGCAAGTGCTCAGAAAATAAATCCATTGTATTGCACTCTGAAGTTGTGGACATCAGATAATTTTATGCCGTAATGGAGCTTTTCATTTGTGCATTTCTCAAGTTATATTACAGTAGTTGTTGGGGTGTTAGTGCATGTTGTTTTATTTGCATGTTATTCTGTTGATGTGCACATGCACATGTGATGACATTTGTTACATCCCACCAATGCCACTTCACATGAGACTGTGAGGCTCCTTCATACAGCAGCACTGGTTGGGTTCATGTAATGAGATTTCCTGCTTGTTTTCTTAAATGTTAATGCTCGGTTTAACTGTGAGAGAAGGGGGTGCAAACTGTATGAGTCACACTATATCTCTTTGTAACAGCTTGTTTACTGAACATCACACAATATTTCTGACCCTTTCATAGTATGTAATGACCATTTCACCCCCTTTAGTTTGAAAAATATGCTGAGAAAATTGTGCCTATTCTTCCTCCCTTGTGCAACCATCTAAATGTGTTTTAAAGTATTCATCCTGCAAGAAAAAAAAACAGACTTTGAAGCAGAGAGTTGCTTTCTGTGCCCTGCTCCATATGCATGAATGCAGCAGCTTCTTTCATGATGCTGCCTCACTGAGATAACAACATCTCCTCGTGTGTCATGTATTTCAGCTGGTGTAAGAATTGTAGCTGAGTGCTGACAGCCTGATGTACACAATTCTTGAAACATTATGTTTGATTATGTGAGTTCCTGTCATAATTATTAGTCAGTTGCCTTATTTGGAGCAACTATCTATCAAAGCCAGTATCGTAGCAGAGATAATTGGCTCACATTTCTTTGTACAGACAGATTCATAAATTAGGGCAATGGGATTGTGTGAATGTTATGGAAACCTGCGTTTCAACTGTGTTCACACGTATTTGATCCAAAAGTGGAACACACACGCAGAAATGGGGCTTTGATGAGTTTCCCTGTGAGAATCTCCTCTTGCCCCAGTTTCTATCTCTGAAAAGACACCATGGTAAGAAAGGAGAACAGCAGCTGGAAAACCGACGCGTGGAGACACACGTGCGTGATGCAACAGCTCTTTCCCCTGGCCCCCGTGTGAACGAGCTACCGCACAAATTTCACAGTTCACAGGCTTTAATGAGCTGCTGCAGCCTGTCCATCACACTGACTGGAGAGCACCTTAGCAGACCCGGCAGTCAGACAATGACACTACACCAGGCATCTGTAGGATCACACAGACAACAAAATGAGCGTGTTAAGATTGTTTGTACTAGATTGCTAGAAGGTTATTTTAGGCACATCTGTGATTCGGCATATGCTCAGTGTGAGAGTGATGTTATTAAGAAAAAAAAAATGCAATATGCTGCTTCGGTGTTGAGATGCTAGAATGCAGAGGTAATAAAGGAGAAAATGCTTTACTAGATCAAGCAGCACAGGGAGAGATAACTACATTAACAAACTCAAGGCGGATGAAAATGCCAAGCAAACCATGGTGGACTGGATGTGCACTGAATCTCAGGGCAAAAGAAGATGACTGTATGTGCACATGCTGCAGAGACTTGCCATCACTTTAGAGAAGGGAAGGTGACAGCTAATCAAAGACAAACACAGGCTGACCAACAGATTGCCCCCAGGCTGGCACTCTAGGCCGTGTGCAGCCATCTGGATCGAACCGCTGATGGGCAACTGAGGAAATATGATCATACATCACCTGCTACTGATACCTACTTAAACCTCCCCTATTTCAGCCCAGACAATATAAAAGCTGTGTGAAGATTTCCCTTGAGCTGCCAAGGAGTTCTCTTGCTCAGCTGTTTGCACTCCAACGAGGAGGCAGGAGTGTTTCAAAAGTTACCTTTAGTTTAAATTGCCGCTGATGGGTGCAGCTGTGTTTTCGTTTGCGACCCCTTCCATGAGGATTGCAGGAGAAGACTGAGGGAGGCTGCTGATGTGTTGTTGCTGGGAGACTGTTGTAGGTGGATTATGAAATGCATGGGGATAGCAGAGGCCAGTCACTCAGCTGGGCAGCGCTTATCGAGTTGTGTAATGATGGGAAATGTCAGTTAAGGGCAAGAAAAAGAGGGGGGGGGGGGGGGGGGGGGGGGGGGGGAGCAGGACAGTGGATAAAAAGCCGGGACATTGATCCCTAAATGAAAGGTTAATTGGATTCTGTGAGGTGTTTTCAGTGATGGTCTTTCTCAACTGCTGTACTGTGTCTACTTTGTAGCTCTCGGCGATACAATTTAATCTCTCTCACCAGATGTTGCCATTCTCCAGCACTGGTATTACAGTCCCAGATTACACCCCGGTCTAACTATCCCCTCTTATATCTCGTGTTAATTGCAGATGACAGAAATGGACGCCCCTCTCTCCACCCCATGCAATATCCAGATTTGTGAGGTGACCTGCGACTCCTTCCGCATCATGTGGGATATGACCCCCGAGGACACTGCCAGAGCCACACACTTCTTCATTGACCTGAGCCGCAAAGAGAGCAGGGACCCCAACCGCTTTAAACACAGGGTCTGACCACGCACCTTCCCCTGTCTGATCCCTGAATGCAACCAGCTCCCTGCTGGGTTGTCTTTGCTCATGTTCCAGATTCACACCAATCAATTTTTGCTGCTGAAAAACCTGACCCTCACTACATGACTTAAGAAGTCCACACTGTACTGTATTCCCCCTTAAAATAATAGAAGACAGCTTCAATGAGACGGGAAAACATGCATTTCTGGTTGGGTTAACAGATGGGGCTAACTGCCTTATAGAAAGCAACGGTTGCGCCCTTTCAGTCACTTCCAATACAGGCGAAAACGAAAATGAGTGCAGTCAACAGCTTCAGGCCAGTGACTCACTTGTACATTGTTTCCTCAAAGTGGACAAAAACTGACAAATTCAGCCCCAGCACAGAACTGGTTCCATGCATGCACATCACTAAATCCACAAATTAAGCAAAGTTTAGGCAACACGAAAATAAGGTGAAAAAGAGACAGTCTGAAGTCTGAAATGGTTTATCTTTTTTATTTTCCTTAAATAAATGTTTTCCTCTGGGACTATTAATCTCAAGCAGTAAGAGGAGATACTTGGCAATAAAATGAGTTGCCAGCTACTTTCCATCTGCAGATAAACTAAACCTCTAACATGTAGCAGAAGACTTGTTTACCTATTTATTTTTATCCATTAGCAGCATGGGTCCAAACTAAAATATCTCCACCATTGTTGGGTCGATTGCCATAAAATTTCATATAGACATTCATGTTCCCCTCAGGATGAATTAATCATTGGTGATCCTCTGACTTGTCATCTAGCGCCATAATCAAGTCAGTTTCAACAAACTAAACTAAAGTGGAGAACATGGTAAACATTACACCTTCAGCATTTTCATTGTGCAGACGTTAGCTTTTATCTCAAAGCACTGTTGTGCCTAAGTAGCCCTCTGCCTCACAGAGCCGCTAACATGGCTATAGTCTAAATTTAGCTCCAGTTGCTGAAGTCTAACATTTGATCTCCCTTCAGTTCAGATGCAAACTACTGACTGTAATTATGGGCTATTATTACAGATGGCATTCAACAGCTGAAAAGGTGCTTTTGTGAAGTCAAGGCAGGGGTAGGACTGAGTGAGCTGCTCCTGAATGGAGGATATGTTCTCTCTCTCTCTCTCTCTCCCTCTGAGACCCAAAGTGGCACAAACAAACTTGCATCAGAGATGTTACCATGGATATATGGGCCTCTGAGCCCGTAGTAATTAGCTGTGCTTCTTAGAAGCCTCGGCCAAAACAAAGCCGCTGATTTGATTAGATGTATCCTAGTTACAGCAGCTTGGGCTTGAAGTGGAATATCATGCTAATAAGGCAAAGTTTATTGAGGGAAATGGTTGACTTCACAATTGCATTTACATTTGCTTTGAAATGTAAATTAAAACACACAGCAGCCTGTTATAGCCCTGCATCCTCTTTCCTGCTTCGTGCTCCAGGATGTGCCAACCAAGCTAGTGGCCAAGGCTGTGCCTCTCCCCATGGCAGTGAGGGGACACTGGTTCCTCAGCCCACGTACTGAGTACTGTGTGGCTGTTCAAACCGCTGTCCGACAGCCCGACGGCGACTACCTGGTGTCCGAGTGGAGCCAGGTGGTGGACTTCTGCACTGGAGGTGAGACATGCATGTCATGTGTGACAGCTAAAGTAACACTGATATGATATATGCAGTGGAATATGAGAGCTTTAACTAAAGCAATAAAAATAACAAAAATTAGGACAAAGAAGTGCTGTGCACAGAAATGGCAATATAATAATCCTGTGTCAGTGCTGCCTAGTCATTAGCATTTGAAAGCAGTACAAACTTGAAATGATTATACATTTCCAAACAACTTTGCAGACTATGCCATGGAGCACCTACAGCAGCTGCTTGACAAGGCCAAGGGCTCCGCAGGGAGGCTGCTGAAATTCTCTGTGTTTTATCGCAACCAGCACCCAGAATACTTCGACTATGTCAGGTCAGTGCTGCAGTCTTGTCTCGTCATTGCATACCTAAAGTCATGCCTTTAGCAATTAAGTGTAATAATCTTTTGCTCTTTATGTCTTGGATTAGGAGGGAATGTGGAGGGCTAATGCGCCCAGCCCTAAAAGACAGCAGTGGGAGTCATGGTTCTCCTATTAACAGCAAACTGAACGGAGTCTTCTTTAGCTGCAACACAGAGTTTGATACAGGCCTCCCCCCCAAAGACTCCCCATACGGCCCCCTTCGTTTCCAGATCCCAGCTGGACACCTCTTGAACCCCAATATCAGCCTGTATTTTGCAGACTTCTACTGTATGTACACAGCCTACCACTACGTGGTGCTGGTGCTGGCCCCTGTTGGCTCAGAGGGAGATACCTTCTGTCGCACCCGCCTCCCTATGCTGGACTTGGCCTCCAACCCCTTCCTGACATACACTGCCCCCCAGAGGCCGGGGGAAGAGCCTCTCTACTGCCATGCCAGCGACGTCATCCTTGAGGTGCTTTTCACTGAGCCGGTTCCTTTGGATCAGGGCAGTGTGGAGCTGATCAGCGGGCACCACCAGCTCATGAGTCTGACCACAGCCAACGCCAAGAAGGACCCAAGCTGCAAAGTGTGCAACATCAGTGTGGGGCGCTGATTTAAGACAGACCCGAGAGTGTGTGAGCCTACAGTGCTGAAAGACGCAGTTTTGCACAGGACAAAACAGTAGAGTTCACCATGTGTAGGTCAGAACACAGTGGAAACAGCCCACCTCTCTGGGTGTGTGCATGCTGTTTTCCCTCCTCCCTCCTGCCTGGACTAGAATAGTGAGTATTAGACTTTTACCATGTGTATCACACAACTCTGTCATGATCACAGCTGGACATCACAGTAAACATCCATCCATCCATCCATCCATGACTGCTGAACAAAACATAAAAAACATCATAGGCTTTAGAAGAGAGGAGAAAATCTGTGCTCCTCGTTTGTTGAGAGCCATCTCTGCTCTCCAGTGTCTTTGTGGCATTTTTGAAATATCTTTTTTTTTCCAGACTTCTTTAATTTACATTTTTTCCTCAAGATGTGTTTGATTTAATTTTTTCAACTAGTTTGATGTGATTTATTTTAAAGAACTTTGTGTGTGATACAACCTTGAAGTCCAAGTGCGAGGAGCAAGGCCTTTTTATAAATCAGTGGTTTCACACATTACAGAGGTCATAACAAATGATTTGCTATTTGTGCTTCTTGTAATGGTCTCACTATGAAGTCACTGCCAGGTGTTCTGACTTTTCAAAAAGACATGAATGCTACACTGCAGCTTTAACTTTAGTTTTCAGCATCCTTGCCACATGCTTTAATCCTTCCTAAAAAAGTTTGTAAAAAAAATTGTAGAGTTATAAATAGGGAATTCATAGTAATCATTAATGACACAGATGTCTAAATGTTGCACAACAGACTTTTACCATAAAAAAAAAAATGTGACTGTGAGAGGAGGACCACCGAGTATGGTGGTGTTTTGGTCACTGGAGGAAGGTAATGGGGAAGATGGTATCAAAGTTCCCTGCAACCAGTCTCTGACGGCAACTCTCTATGAACAGGGCTGAGCTAAGAATAGCTTCTCTCCTGCTTCTGTTTGCCCCTCGCCAGTAATCTGACCTATATGGGAATCCCACAAATGCCCAAAGTGAAAGGGATCCCCTTCCTGGTGCACAACATTAAAACATGGGCTGATTAGTAGCCAACATGTAGGACATGAAGAGAGGGTGTGGACTGGAAAAACAAGGTCACCCCTTTGATGCTGAATGTGAAAGACAACTGGAAAAGAAAACTGAATGCAACAAGAATGGCCTGTTTTAAAGTTGTTTTTTTATATACAAAGCAGGTACTGAAATGTCTAAACATTTATGGAAATATACATACCAATTCAGAGTGGAAATAATGCAAATGTAATAAAAAAAAAAAAATATCCACCTCATCTTTACGCAGGACCGATGTACTATGTATGACAAAATCAGGGATCCTTTCTAGGCTGGATAAGTCATGCCCTATCACTTAGATTCTTCCCGCAACAGAGATGTGAGCTCACACACACAGCAATGCTGTAATTCTGTCCTTTGTTATTGTCCCAGAAAGGTTCGCTCTGCCCTCCTGGTAAATAACTTAAACAGAATTCTATCTTCCTTTTGGCATCTAGCACTTTAGGAATGGCAAGTTCAAACTCAAAGATGTCCGTCTGTGGTCCTCCGAAGCGTTTCTGCAGGTACATGCAGGGCACGTCTTTGTAGCTCTGCCACGAGTCAAAGGTGATGCGCACACGCACATCCTTCTGGAAGCTGACGTTCCTGACTCGGACAGTACCTTGGAGGGAGTGCTCAGTAACGCTGCAGTTCTCCAGGATAACCATGCTCTCTGCCAGCTTGGCACGGAAGGCCTGGAAATCTGCAGAGGGTTGCGGGAAGCCCAGTTTGAGCCGTGTTCCTGGGCAGCAGGTGCTGACGGTGCAGCTGTAGCCGTCCTCTGTCATGCTTCCCAAACCCTGCAGCGATGGCAGCAGGTCGAGGTCAGACTGCTCCTCTTCATCAGAAAACTCTCGCACAGCTGTTAGAGACAGTCCTCTTGAGTCAGCGAAAACCACACGTCTGTTCTTGACTGGGATCAAAACCTCATCGTCCAAGTCATCCAAAAAATCCCAAGAAAGTTGACTCAAGAAATCAGAGGGGGGCTGATCAGAAACCTGAGGACGGATACAAGGACGCTGTGGCTTCAGAATGGGAACCCACACGTGAGGACACAGTTGTTTGCGTTGGTTCAAGCACAGCCTGACAGCAAGCTCCACAAGTCCAGCTGAATGGGCCATCGACCCGAGGCCAACCACTGGCAGGACACTTGCAAGAGAAAAAACAGTGATTTCAATAAATACCCCCCTATTAAACTTCTGTATCTGTGCTATTGTTGGCTTATGAGGCGCATTAAGGAATGCATCACAATATAAATGTGACCCCAGAGATGTGATAGTGTTTAAAACTGACCCTAACTTTTTTAAAACGACTGAGGAAGTGATGCAGGATAATGCACCTCACAGCAGAGGAATCACCACACAGTCTTAAGTGCTTACGTTGTACTGGAGATCTCCATGTTGGTAGTCTGCTGCTGACTGACGGGAATATTATCCTCAAAGTTTTGCTGGAGAAAAAAGAGGAAGAAAACTGAGTGCCAGTAATACAACAGACAGTGCTTTGATAAAGTTTGCAAAATCATCGTCATCATACATTGAAAGTCTCAAATATTTCAAAAGTCTTACTTTTCAAACCCACATGAGCAGCACGTTTTAGTCTCAGCCGCCCCTTTGGCCAAATGGGATTCTGGCACAATGTCCTATTTATACTACCTCAGTTAATATGCCATGTTGTATACTCCACCCTCTTCACTCTCCCGACCAATCAGCTGATTATTGTCTTTTTGTGTTCTGCTAAAGTTGTTGTAGACCTGCATCTAACGAGGATTATAGATAATGTGCAGCAACGGTCCTTTTTTTATTATTTTTTTTATTTCTGTGCTTTATTTGTAGCATTATTCAGAATTTGAGTGTCAGTGCAAAAACCTGTTATCACACCAGTATGTTCTAGCTGTAAAGATTTATGTGAAGTTATGTCTTTGTATTGTCACCTCAAATCTGTCATATCAGTGCTGACATGGCGATAAAAGTATATACAGGTCAACTGTAGGTAGATGCAGCACTGCCCGTCATTGTGGAAACTATTCCAGTCATCCTGGTCTCTATTCTCAGACCTGTCAATGGACACAGATCCCACTGAGGCCTGGGCCTGGATCCAGGTCCACTGCTCGTGTCTCAAAGGGATCGCTGTCCCTAAGTCCATCAGCATGTGTGACGCTGAGGAAGGGCCAGATTACAAACAACTCTCAGCATGCCAGTAATCTAACCGAGGGTGCTATTCAAGAATCAAGCCACGTACGTGTATACATATTGAGTTACATGAAACACGTCACCCACGCTTGAGGAGATGTATTTGGACGCCAAACTCAAGGGCATTTTAATGACTTAAAACAGTTAGAATGAAAGTGGTCATACTGGTCAGGATTCGACTTTCTGCACTTGCATGAGAAGATGTCCAGAAAGCTGATAGAGGTTGAACGATGAAGTGCTATGATTAATAAATTATAAACCGAATTACTCTCATACCCATTTAATCATTTGCAAATTTTTTAAGGTTTTATTATTTTTCCAATGCCACATTTCCAACTATTTTCAAGGTCTAAGGGATCGCTATTTTCATTTCCCAACATTTATTATGCAAAATAGCATTCATGAACTCTAAATGCTTGTTCCTGATCTCCTAACAACAAGGGGTTGTAGGATTGGATATTAGCTAGATCAGCAGTGCAGTTCAAGAGGACGACCGTCTGTTGACATGTGGTTCAGTTTTGAAAAGCCGGATTTCTCTCAGTCCCTTATTGGCTTCAATTACTGCACAATTTTGTGTGAGGGCAAACAATGAGCACCGCTTGCTCCATGTGAAATGCTTACATAACACTATTATAACAATTATGTCTCAGAGAAGAAATGTTCCACGCATCCTCTTAGGGTGAAACTAAAAAACACACAATCAAAAGAAACTTCAAACTTGTGACACAGAGAGGTGTTGAAAAGCAGATAAAACTGGATTTGGTAGCCAAGGCGAAGACATGCACAGACACTTTCTGAACATTAACAGGATTTCTATTATTTATAATGACAGTAATTCATATTGAGCGTGAATTTCACCATAAGAAACAGCTTTCTTTCAAACATACACATAAATTAGCATCTGCACCTTGTGATGCTCGGCATTGTGATGCCAAGTGAAATGATGAAATTTCACCTTCAGGTCATTTGATGCATCCTGTTATTGAGCAGCAGAGGAAAAGCCCAGTAATGCAGGTCATCTGGATATAGTAACAGAGGGAGTGGTGAATTGGCAGATTAGATAGAGTCTTAAGAGTCTTTACCAGTCTCACCAAGCCAAACACACCCGAATAACATTATAATTATGTAACCAAACTTATGTTGTGACATGATTTAAAAAAAAAAAAAAAAAAAAAAAAAAAAAAGGTCCAAAAATAACACAGCACTGCAAAAGCTGGGTTGTTGAACAGTGTTCATTCACAGCCTTCACTTCTCATTAGTAGTGACCTTATATTTGGTGTTAATATGTTGCGCTGAATTACATTTCTTGAAGCCATGGTACCACAAATGTCTCTGTGTTTGCATCCAACAGTGGATGTGTCTCCTGATGTGATCTCTGCAGGATAAACTGCTCATTCTGTATTACCACTGGGTAATGAAAATGAGCCGATGCTCATTTTATGACCTCCTGGAGCCATCCACACCAACACACAGACCTGGAACATAAAAAAAAAAACCCTATGTGTCAGATGTATTTAATTGTTAACTGTTCAGTGAGATGACAAGTCCAACGTATTGTTAACATATTGTGGTCCGTAAAAGAGGTACTTTTCTTTCATAATCCGTTGCCAAGAGACAATGAACACTGCAAAAAATAAGTGAGAGCTAAAAATACATCCAGATGTCACTGCAAGGCAGTTGCTTATGTAAGATCTGCAGAAATGAATTAGCAGATGTCTGAACAAGAGGGCGCGAGAGCAGTATTGAGTTAACGAGAAAGATGACACAGTCAGCCTCATTGTTACTCACCTCCACATTCAAATTAACTGGACAGCTCCACTTGAAACAAGTGGTGCGATAGTTCGATACCGCATTAGGTGCTGAGAGCCCTCTTCAAGATCCACAACATACTCTCTGATAGAAGACACGCAGTAGAGATAATATCAGTTGTTTTAGTATTGATGCAGAAAAATATAACAGCACTGAATGTGAAAAGGTAACACTGCCCCCTACTGGGTTTGGAAAACAGTGACAACACATCAAGTGTCATGTTGATGAATTAAGTACCTCTGATCGTCTGTTTCAGGCTCCACCAAGATGTTTTCCTGTCTCTCCTTCACCCGCAGAAACACAAAGGAGTCCAAGCAGGGCTCAGGCACTGGTATCACATTAGAATACACAGGATTTAGCATCACGGTCAGTGAAAATGTCAGAGAAAATGCCACCATCTGCCGGCGCACGCCAATAGCAGTATTTCGGTCATGGGTCATCTAAGAACAATAAAAAAAAAATAAAAAAAAGAGCCTGTGTGGTAAGAGTAGAGGAGACGTCACCTGCTTTGAGCATATCCACTGTCTGTAGGTTGGGGGGCATGCGCTTCAGTGCTACAGCCTTCAGGTACGTTTCTGTGTTGGCATAGTACCTGTATGCCAGACGGACACAGGTTTTTTTTTTTTTATCTCAAATGTCACAAAACAGCAGTAGTAACAGCTCTAATCTTATTTTAACCATACTCACTCTTTGGCAAAGGCAAACTCCTCAGGTGAGAGCAGAGAGGGATCTCCCTCCCCTCGAGACTTTTCTCTCTCCAGGACGTGTGGGAAAAACTTTTCAATCTAGACATGGAACAAAAATCAGGCATATTTGCCAACAAGCACTTAGTGAGGTGAGAGCTTTATGGCACACGCTGTATTGTTGACCTGACTTACCTTCTGCAGACGAGAGCGCAGGTAGCTGCTCAGAACAAAGCGGATCCTGTCTATTTCCATGCGATGGACGCTGGCCTTTGCATCACCTTTCTTCACCCGCTGCAAATTGGCTTCCTGTTGGTATGAAGTTCACAACAACAGTGAGAGAAATGTCTTATATTCGGGGGGAATTACAATGACCAGAAAAGCAACATCATACAGTGGTTAAATGATTTGATTATTTGAATGGATGAGTAAGTGCATGGATCCACCTCTGTTTCCAAATCTGGATCTGGTATTAGAATTTCATCAGCAGTTATGTAATTTCAGTCACAATAACAGATTCAAACATTTGTTTGTTACACTGCTAGGAAATATTTTCATACAGATTTTACATTTAATATTGTATATACACTTGTCAGATTATAGATATTATGACATGACCAAGTCCTGATATCTTTGTAGGGCTTCTTTTTAATTCATTCATACATATCATTTAATTGATTTGTAATTTAAGTAAATTTAAGTGGCTTGAGAGCTCAACGCACTGCAACTTAAGGAAATACACACAAATAGACAAAAAAAAAAAAAAAACAACTTCAGAAAACATCATCATCAATTTGACAACACATGTACTGCAAATATTCACAACACAACCAAATATATAAACGCGCAGCAAATACTCACAACCCAACTGAAGTGTTTCCTGCGGACACCTCACTGTGCTATAGGAATAAAGGCAAAAGAATGCCCTAAAAGAATAACTTAAAAAAAGTGATGAACCCAGCTGGGATGCACTTGTTGTTCAATGCTTTTAACTTCAAAAGTCACAAAGTATTGAACAACAAGTGCGCCCCAGCCGGGTTCATCACTTTTTAGTGTCCCCTGGAAACACTTCTGCTGGGTTGTGAGTATTTGCAGCGCATAGGTTGTCAAATTGAGGACAATGTTTTCTGAATTTGTTTGTTTTGTCCATTTGCATGCGTTTTCTTAAGGTGCAGTGTGTTGACCTCTCAGGGCCACCATATACAAAGCATTTATTTCTCAAGACCTAGAAAAATGTAAAGCAAGCAGCTGCCATGATAATGTGTTAATGTGTGCTGAAAAAAATTAGCTGATTGTAATTCAAGTAATTTATCAAGCAAAAAAGGTCAAACATTTGCTTGTTCCAGCTTCTCAAATGGGAGGACATGTTGTTATTTTGTGTTCCACCTTATTCACTATTTTCCACATTCATAGACAAGTAACTGACAGTTTAACAGTGGTGGAATGAAACTAAGTAAAATTTTGAGGTACATTATTTGAGCATTTCATTTTCAATCCACTTTATACTTCCAGTCCTCTATATTCCTGAAGGACATATTGTACTTTTTAATTATTGTACTTTAAACCACCCAACAGAATATAAAGTCGTTTACATCAGCTCAACCTCAGTCAGTTACCACAGTAAAAAGGTCTTTGTACCTTAAAGCATCAGCATTAATCTAATAGTTAAATATATATCTAACAGTACAGCACTCACAAGAGCTTTTGATACAAGTACATTTTGCTATTAATAGGTGTTTGTGTATACTTCAGTAACGTTTTCAATGCAGGACTTTGTACTTTTACTGGAGTAAAGGACGTGAATACTTCCTCAACCGCTGCAGTTTGATCAGTCATGTAAATAATAGTTGTTTGAAGCCCTGCACCATCCTGTATCTGCTGTTTTGTTACATTTAGAAATGTGGGCAGAGCCGAATGTACTCCCCATTCAATTTACCATGTGAGTCAGCTGCTCCATCACACACTCCACCACCTCTGACTTGTTCTCCAGCAGCTCCGGTGAGAACTTCTCATTCAGCCAAGCCTGCGACGCACAGAGAGGAACACAACTGTCAAAATGCGGCGGACAGGCTAATAAGAGTGTCGAAGATCTTTGGCACTGCATGTCATAAAATGTCATCATTTTGTTAACGTCAGCTCACTTCTTCCAGTTTAGCGATCAGCTCCGCCGGAGTCATAACATCCTCCTGGCTGTCATCTTGGTTGGCATCGCTGCCGTCGTCAAACAAAGCGTCCGCGTCCGACATAGTTTTTCTTCACGAAGTAAAAAAAAAAAGAAGAAAAAAAAAAAAGAGAAAACACCAAGCTTAACAGAAACAAAGTCTGTAAAGTAAAGTTAAAAGTGATTTCAACGTCATAAGTTAAAGCATTTTGCTAAACATACATGAACTAGCTACAGAGCAACATGTGTTTACTGTTTTCCTTGTGTATTGGCGCCACTGAAATGGTATTCTCGCGAGATATGTACCGTTGATTCTAATCCCTGCGCTCAGCCTTTAAGGCATGGTTCCTCACAAGCTACGTGAATTGTGTACAACCCATGTATATATTATGATTATGTCAACGCCTGAACGGGCTACACAGTTAAATAAGGTATTAGTTTATCGACATTATGAATGAATTTTTCTATCATGTTTGGTTTATGTGTCTGCCCTGCCCCTTGTCGGAGGCGAGATTTTAACACTGCCTAGGAGCAGTAGTGCTTCCTGAGAGTACTAAAATAGGGATTTAATGTTTTCCACCCAGTACTACCAAACCAAAATATATTATGATTAGTATGTAAGCACACTAATAGTGGTATAGAGTTGAGTATGAGCATTAGATGATGCAACAAATTGCATTTTTACGTAATTTTCACTGGAGTGAACCTTAATAAAAACTAAATTAATGTAAAGTGCTATTGAAATATGATTAAAAATGTATACAGTATTAACAAGTTACAACCCCTGGCTGCAGGCAATGAAAGCACAGAAGTATAAAGTATAAATATAAGTGAGTATATTAGTCATGAGTGATTATTTACTCCCAGGCACAAAGAACACTATCCACAGTCAACAGATGAAGTTCCCACAGAGAACATGTCATGTCTCCCCTGCATTATTAGATCTGATCTCTGCCCTTTTCATCTTTTATCAGCCCCTGTGAATTCAACAGAAATGTCATCATCTGCTTCACTTGTTCCAGCTGTTTCAGATCACATTGTGGTTTTCAGCAGAATGTAATTTATCACATTTTCTTCTCTTCTTTGTTCACTGCTCTTGCCACATAATTGTTTTTCACCGGCAATGATCTTGCATCCGCTGTAGCATTGACACTATGCTGCAGTGATGTTTGGTATTGCATATCAGTTCTCACAGCAGCTTCCCCTGGGCTTATCTGTGCTTCATCAGACCTGCACGGTTGTAGCCACAACTTGGAGAGCTGCAGTCACTGTAAAGCAGATCAACAGACACCAATAACGCAGCTGGCATTCATGCTATATTTTGTCATCATGTTGCTTCTCATAAATGTCTTCTCGCTGATGAACTAGTCATTTAAGTGGGAAACAATTAGTGCCTGGTGGAAAAACCTGAAACCAATGAAATATTCCTGATGGTGTCACTCACTCACAAATCAGGTGACAAATTAAAATCAACTAATAAATGAATTTGAAAAATTTAAAGTGATGGAGAAACTGATTAAAAATCAATAAGCAGTTGAAAAAAAATCAACATTTCTATAATTACAAAGGACCAAAGGTTTTAATATTTTAGTTTATTTTTGTTATTTATTCATGATCATCTAGTACTTTCTGTTTAAATACATTTGAATGACAATGAGATCTGCATGTAATGTTTAAAAAAAAAAAGTTTAACACTGGTATAAGGCAGATACAGTTCAACAAACTTCACGATACAGTACAATGATGAACAGTCCAGAAAGTTTTTAACTTAGTTATTGAAATTGTGCAAGTGAGGAAAAATGCAGAAGAAGTGTGATTCTGACAAAATCTGTCTTCTGTCTATCTCTAACTGAACCAGATGTGTTTCAGCAATCTATTGTGAATTTCTCATATTCATAAAGATATGTCATTGAAATTTGTATATTTTTGCCTGCACATTGTGTAAAGTGACATCTACAAAAAAAATCTTGGGTAAATAACAGATAATAACAGCTAATTTTATTATTTTAACACTTTAAATTTACATGATACACCAGTGTAATACTAAGTATTATTGATTAATTCACAGCAAAAAACGAACACACCCATTCAACGCACTTAGATGATCCTATAAATCTACCTCGCCGTCACTACCCTGACTTCATTTCTTCTTTTCAGTATTGTTTGGTTTTGGTCACAGTCAGTTAATTGCAGTAAAACACAAGCAAGGCCTCACCAAAACTACACTGCGCAATACAAAAGTGGGCCAACAAGCTCCATGGTATGCCTTCCTCAGTGCAAAGATGAACTTTGATTATTTCAACAATTGTGGAGTTGAAATACAAAAAAAAAAAAAATCACAGCTTGTGAGGATAAATGTGATTCATGGCCGGTAGGGCATATCCAGTTTGGGGATTAAACAGAGGAAAGGAGTAAGGATATGGGTAAACAGCAGACCCTATGAGAGCAGAGTGAGCTGGACCCACTGGTATATGACGGTACATTAGCTGGGACTGAGGTAGTCTCATTCTGCTGGGGAGGAACATAGAGTGTAATGGAGGCTGGTGCCGAGAGTCTCTCCCTGATTTATCGTAGCTTGACAGGATGCATGACACTGGCAGGGGGGTGGTGGAATGGGACAGATTCTGCTGAGCGGGAGGAACTTTTTGTAGCATTGTCCTGGATTTCTCCCTCTTCTCTGTCTGATAAAGCCACGGAGCCATGTTGTTCAGCTTCTTGGCACAAGTCAGAGGGTCGTCCTGGTGCGCCAACCTGTTAGGGTGAATTTTATAACTTGGTCGAATAGGAGCGGGCCGCAGAAGCTGCACAGATTTTGGAATAACTTTGGTGAAACTAGACATAGATGTTGCAGCACAGTCAGATTTCTCAGGGAAAGAGGGGGATGAGGGGTAAGGATGGGTGAAATATTTGCCACTCCCTTTGTGGAATGGCTTCCAAGGACAGTCTTTAAATTGGCTTTTTATTGAGTCAGTGGTCAGTGATTGGGAGCTGACATGAGAAACGTCTTTATTCAGTCGTGTAAGATCTTTGGAACAGCTCACAGACTTGTTGTCCTCTCTATGGTTGGGTGTATTTTTAACAGAGCTGGAACAGTTTTGACTCAGTTCTGAGGTTGATGCAGGATTATCTTCGTTTCCTGCCGGACCGTCCTCTGATGAAACAGAGAGAGGGGAGGGGCTGCGGGAAGAGGAGGAGGATAAAGGGCGCGGGGAGCCATCAGAGGAGTTGCAGTTCTGGCTGGAAGAAGCCCGGGCTGGAGACTGGGAGCAGCAGATGACGGAGGGCCTTTCTTTATCTTCGCTCTGTGGACTCGGGGGCAAGTTTAGGCTGGCCTGAGCCATTCGCTTCTTTTTCTCCAGAGGCGAGATGACCTCTCCAGCAGCAGATGCTGGTGTCGTAAGGCACTGAGTAGTCCAAGGGCTGGATGTGGGCACCGGGAGAAGGTAGAGAGAAGGACAAATCTCAGTGGGGGCTCTGCTTGGCTGAGAGCTGTCTGGATGGTGTCTGTCAGAGGTGGCAGCCCAGAGAGCAGAGTGAGGATGCATCACTGCTTCACTTTGGCAGGCAGCGTCTGGACTCCTCTGGGTGAGTATCTATGAAATAACACAGGGGATGTTTTAGAAAAACACTATATGCACTAAAAGTGGAGCAGAAATTCTTCTCTTTTTTTAGACTGTTCATCAGAGGTACAATATATGTTACCTCAGAATCCATCTCTCTATCCGACTGTGTCCTTTTCCTCTTAACCTCAGCCTTGTTGACCTTGCCATCCAAATTTCTCTTATAGGGCTTCCGTGGTTTGCTCAGTGGCAAAGGTTTGTCTTCCTCTCCTTTTATGTGTCTTTCAAAGGGCAGCACAAGCCTAAGGAAATACATTTTCTGATTATGAATCATCTGACTTGCTGATTGAATGGACAGGTTGGTCGGAAACAGAATCATCCTCACCTCTCATAGTGTCTGCGGGTGCAAGTAGCAGCACTGGTGCTTCCTGGACTTCCTCCCAGCTCATCATACACTTTTTTCCAAAGACGCTGTGCCGTCACCTGTTGGTTAACACAGTGGAAAACAATGCACATTTAGAACAGCTAAAGTCCATAATTGCTCCAATAATCTTTTTTTTTTTTTTTTTTTTAAAATGGGGGAGGAAAGGAAGAGTCAGAGGCTTGTCATAGTGATACATAAACAAAAAGGTTCATGGTCTCTTCCCTCACAGGGCCCGTAAAATGAGAAAAAAAAAAATCTTACTTTTGAGCTGAAATCGTACTGAATAGACAGTGTTTGAAGTCTAACCAGGTTCACTTATTACTACATCTCTTAATTATTTTTAATTTAAATGTCTTTAGTTGTTGTGTTGCAAAGTTAACTTGTCTCTGTAGACTGCGGCCATTTGGTTCCAAATTGCATCAAGCGCAGTGGGCCCTACTGTGCCTGCTCTCAGGTCTAGAGTTAAAAGTGTTTTTAAGGAAGGGAGATGGCAGCTTAAATGCCATGACTGCTGGTTTTCAGTACTGAGAGAACACTTTCATTTTTAAATATATAACATGCGTAGGCGGCTTAAATTGTTGTGTTTACACCCAGGGACACGGTGATGGAAGAGGTGAGGGTCAACTCTGTTTAGAGCCCTGCCTCTGCTCTAGTGCTATTTCAATATGAGTTGCACTCTCAGGCAGAACTTGTCACACTGTGTCATCATCAAAGACAACACTTTACGTGTGGTGATGCACTGACAGCTCAGAGGCCTAAATGTCCCCCGGTGTGGTGAAAAACCACCGCGGAGCAGAACCTGACCTATCACTCGTTTTCCACTGAGAAACCAGTTCACACAGCCAATCGACTGTGAACAATAGTCAAATAAAGAACTTGTACTCACTAAATCATAGCCCCCACGTTTCTCAACAGCTTTGTAGATCTTCCAAAGATTAACTGAGAGTGGAAAAAAACACACATGAGGACCGAATTATTCTCATTCTAATTCCATGTGAATATTTTGTTCATTCAACAGCAAACAGGACGCTAATGAAGGTTTACTCACTCTGTTTGAATCCCAGGTGTGGGATCCTTTCTATGGGTGAACCTTTGTCCTTCATAAAAGAGTGCAGACTCGATACAAAAGCCTTCTCCTCCATCTGCACCAGACTGGGCCTCACCTCTTCCTCACATTCATTCGTAGAGTCGTGAATCTCAATAACAGGGGGAGAAGCCTGCAGCAGAGACAGAGAACCTGCGTAAGCGTGTGTTCTGCGTCAAAAACCAAGCAGCTCCTGTCAGTGTGACACAGTCCACTGCACTGATAATGGAAACTGTGTTTTACAGTTGAAGGTATTATCATAGGTGGGAAAAAGATGCACACAGTCATCTCGTAAGACACAAATGCTGAAATGAAACATCAAAATCAGAGTAGGGTTTTACCGCTACTTTCAATAGACAACCGCTACACATCCTGTCTGGAGAGATAGCAGCAGACTTGTGGGGTTTTTGGTCTAGAGTTGTCAGTCACTTGTTTCACAAATGTCACTTTGAAAAACAAACATAAGCCATAAGAAGGAATTAATAAATAAAGTGTTGAAAACAATATGAACTAGTGACTGGTGACAGATGACAAGCCGAACGTTGAAAAAAAAAGAAAAACTGCTGTTGCATGTTTGCTGTTTTTCTACAGAACATGTATCAGTTACTTTGAAGAAGATTTTAAAATACCACAAAATAAGGATGTATCAAGTGTTACAACCCAGACTACCCAGAACTCAAATGCAAGAAATTGACAATGTCACTATTTGTGGTTTGCAAGAAAGCAGAAATGAAACACTGAAGGCATGCAGAATTAAAATCATCAGTTAAGTGCGATTTCAAGAAGAGAAGTGTAAAACTACCAAAACATAAGAAGGGAAACTGTCGATAAAACCGTTTCTCTATTTTAACCCTGATGATATTCTGAGTTCCATTTTGAGAGTGTCCTTTTAAGACAACATGGCACAAACACAAGCTGAAAACGTAACCTTATTGTTTTGTGATGTGGTGTTGAGCTGTTTTCACAGGAACAATATTAAAGCTGAAATCACACTTTGCCTCTGCGTCGATCAATTTTGATAGATTTCCTGTCAAAACAGAGACGGTGATGGAATAATGTCAATATTTTACTTTGAATCACCAGACGTAGAAGCTGCTGCTTTATTTCTGTGGTAGTCATTGTACAACAAAACAGCTCAAGGTGGTTTCATATTGAATCAAGTTCCTCTATGCGGTTCCTGGTTCCGAGAAGTAGGCCTCTAGAGTGAGTAATAGTGAAGGTGCAGGCCTCTAACCAAGATAGCCCCGACTGAGTCACAGTTCAGCAGCTCCACACTGCTGTTCCCAGCCACCAGCCGACACCTCTGACTTTCCACTGTTATTGTGTCTTAGCCAGGAGAACAGCTCGACGAGGCGGATATTTTTGTTTGTATTGTTTTCAAGAAGAGATGTGTGAAAATGTTATTTCCAAGACCTCGTTTGAATTTCCTGTATCTCCAAGGTGAGAAACTGGTTGATAAATGCGCAAAGCTGAATCCAAAGTGATGTGAGGGTAAAAGCTACGGCAGGTGAAATGGCAACATTTTTGCTGGGGATCTCGCATAAAAATTCACTGGTATTCACAAAGCGATTATTTACTTTCAGTCACTGATTCACATTCATCTGATTCACAAAACTTTCAGGTTCATGCGTCAGTGGTTGCCTACAGGAAACGTCTGCACTCTAAGCCATATTCTGAAGCCTCTTCACTGCAGATCTCACCCTACACCAGACAGCGAATATTGTTGTGAAACATTCAGTTGATTTCCACTAAGTGAAATCTTTTTTTTTTTTTTTTTTTGGAAAACCGTGTGGGCGCTGTTGATGTCAGTGTGTTGATATGTGACTCTCGCAATGATTGTCAATGGCGTGCTGGATCGATGCTATCGGCAGGCCAGAAGTCACCACAGAAACCACCAGGCTTTCAACTAACATCAGTCTTGGAAATTTGATGAGCTAATTTGTGTTTCTCATATTGTACCTCTCATTTCAGTTACCAGAATAGTGGCTGTGAGGACCTCCTGCAGTTTCAGAATGCAGTGAAATATTGTGGTGTGCATGCATTTCGTAGGCCTGGCAGAATTCAAAGCAGAATCACTTATTCCTTCTTACTCATTTCACAATCTGCTATCAAGATGAAACAACTGTACACACACAATCAGCACTTCAAAAAAAAAGAAAAAAAGAAAAAAAAAAAGTTTGCCACTATCTCAAATTCTCTAAAAAAGGGAAATGAAAACACGACACATAACTCATTCTTAGTAGTCATGTCTGTAGTCACTGATTAACTGTAACTGATGGAAATTGCCCAGCTTGCTACCAGAAGGCCAACTGACATTTCATCAGCAGTGACTGGCAGTTAGTACCTGGGTCATCGTCCCCTTCTCTTCATCACTGGCTGCTGTTTGTTGTGACGTCTCACTCTGGTCCTCTTGAGCTACAAAAGCATACATCACAGGGTCAAGACATTTATCACTTAACTCTCTTAGAGACTGTGAATTTGAATTCAGAGAACCGGGGTGAAGACACAGAGTACTTCTTCATTTCAAGAAACATTATGTGTAGCAATGCACAGTCTAAATAGACAAACATGCCTGATAAAAAAAGTATTAAAACAGAAGTTTTAGTTCCTATAATTTCTTGTATGATGAGATGATCCATCAGCACAAAAAATTGAAATCTGTAGAACATATTGTCAACTGAGTCTGATATAAAACCACAGGTTGCAAAACCACTTCCTGCTCATGAACATAACCGCCTATATGCTGCACTGTATGATATTGTAACACATCAACTACTATTTTAAAAACAGTGCGTATAATATTAGTATTAGCAGTGGAATATAATGTACTGAGAATCTTATTTCTATGTCTTAAAGGTTTTGATCTTATTTCTATTGTTTGCTTGTTTTTTGTTTTTGGGTGGTGGTGGTGGTGGGGTGCGTGGTATGTGTGTGTGTGTGTGTGTGTGTGCGGAGGGTTGGGAAAGTTGTGTGGGGGGAATAAAACAAATAAAAAACGGCAAACCAATGGCAATGAAATGTAACTGTGAGAGTGATGAATGTCATTCTTAACAAACTGTCAGCTCACTACGTCCTAGCCCCTCCACCCACAGTGATATCACAACCAATATGCTTCTCTTTTGAGATCACTTATTTCCTGTGCTGCGGCTTGAACCTTTAATTCTGCTTTCAGTAGCCTCTAACTTCTCCATTTCATGTGCTGAAGAAATAGTTCTTGATGTATTGTTTCCAACATGCAACTGTTTCTTTATATGGGTGTTTAACTGTGTGTATTAAAGCTTGTGTTAAAGCTTGCATTTGCAGCGGTGTGTTTGTCTCAGTCAAATTATTGCGATAGACAAATTTAGGCTTGTTTAAGTAAATAAAGTTAAGGTTACTAATACATTCTTTATAAATACATACACAATACTTTGTTTGTTTCACAAATGAATGTACATTCATTTACTTTTCAGAAGCAGACAATTTTATCATATATTGTAAAAAGACATTTAAAGTGTTAATATTCTTCAACTTCAGTAGTATACTACAGAACTATACGGTATTGAACCTGTTGCTGTACATAAAGCGGTTTGTATGAACAGTATCTGACTTCAATAAAGATAAAAATAAGTCTCACCCATTTCCAGAAGTTGTCTTCTAGTCTCCGGCTCGACTGTGTTTTGTGACATTAACTCATGCAGCACCCTCTTCAACTCCACACCTCGAAATAGGAAGGTGTACTCCACAGGACAGTTTCATTGGTTGACTGATGGCACCGCAGCAAATGAGCCTGGGAGACTAAAGTTTTTTTTTTTTTTTTTTTTTTTTTTTTTTACTTGAGTCTCAGAATGTCTGTTCTCTCTGTTTCATCTCTTGGCTTTCAGACAGAAAAAAAACAACAGCTGTATTTAAATTGTTTGAATTTGTTTGAGCGTGGATCAAACCAATTTCAACAGAATCTGAATTTCTACAGAGAACTGTATTTGATATTATTTCATTTCTGACGAGAAGTCCTATGTTCACAGTGTTATCAACAACACACAGAGTTGTAACGTCATGTCTATTTCTGTATGTATTACCGCAAATTAGATAAGAAAAGTGCATTCAAAAATTACTACAACTCATTTCTCATTAAGTTCACATGATCAGTGCTGACAAAATAAATGTGGATAATCTGAAATAAGAAGAGACAACAAGAAGGAAGTAGAAGAAAAATAATTTCAAGAGGAATAAAAGTGTCTTCCTTCAAGTTTACTATGCATATATTGTTTTTTGTTTTTGTTTTTGTTTGTTTGTTGTTAAAGCCTGGTCACCTTCAGTAAACAGACTTGACTTAAATTCACTGAAATTGCTGAATTTCGGGAAGTGAAAGAAACATTGAGCTGATGCCCAGAATCAAGGTTAACACAATCAACATTTCCCACAAGTCTACATTATGAGAACAATGTATTTTAAGAACTGTTTTCAAATATGGGACTTCTTACTGACAAATGGATACTTACTTCACAGTGACTCAGATAAAGTCATTCAAATCCGAATCATGTGGTTTGGGTTTCTTTTTTATTAAATGCATCATTTCAGTGTTTTATGTCACTGAAGCTTTAATAGGTCCTATAAATATGTTTTGCTAGTGCAGCATGGCAATTCATATTGTATTCAGTGATACATAAGTATGCATTAATGTGTGTAAAAGAGGCAACACTTCCTGCTGCCACTAAGTATTTTCTAAGAAGTAAAACAAGAAGTATTAAACACCCCAATGAATTTGCATCTTGAAAGCATCTCGCTTCCCTTAATTTATTTTTCAGTTTATACAAGATATAATTAAAACACAGCAAAAATGGGGATCATTCAAGAGTATCAGTATTGGTTCTGATAAGAAAAGCAATATTATTTGATGGTGATGCTAGATAGATTAGATAGACTTATAGATTATATAAGTATACACATCTAAGTACATCATTTTCAATGATGTTGATTTTTGAGTGCATCATGTTGTTTGAAATTAAATTAAAACTTTCAGGCCTGGTCTGGATGGGAGGTAGGAAATAAAGCTGCTACCTAAAAAGAACACAATTTATTTAGCCTAAAAAGTGCCTTCGACAGGATTCACAGATTTAGTTTTGACTCATAACAGCTAATAGCTGAGTAAACGCCTTCCCTATCAGCTCTCCTTTAGGTAAATGAAAGTTCTGAGACTGTTGCAGAGATTTTATATCTCACATTTTGAGGAGGAAAGGAAGCACCACTTCTTTAAAATAGTATCTACGGACCATAGCCTAAAATATATTGGTTAAAAATATAATGCCAGGAGAATGCAGAAGCAGCTTTTTCCACGTGGGATGAGTGGCAAATGGGTAAAAAAAAACATTCATCTTTGTCCCTACTACCAGTTATGAGTCAGAGGGCGTTGTCTTAAGATTTTATATTCCTTATGCTCGCATACCAGAGGCCTTGGAAAGCATCAGGGTCGAGTTACTTTATATATACTATATTTACAATACTTTTTTTATTCATATTCAATTAAAAAAGACATATGGTCTAGTATTTTTGAATCATTAATTTTTCACGAGGTCACAATTAAAAGTTATTGCATTTTCCCTCCATTTTCCTTTGGCTGTTCCAGACTGCAAAACTACACACATTTCATGACAAAAACACTGACGAGCGATGAAGCTGCACTCGACACTATCCACATTTCCTCCGCATGTTTTTGATCTGTTTGAAAAGGGGATGCCCTATTCCTCCATCTGTTGCGGATAGAGTATGACATTTCAAAATGATTAACATTTAAATGTCAAAATAACCAAATATCTACAAACTGTCCAAATCGCAGAGGGATTTTTTTCTCTCGTTTGTTTGACGGATACAAAACAAGTTTTGCTTTTGCCTTTTGAGAATTTTTGATTGTCGAGACGATTAACAAGACTGTCTGCGAAAATGGAAGAAATGTGATATTAATTATGAACACTAAAATGTTCATATATGAATGACACCCTTGGTTACATGATTAGATGAATTACTTGATTCAGTGACATGTAGACGAAGTGAGACTTAATGAGGCAAGAGTGAGAAAAAATTGCATTAAAAAAATCAATTGCATAGATCAGGAGAGCGTTGAATTTGCATTTCTAGGATCACATATTCATACTTCATGTCACACACGAGGCCTTTATAGGAAATGTATTTTAATTCCATTTAATCGTTACAATATATTTTGCAGAACTCTTGTGAGCAATTCTATGCCAACAACAAATGTGTGGATGATGAGCAAAAACATGGCTTGTGAAAATCCCCAGCTATTCATTTCAGACTTTCACTGACATAAACCTATGAGGTTGAGATGAGGGCAGCACAATGTAAATGAGAACGCACTGGAGAAAATATTGTGAATCCAATACAGAAAAAATTTCCTGTCTGAGGTGAGTCACTATCCTGGGAACGATCTGCAAATGTTTCAACTGGCACATAAGATTCCAGTCATGTTGAGAAACTGTCATTCTCCGTTTTGCAAAATCAGGTTTTCCCACAATAAATGGGTTTAAAAATCCTGATCCTGATGTTTTACGGATGAGTGTAAACTTCTGCATCACAATACATCATTATTATTGAGGGCAGAGTGGGAGTTAATATTTTTACCTTGACAGTTTCTAGATGGTGTAGGTGTATGTGGAAATTATCCTGAAACTCAGTCCAGATAACAGTTTGACTCATCATCAGAAGCTAATATTAAATTAAATTTGAAAACAATTTCAGTTCAAATATGATTCAAGCTGAGACAGAAAATTTGGGAAGAATTAAATGTAGCGTAGCTATTCTGACTATCAATAAAAAAAGATTATTATTATTTCAACACTTAATGTAATAAAAGTACACACATACACCAAGGCCTGTAAATTTCAAAGCTTAATTGGGGTTTGCACCTGAGCAATATTCAGCAGACCAATAAAAAAAAGCTCAGATGAAATCAATTTTAACATCTCCAATCATGAATATGGAATCTATACATATAGATACATGACTAAGTGAGTGGGTGAGGATGGGGCTGTACCACAGTTTGAACTGTGAAAAGGACAAAACAAGTTCAGTGGCGGGAGTGGACACAAATGAACTAAAATCCAGTTTGTATGAACATTGTTTTGTAATAATAAATTAATAAAGTCAATAATTTGTCTGCTGCATCATTTCACATTCACCCGAACTGAGATGTAACTGAAGGATGTGGGAAAGGTAAAATCTGATCTTTCGTGTGAAAATGAAACCTATGCATTAGAGGTGAATTCCCCAGCTGTTGCCTCATTCCAGGAAACTGATTGTAGAGCACATACTGAGTGTGTGTATATGTCTGAGTTCCTGTTAGACCTCTGAAAATCCCTGATGGCTTTCTACGTTATTTCAACCTTTTGCTAAAATGTATGCAGCAGGTGTCATGCTCGACCTCTTTGGACAGATATGAAAACACAGCTTGTTTATTTATTTTATTATGAAGAATGTCTGTGCATTATAATAGACTCTGGAAAAACAAACATGAATAATGAAATGGATACATGATGCCCTTTTTTATTATTATTTATTTATTCATGATCGATTCTTTTTTTCCTTTTATTGACTGACCTCCAAGCTTTAAAAGAGCAAGAATTCTGTTCCAGGATAAAAACAGTGAACTTGCAACTTGCTGTCAAATGTTCAACTAAAATGTCACCAAGCGCTTTTCAGGGTGTATCACTACATTCACTTCCCCTCATTATGGCACCACAATAATCACAATTGACTCTTAAGAGACCAGAAGGATCCAATCTCTTGAAAAATAATGCTGACTTATATTTTTTTCCTCTTCAGCTTGTCCCTGAAAAGTTAAATATGTTGAAATGATTTGGTCCATATGAGGAAGGAACTGAAATGAAAACAAACCGTTATATTCTCACAGTTAAAGGGAACTTAACCATTTATGCATTCCCCACTAACAAGTCAACCACCTGGAGCACAGCAAACATGATCTGTTTTTTTTTTTTGTTGTTGTTGTTTTTTTGTTTTTTTTTTAAATATTCACTTCAACCACAGTCAGATCAGTACTAAAACAGGGTCTGAAATTCACACAGGTTGTAAGTCACATTAAAAAAAGGAAATTCAGTCTGCTGGTAAAGAAAGGCAAAAACAAGGCAAAAGATTACACTGTAGCTGGTACCACTATCTTTGAATTTTTTTTTTTTTTCCTGAAATGTGCAGGAGCATTTGCTACAAGTAACAACAAAATAATACCTGAAAAAGAACTGAAGTCACTTTGTAAGGAATGTGAACTAGAAATACTATTATTGACTTTAAGACTTAACAAAGGCTGATATCGTACTGCATCACATCTAAAAAGGTAAAGAGATTTATTTTTGGGGGAAGTAAGAGGGAGTTTCGGTCGGTCTATTGGTCTTCCCTACGCTATGCCATCAGTTGCTTACATCAATAATTTAATGGAATTGCTTTCTTGAAATGTGGAGAGATTTCAAAAGCTTCTGGCCCACGATTACCATCTGTTCATTGGTCCATGATGCGGAGGCTCATTTGCTCTGTTTCAGCCTGATCAGCCTGATCACTTGTGTGCGAGGACTGACTTTGTTGTGTGTTGTTTTACTGCAGAGGTCCTCCGGGGCTGCCAGTGTGTTGATCTGTGTAGGTTGGGGTGGGGTGGTGGTGGTGGGGTTCGCGGTGGGCTAGATTAGCTCCACGTAATTGGCTGGGAACATTCCAAAATGGCCATCTGGACCGTAGCCTCGCCACCAGCCCTCGTCTATCATCTCGATCCCGGCGATGATGTCGTCGGGATCGAACGAGATCTCTGTGTCATCAGCTGAAGGAGAAAAAGAGCAGTGAACATCAGCAAAGTTCAAGTATAATGTACATTTTCAAACAATGTAAACAACGTTTAATACCCATTTTAGGCAGAGGTTCATTAGACTATTCCTATCCTGAAAACAATACAAACAACCAACTACTTAGTGGTAACTAACTAGAGTATCTAGAGTAACATAACACTAAATATACATTTTTGAGTTAAAGTAGCAATCTCAAAGATCTGTTTTATTATCTTTGGTGAAAGTAAATGCAGGTTTGTTTCATCACCTCAATCGAACACACATCACTAACTTTGTTATAGTCATTTGTGTTCCTTGGGATTTTGCACATTTGAGTCATACCATGAAATGCAAGGACTTTCTTAATTTCACCAGTGTGTCATAGGCTCAATCAACATTGTGTTACCTAATTCAGTGATATATAGTGACTTAAAAGACACATATATATAAAAATCTGTGCCACTTTAACATCATCTATGTGCAGTCACTTGATAACATAAAGCTATTCTGTTCTCATGACCTCTATAAAATCTGTGAAAAACCTACAGTTGTTACTACTAGTTACAGTGTTGGGGCAAATTTTCATCCTTCCGACCCCTCAGACATCCCCTTTTCTGTCACTCTCCATTGCCTCTGCTGCATCTGCTGAAGCCTCATTTCACTGTTGCTGCTTTTTCTGTCACCCAGTATAAGTCAAGAGTGAGCTGGTACCAGCCGATGTAGATGATAAAACGAGACATGGCAAATGTAGCAAAGAAACTAGCACGACTGAAACTGGCTAAAACAGTCAGATGGTCATGGACACCAGTCAGAGCTTTGAGAGGGGTGGGAGTGTTTTGGCGGTTGTGGGGTTTTTTTGGGTTGTGGTGGTTTTTGTGAGCCTGGATTTAAATGCATTTTTTGAAGTTGCGGAGGGGGCACAACCAAGATGAAACTGGGTATTAAGTTGCCCTTTGATTCTTATGTTATTTGCCTGACCACATATTGGTTAATAGCTGTTATGGTACGGTGATAAAAATAAATAAATAAATAACTTACCAGCTTGGTAGTCATATAAGGCTCTGGCACAGATGCCTCTATCTGAGGTCTCCTCGGCAGTTACCTCATGTGAGTTTTTCTCCTCCACCTGGGAGAGAAATGAGGTCAGGTTATGTTTCAGAATTGATTCATATGATGGAAGAAAAGTCTCCTGCTGAAGGTAAGTAAACAAACAATCACCTGAGCGGGCTCTTCCTGGACATACGATTTGGCAGCGGGTGCCTCCTCTGAAAAGAGAGATCAATGTCAGTAAGATTGTATCTGAGCTGAGCTGTGTATCCACCAGCAGGTGGCGGCAGCAGCTGATCCTGACAGCGCAGTTTAGCTGGAGGGAGTCATACAGTTTGTTCTTACATCAAACTGCAAAAACATTTTCATAAGTGCAGATGGGAGGGTTGGAAAGCTGATGTTAACACTGAGGCTGGTGCTGTGTGAAATGGGCCCCACCTTTCTCCTGCTCCTGGGGGGCTGCCTCCTGCTCATCATACTCACACCTGGACTGTCCATCATCCACATCAGGCTCTTATCACCCAAAACACAAGCACAGACATGCATATACACAGAGGAACACATCCACAAGTCCACACAGGCTGACAAACCAACCACCGGGGGAATTCTTTTCAATCGAGGAGAACTAAAGCAATAATCTCTACGTTTCTTAGAAAAACAGAAAGTACATTGAATGGAAGTGTGACTCATGATGAAATTGATTATAATGATTACAAGGAGTATGAAGATGATGACACACAAGAACAGCAATGAGAAAATGAAGCATGGCGCTTTTAGTCAAGTATGAGACCGTGTCACCCGGTCTATTAATTCTTTGTGTATATTTGTGTGTGTGTGTGTTGTGTAAAGCTCACACCTGTGGCACGGACAGGAGAGGCGGTGCCTGCTGGCACAGGCGAAGCTTGACGCTGAGGTGAGCTGGCTCGCTCAGATTCATACGCTTGCTTAGACAGAAAAGGGCTTTGCAGACGCCCTGAGCAGAGACACACATGGAACCCCCAAAACATGCAAAATATGGACGAGAGAGAAAAAAACAGAGCAGACAGGTTGAGCAGAAAAAGAGAAGACACCATGATGGGGACACAGTGTTAAGTATGACTATGAGACAACTAGACAGTCTGGTGGAAAGTTAAAAGCTCTGACAAAGGATGGCGCTGGCCTCTGGAGAAGTCCCCAGTTTGTACCCATCGCTACCTGAGAAGGGGCTAAGAGAGCCTTGCAGTAATGCAGGAAAGGCTGTGACATTTAAAGCAAATAGATTTATATGATGAGGTCACTGTTCACGCTTGGGTGATACCTGGCTGGGGGCTAGCAGGGGCAGCAGCGGGGACGTCTGAGTCACTGGGAGTTATTCCCCTCTCTCTCTGCTTGAACATCTCTCTGGGATTCAGAGCACGCTGAGAGATGAGAGAAGCTGCCTCCTATAAAAAAAAAAAAAAAAAAAAGATAACAAATAATATGTACAATAAGCATTAGATGTCCACAGGTTATTAATAATGTGTTGCTCAGAAAACACTGTATTATGGAAAGAGGCCAAGCAATAAAGACCAGAAGAGAAGAAGAAGATATGTGTTAGGTTGAGTGTCAAAGGGTTCACTTGGGGTTAGAAAGAGACAAACGCTTGTCTTGAGGCAGGCAAGAAAAAGGAAAGCAATTTGGCCAGAAGAGATCACTTTCAGGAAGGGGAACTCACATTGGCCTTCTCCACTGATTCACCTCTCTTGACTGCTTTCCTTTGGGCTGCCTGGTTCTCCTCCTGATCCTCCTGATAATGTTGATATCAATGTTGACACTGCTGACACTGGCTACCTTCCTGACTGTTTAAGTGTTTAGTCGCGTGCGCTATTGAAACTTATTTAACTATCAACACAATCATAGAAAAGTGGGTTACAGTCAATATGAAAGTAAACTTCGCACCAATCCACATTCACTCTCACCTCACTCGCATCAGTTCCTTATGTTCCTGACAAGGTTCTTCACAGTTGAAACCCCATTTACTCAAAGTGTGATCTTGTCAGACAATGAGACACTCACCAAATGTTGTTTCTCCTGCTCTCTACTCTCAGCTTCCTGCTGCTGCTGGTACTTCCTATTAAACAAAAGGCCATTTAGACGACAGAGGAAATGTAATTTGAACCTTTCAACTGATGCTCCTGCAAACTGGTCTCGACCAGTGTACACTTCTTCAGTTGCTACCTACTTTTGTTGCTCGATTTGAGAGGCCCTCTCCTTGTCCCTTTTGTCCCTCAGTGCTGCCTCCTTGGCCTCTCTGTCTTTCCTCTCTCTCTCCAGATGCTGGCGCTCTTCCTCTGCCTTGCGCCGCTCCTCCTGCCGGCGTTTCTCCTCTTCTTTCTAAAAGGCCGAACAGACCAGCAGGGTCAGCTTTAGTTTACCATCGTGCAAATATATTTGTCATAAAAAAAATTTGACTTCACAACAGTTTATCTAAAAAAAACTACAGGGCGGAAATCCACTCTCTAGGCGCATCTTTGACAGGTGTGCTGCTGAGCAAAAACTGCAAACAAAAAGGTGGAGTTACAGTCTTTTGCTGACTATGCTTAGATTGTTGATGGATAAAAACTGCCTGACTGTTGTGTCAGATGTTTCAAAACTGAAAACTCTTGCAATATTTTTAAGAGTTTCAATGAAAGTTGAGAGTTGCAATTTCAATGAGTTAATGATTCAAAAACATCTTACATAAAAACACATTTTTCAGGAAGTGACTTTTTAGAGCAGCTTCAGGTTCTCTTCACTGTCTCAGAGGTGAAGCTGAAGTTGGCAGTAGCTTAATGCAAGTTCAGGAGCCTACCTCTGCCTGTGCCCAGAAGGTGTCTTTATTGGTCTTTCTGATTTCCGACATAGCGTTGGTCTTCTGGTACACTGAGCCCTACAGGAAGGAAAAGTATCTTTAATAGGATTGTGTAAACATGTCAACATAGTTTTACATAATTATAAAAAATACAGCAGTTTACAAAAGTCCTATGACTAATTCTTACTTAAAACTGAAATATCTGATTGGAAAGGTTCTCTCTAACTGATATACCATCATTTAAACAGTTGACATAGTAGCATATTATGTGTTGTTGTTAGTAGTACAAGTTGTTTTAATCTTTAGGAAAGCTTTAATCTTTTCCACAACTACACTCAGATAAGAACCAATGGTTGCCTTCTCTCATAATGACTGAGCAGCAATTTCAACTTTTTCCGCTTCAGAGTGTTTGAAACATTGTTTTCAGTGGTAGAAATGCTGGCTTAGTGTGAATGGAAGGCCGTAATATAGAGAAAAAAAACACTGAGACATGTCACTTGTAGTGACGTTTTGAGATTAAGGAGCCTGGTTATGATCTGGCCCAGTGCTTATCTTTCTACCGACCAAGACAAGCAAACAGGGGTGCATACCACAGGACCCTGAGGACCGCTGTCCTGGAAGCGGCTGGAGGCTTCTTTGTGGAAACTATAGTTTGCTCCTGAGGCTTTAGCCACTTTCTGCATTATCGCCTCAGGTTCAACATCCTCATCAGCTCTGGCGTTTATTGTGACATGGGCCCCCTGAAAAAGCAGGATATAAAAGCTAATTTAATACAGAGTCAAACAGAGAAACACCTAAAGTTGGTATCTTGGGTCATGCATGCACCACCCAGCAGTTTGTTTACATGCGCTGTCTGCTGGTCTGATATGAATGACATTGACACAACTCACAAAGCTACTGTATTATTCCAACAATGCCTGCAGCATGCTGTACGCTATTTTTCTTTATTGTTTTCTTTTTTTATTTGAGCCCTGCTCAAAGCCATCATTAACATGCCATTTAGCACACAAATGACCTCCTCTGTAACCATAAACAGACTGCAGTAGAAATTAAATGTATATTTAAACTAGACTCAGAAATGAGAGTACTGTTACCTTAAGAAAATTGGCCATGGCACTGACGTGATTTGCACATATTCCTTTCCTGGCATCTTTCACTCCTTCCCCAGTCTGAAACACAAATTAATTATTCCACGGGCTCAAGAATGGCCACAACAAAGCAGACAAAGGAATGAACACTAGTTGAGTGTAGCACTAACCCAGTTGATGAGGACATATTTAGGCAGGCCAGAATTTGGATCCTGGACCCGGCAGAAAGCGTACATCACTTTTCCACTGTTGAGTTCCTCAACCAACTCCTCCAGTCCTCCATCTGATACATAAACATTGTGGAAAAGTCAAATGGTTACTGTGGTTGGTTGTGTAACAGCGGACATTTCTTTCCTCTTACAAATGATGGGGTGAGACAGCAGAGGCAAGCAATCCTTTTGTGCTGATATTCCAGAACTGCAGCTGTATGCTGACAATGAAATTCCTGCACACATCTGATAATATCGTGTTGAGATCATAAAAACTTTCGCACAACATCCACTCACCCCCTTTTTCTGCCAGGCGGATGTCATTACTGTTTCCCTCATAGGTGAACAAGGCCCTGGAGGAAACACCGGATTAAGGATACAAAAATACCTCCTTAAAACAGATCACAGAGATGAACCAAAGAGTAGTTGCTCCAGCATCGATATGCATCATTTCACACTTAACCAAACAGCAGATGTTTTGTAAACATAGTTTAGGCTGTTTTCACACAAGATACATTTTACAGTTGTAGTAGGGTGGTATAAATATACTAAAGTGTCACTGTAGTTTTAATCACACTTTAAAACAAACATACCAGTAATCTTTACAGGTTGTGTGTCCCTGCACCAGTAAAGATTTCACAGACTTTTCCTTACTGTTAGATGCCCAATGAAAGTAACTAGGGATTAGCAGCCCGACAGACTGAGTCAATGCCGGGCCATTTCCTGCAGAAAATGCCCCAGCATTCCTGCGTCATTTTAATTAGCATGAAGGAAGAAGTGGAGAAGTCTTTGCCTCTGTGCTCTTCAAGTGGACATACAAGACTTCCACTTGATGACTGGGTAGACCAAGTAGCTTTTTTGAGTTAGATATGGGTTAAGAAAATATCAGTTAACCATATTCATCAAAATATGATGGTGACATGCACTAACTAAAAAGTGACAGGTTTAGGTAAGTTCTTTGGTAAATTGTTTAGGTAAGTCTATAAATTATGGCCATTTTGTAGCTGTTATTGATGTCATTTCTGACTATTAGGAAGTAAAGCTATAATTTAATTGCAAACAAAGAAGGCTTTTTTTTTTTTAAATCATAGTTACAAATAATATCTACGGCCTTTAGGTCCTATTTCATAGAAAATCACTGATGCATTTATGATTTAACCTCAGTACTACACAGAAGAATGCTCATTTGACCTGTTCACATACACCTACATATTAGAATAACGATTAAATCTCTAATTGGGATGTCAGTTTCAGACCAAACACAGAAATCTGTGTTTGCAAAATTAAATATATTGGAGCAAAGCTCACTGTGTGAGGTCTAGTGGCTTTACAAAGATATTTTCTTCTGATTAATAAATGGGATATAGTTTATCCTTTCACTATTAGATAAGTGGAACTTGCTCACACTGAAACTAGTTGCAAGATCACTTACTCATTTTTTTCCATCAGCACCATTTCAGATTAGAAAAGAATTACAGTGAGAGCTAGTTGTTGGGTTCATAGGTGGTGGCTGTCCAATGCCGAGTGAAGAATGTCAAACACTCAGAAGAAAGACACTTTCAGGGTGAATATGGAGCCAGCAGGTCTCCCTGGGCAATCACTCCTTGTGATTAATTAATTCAGGTCATCATTAAACACTGCAGCTGTCGCCAGCAGGTTCAATTTGAACCTCAAGGCGAGCAAGTTACAGTACAGTACCCCTGTAACTCCAGGCAAGGTAAAGAGGAAGTTCCTTAATCTGACTTTCGCATATTAGTCATATCTAACTTTTGATGTCTTACCAGGAAGTGGGTGAGGTAGCTAGCAACTTATTCATTCAATTTCATGACAGACAAGCTTATCAAAAATATAAAATGCATGCAAAACATAGGGATTAAGTGCTCATACTGTTAGTGCGCCCAGCTAGCATTAACTAACCATATTACTAGCTTATCAGTTAGCTCATCTTTAACGTTAGTACACATTAGACTGGCAATAAATGTGAGAAAGCTAAACGCCCATGTAAACAAAGCCAACTTTGGCTAACATTATTGCTCATTTAGCGAGTAAAAAGTCTGCTGTGGTTAACAATGTGCCATTGGGTCACAGGGAAAGTTTATCTAACGTTAGGTTAACGTTAACTTAACTACTTGACGACTGACTCAGTGCTAGCCAACACTGCAGCTAGAATAATGCCTCCTACACATCGCTAACACTGTTTTTAAAATGCTGCTCCTTACCAGTCGGTGTTGGATTTTTCATCTACCACTTCTTTATATGCAGCTGTCAATGCAGGGCCATTTTTGCTGAGGTTAACTGCCATCGTTATGGTGAGTACAGCTAGCCAGCTAGCTATCCGGGATGCGCCCTTCCTACTGGGAGGAGTGGCGATGATGCTGACTTTCAGCTGTGCAGGAAGCTAGTTTAGCTAGTGGCTACAGCTCAGACAGGGTAGCTTCAATAGGTGTAGCGTGACGCTACGAAAGCGCGGAGCTGGTTTGCGTTTTTAAGTATTTTAAACTCGGCAATGAATCTGTGAATCCGATTTGCGAACAATCATTAATATGCAACACATTCTCACTTTAGAAAAGTAAGAGAAGATTAAAGTTCGGTCTGTGTACAGATTGTTGTCTGCACCGCAAAAATCTCGCAGCAGACGTCGTTGAATCAAACGCACCCTAGAGTGCATCTTACAGGTATGTGCTGTTATATGCCAAGAACAACTTTTTACAGTGCTTTTTTGACGGTATGAGTCATACTACAGCACATGTACAATATGTCCATGATTATCTCTTCTTTTCAAAACATAATTTTTGGTTATTTAAATGCACCCAAACAGGACGTCCTCCTCTTTACACAGCCACAACTACAGCTGCTTCTGGCTCATGCTGCTGTTAAGTTATTACATCTCATAATAAACATAAAAAGAAATGACTGCAGACAACGGTAAACCAAGATGAACTTTATTCATATGTTATGACAAGGTCAATAGTTATCTTGTGTAGGCTATGTGAGGACATATGGACGTTCCTGGTGGCAGTTCAAGCACACATATTCCAAATTTTAAGATGCATGAAAGCTGGTCCTGCGTTCTGAGAAAGCCAGGCTGAAATTTTCAACAAAAAATATTGGTACTGTTCAAGCAGGTTTCCATGTCTACTGATGAAATGAATCACCCATTTGGGGGATACAGCCCTGATAGCAAATTTAACAGTTTATGACACGTTCTCTCTATATATACAAAATGAGGGTTAAGGCTAAAATTTTAGTCAGAGGTGTTAGGCAGATGAATTGTAACGAAATCCCTGATATCCGGCAAATGGCTGTGAGAAGGTTCTCCAGAGTGCAAAGCATGCCAAGCTGCCTATATAAACTCTATTGAGCACACTGGACAAAGGAAGTCAATGTAGCATCACTGACATGATGAATTGAGGCTGCATTCAATTGAACAACTGGAAGATACTCGGCTTTCAAATAAATAAATAGCCAGATGAACAAACGACAATGCACAAAAAGTCTGAACTAGTACTAATACACACAAGTTATTTGCAATTGTAGTCTGGCAGCAAAAAGACTTTCACTGCATTTAGAAGATATATTTTCAAAACCTTTTAGTATATACTGTATTTCAGGACAACTTGTTTTGACCATTTTCTCTACAGCAGCTAACAATGATCAAATTCTATATTTGGTGCCTAAACCATAGTGTTAATTCTACAATCAAAGCTTCTAAAACTTTCATGCTTCACTATGAACCTTTCTGGATAAATCCATTCAGTAATGCCTCAATAGCAAATTTCTTCCCCTTTTGAACATCAAATAGTTCCCTTTATATTGGCAGCATCAGCACATTATGAGCCATGATTTAAAAAATAAAAAAAATCATAGCATTTCCTAACTACTTTATCCAACAGTCACGATGGGTTATAGTAAAACTAATATTACATTATGACACATCACAATCATGTTCAATTCTGTTGACATGAATGAAAAAAAAAGGCCTAAAACTAAAGCTTTCAAAGATACAATACAAAAGGTCACAAATGTATCACCCAGACAAACTGTTTTACTGTCACGGTGGATTAATAATCCCAAAACTAAACAAGTCTTTGCAGACTTGATCATGAATATGAATATAAAGAAATGCTGACAAAAACTTCACATCACCCGATATTAAAGCAGGTGAAATTGTCGTGGCAAGTTACTGTATTTATTCGCTTCAAGTAACTAGATGCACATGACTTCAAATTATTACTCGGTTCTGCAAAATGTCAATTCTGATGTCAAGTTCCCCTTTTAAGTATAAGTGACACCAGCTATAACCAAAGGCCATTTTGTTTTAGAAAAACAGTAGCATGTATGTTTAACAGCGTCATTTAACGGCTGCTCACATCCAAAATGTTGTTCAAAAATAAATGGAAATGGTGACTAAAAGAACTGGAGAGGGATAATTAGGGGAAAAAAACCCTCTCTGTGACAAAATGGCAACACAGACCATCAGGGCCTATATGCATAAAAAACCTCAGGAGTGCTGATCTGTCTTTGATCATTTTGCTTCTTCTGGAAGCATGAGCTATTTTTTTTTTTTTTTTTTTTTTTTTTGTGAAAAAACCAGGGAATGTAGATCAGTAATATTTTTTAAGCCTGATGATATGGGCCCAGGTCATTTTTCTCACCATGGGTCACTGCATGTAAAGGCTGATGATTTGGTTAGATACCTGAGTAACTGTACTGAGGAGGAGGCACACAGCTTAGCTATATGCCAAAGAGGAGCTATGTTCATAGCTACACAACAAGGAACAAGTCATACAACAGTAGTATTTTGTGCACTATGGACACCAGCCATTGGTGTTTACTTATACAGGATATAAGGGCAATGACAGCATGTGAGAAAAATGGATGTTGACATTTGCCCTATGGAGCTCCACAACTGTGATGCAAGGGCCAGCTAGCTCTTAATAGCAGCTCTCTAGTGTCTTCAAAACCACTAAATACTGTTGCAGTTTCAAATGCATTGGGTGATAGAGACCAATCCTTCTTTACATCTTTCACATTGTTCCGGGGTAGAGACAGTATGTGCCAACAGATCAGCTGCTGGTAATGGCACCGCACCATTTTGTGTTGAACAGGGAACATTCTGCCTCAATTGCACATATACCGTTTGAAAATAATAACACAGAAAGGCCACTAAATACATGGAAATACAGTAATAACAAGACATCCAGTGGGACACAGACAGTACCTCTGAAATGAAGGGAGAGCCAATCTCCTAAATCAATCCAACATTTAGCTTCTGAGTAGCACAATGATATGACTCTTTGACAGTGAAAATGATGCGCATGAATGGCAACAATGATAGTGATGATCACAATAGCAGGAGAAACAGTTTAAAGTCTGAGTGTGGTGGTATGGGCTGTGAAGAGTTTCCGGTATTCCATATGGGAGTGCTTTAAGGAGCCCATCAGGTCCTGCTCAGCAGATCCATACAAGTCATGAAGGACAGCACATGGTAGCAGCTCAGCACACGGAAAGCCAGGTGGCACTGTACCTCATTGAATCGCTTCCTTCTCCAAAAGATGGGCTGTTGTCTAGTTGTTTTTTTTTCCCTCTGTTGCTCATTTGCCTCAAGTTACAAATCAAATGTGTTTCTTTTGTTCTCATTTGTATTTTGTCTCCCTGGCATTCTCACATTGCATACTTCTGTGTCCATTCTCTTGCTAATTTGTTGTACCTGTAAAACACATGCAAAGTTTCGAAAAAAAGTTTCAGATGAACTTGCAAACCGTGAAGTTACTCTCCAAAAATACTGAGTCAGTACATTCATGTTTTACACTCACTTTTCCCTGTCAGCCTTGTATGTATGGGCGATCTCTGGTACCAGTGGGTCATCCGGGTTCGGATCACAAAGAAGAGAGCAAATCGACAATAATACTGTGGAAGAATGAAAAAGAACATTAAAGTTAAAGATTACATTGAGAGGACAATGAGAAGGCTGTGACCTTGAGAAGTAGAGGCCACTTGTGTGACTTTGACATTTTTACTAGTCATGAAAGTAAAAATCATAGACAATCAACAATCAAAGACATCAATAGATACATGACCAAATACCCTAAAATATAATTGATAGTATGGTAGTGCCATTAGAATATATACACCATGTATATTATCAAATATACATAGTGTAATTTTATGTATCCTATATCAAATAATATTAAACTTAAAAGTATTTCAGAACTTCATTTGACGCTGGATTTCTTTTGCTCTGATGTGACTTGTCTTTTTACATTTAAACATAACGCCTAATGTCATGAACCTGACTTGACATGGCATATCACATTAAGTCTGAAGGCATGACTTGGGACAAGAGTCTAAAGGTTTAAGACTGACATGGATGTGGGAAAAAGTCAAGTTGTGGAAATACGGGGAATGTGTCACTATCACTTTTTCACATGATACAAACCTACTACACCTGCTGTGAACGGTAAAGCAGCAATACCAGAGGCCATTCTAAAAGTGAGCAGTTTGACTTGCCCACCTAGGTGTAGCTTATTACATTAACAATGTCTTAATAATGCATTACACTTACCTGTGGCTGAGTCAGGGCCCTAGTACTTTGCATGTTGGGTCAACATTCACAACTGTTTTAATAAATAAAAATGTCAGCACACTAGTATAAATCCTTTGGCATCCTCTTACCTTTTGATACTGTAAGTGCAGGTGACCATTGCGATCTCAGTATATCCAGACAAATACTTCCATTGCTGTTGATATTAGGGTGGTAAATTTTTGTTGTGAATGCAACCTGTGACAAAACAGAAAAATATGTTATTTTCCAGTGAAACCAATTACATTGACCACAGTAAAATAAAAGTGAGTCGCTAAGGCGAGATGTATTAGTGCCTCATTGTGTTACACACAAAGAAGACCCTTACTCACTTTGGGTGGTTTGAAGGGGTAATCTGTCGGGAAGTGAATGGTGAGGAAAAACACTCCACTCTGATATGGGCTGTCACTCTAATGAAATATAAATAGAAACAAGTTGTCAACGGCAATTTCGTTGTTTCTGTTGCATATTTCAATTGGGTTAAGATACAGTGTCACTTACCGGACCCATTATTGTTGCCTGCCAGTGAAACACTGAGAAAAAAAAAATCAATAATGATTTTAGAGTTGGTATCCAAACTCCTGGCACATAATGCCATACTCTCTTGAAAATATATTTATACAAAGCAATCAGATATTTTTTTGTTCAGGCATACACTGATACAGCAATTTTCTAACTACTTACAATCATCTCCAACTGGTCCAGCAGAGCACTGAGCAGGTGGGTCCCTCTGCAGGTCTGATAGTTCCTAAATGGTAAGACAATCACAAAATGAATCAGCTTTTATTTTACTGATCAGTCGCAGCATTGTTACAACTTTACTCTTTGTAAGAAAAACACAAACATTTAAATAGTTTCTGTTAAAAGTGGTTATTTTACATCTATTAATATTAAGTACCTGAAATATGAAATGCATGAAAACATGAAATATGATTATGTGAGAACCTCATTATTAGACCAATGCACTATATGTTAAAATGATGAATCATGAATGAGTTCTTAAGATTTTGAAATAACTTCTTATTAAAAAGAAGTATAACTTTGCAACAGAGACCATGTCTGGAGCTTAATCCATATAATTTCTGGCTTTATGTGAAGTGGGCTAACTTAACTTTGTGGTGGGTAAAGTTCAATCCTAAATTTGAGACAGGTTGAAATTACTACCAGTCTTTTCAGTGGCAGCCATGTTTGCTTAACACTCATGATCCAAGCCTGTTGACATGTAAATGGTGGTTCTCGATTTCATGAACATTTTAGTCATCAGTTCAGCTTTACCAGGGATGCTGACTGTGAAGGTTATAGAGCTCAACAGAAAGAAAAAAATGTGCTACAGAAATAATTAAGGCAAAAAATAAATAAAAATAAACTTGTGTAAATTAGGTTTATTATATCAGAAACAAATGTAAACGCTATGGCCATATTCCATTACATACTATTCATGAAATGACAATGATCACAGACAGCGAAACGACGGATGGTTAAAATGACATAAAGCCCGTTATTTAATAACTCTTGAAAGTAAGCCTATCTATTCTGTTATATAAATACACACCGTGGCCTGCTCCAGTGCCCCATTTGCCATTCCATATATGGCAACACTGACACTAGAGTTCAATTTTGGCAACCAGCAAGCAGCTGTCATTCAGCGACTAAACACATCATCAGCTACACTCTCAGTGACCAACCACAAGGATAAAGATAACTGACAAGCTAAGAATTTAACAACAAATCCTGTGCATGTCAACCAATCAAACCAAGGACCAAAGCATATACTAACCTTTGCTAAATAACTGCTAGCCTACGGCTGCACTGCGAAACGACTCGTTTGGTTAACATTAGCCACCTTTCCCAAAGTATTGATAAGGTGCTAAGCTACATGTCAGAAAGACAAAGTAAATATTACACACTTAAAACGTAGCTGTCAAAACAATGACGCTGTTAGAGTGGTTACTGGTAGTCAGCGTTACTGTAGCAATGCACCAACAGGGCCACCAGTGGTTAGCTCGTCTTTTGTCTGTGCATTATTTTAAAAAGGAGCACAAAAAGCAAGCAAGGCTAAGTCGAGCTACAGAAACGGCTCCACACTGCTATTACCTTCACAGAGGGTCGCAAACTCAGAAAAATGTGTCTATTATAAGGTATGGCTGGTACACGAAAGAAATATACACTCACCTTCTGAATTCTTTTCAACGCCATTGCTTCAATGGCTATGCTAGCTAGCCTGTCAGCTAACAGTTAGCACTTCACACATACAATTTGGCTTTTGTGGCCGCGTTCTTCCAAATCTCACTTAACGTACAATCAGAAAATCACGTCTGACATTTAACAGGCTTGGGGCTTTTGGTTCCCAGTACAACCGATGCGGTAAATTGTGTGTTAAAGTCTGATCTTTCTTAAGACTGGCACAGAACAACCGAGATATTTTGCTGTCTCTCCTCTCATCCCTGCTCCTCTAGGTGCCTGGCAGGCTGTTTTGGGTGATATCGCGATAACTTTCTTTACAAGTCCTGAAGTGACAATTGCAATTTCCATGGTTGTAGTCCAAAATGAATTATTTAGTTTTTTAAAGTTTTGACACCATACACTTATCAAAATCAACATTATATGACTCTCCATTATAATGTTAAATAATCACAATAATTATTATCTAAATTCAATTTTCACATGATAAATGCTATGAATGAAAACTCCATACAATAACTTCCCATAAATTTGCCTACCTATATTTTGGCTACTATATCTGTCCCTCCTCTTTGCATTTAATCACATTCTGCCAGAGATCAATATAGTTATTTTTATTTATATTTATAAATAATAATAAATAATAAATATAATCAAGTATTTAAATGAGCATCATTCATCACATTCATCAATCTTATCATCAAGTTCACAAATAACAGAGACAGGAAGGCAGTGTTAAAAAAAAAAATACATTCTTCAATACATGGCTTTAAACATATGTACAGCCTATAACACCAACACAATAGCTGAGGCTGGGTGTCCACAAGATGTCACTATTTGAAAAGAACAAAAACACACACACACAAGAGAGACACGGCCAAAATAGGTGATGAACGGCTTTGATTGGAAAATATTATCACAGTGTCATTTATGAAACTGAATGTTGTATGCTCATAGTCAGTTGATTAATCTAAAGAATTGCTTTCAAATTATTTTTTCAAGCGCAAAAGTGCATGACAATGGAGCAGCAAAGTGCAATGAAGCCAAACACGTGTATTATTTCCATGTACATAGGAATAAAGAGAAAGACTATAGAATTGTTCATTCAATACCCAATCATTGTAAAGGCATATTCATCTGAGTCAGCTGCATGCTCCGGTTTCTGCACAGCCTTGTCTTGCAAAGCCTCATGAGCTCCCCTTTATATATCTTAAACAAGGGTGAAAAAAGAGCTCTCATTATTTTAGTGAGTATGTATGAATGGGTCGCAGTGTTCATTCTTCTTAAATGGCTGATTCAGTGTCAGGTTGAGGATCCTATCGTCAATGTGACACTGAGAGGGACCATTTTGCTTTGGAAAGCTGAAGATTCCTTCAGATAATATCTTATTGTTTGCTCATCTCTGTGCTCTCAATGACCTGCCTGTCCTCAGGGCCTGCCTGTAATCAGATTCAGCCAGCAGCAGAGGTAGCAGTTTGGGTCTTGTGCAGCAGGGGCCTTGTGTTCTGAGTTTGTCTACTTGGAGAGGCCATTTATCAGCATGAGGTTTTCAGACACAGTCAAGCCCACACTTTGTTGGCTTGAGAAGCTTCAGTTCACAAAGCCTCCCACAGTCACCCTACTGTAGTTTCCTCAGAAATCTCAAATCACATTGGTTTGCTTGCTACTGTATACTTTAAACCTATGGTGTTTGTAAGTGACAGAGACACAAGTCAGTCCCACAGTTACGGGGGCATGCTACCTTGTAAATGTTCAAAGCAATAAGCAAAAATGTCTTTCTTTCTATAAGGCAACATATCACTGACCTGTGTAGGGAATTTCCCAGCTATACCCAGAAGTTGAGTTTTTAGTTACAGGACTGGTGCCACAAGTTCCAAATTGATGTATGAGCCAAGGTGTGAATGTGTCAGACCTGGGATGATATGGGTGGGGGTAGCAGCTTAGTTGACCTGTCTCATGAGGAATATAGCCTATAGTGCTGTTATTTGAAACCACAGACTCAGCAAACTCCAGTGATCTGTCTTTTTGGTCACATGAATCATCATCAGTAGAAGTCCCATTGTATAGCAGAAACCATTCCACTTATTGTGGCAATTATGCTAAACCTGTGTCTGAGCTTAAGTATATTCCACTCAATGGCACTTTTCCCATAGTTGCCAATGTGACAAAGCACATATGCTCACTGTCATTTTCAAAATTAACTTAAATGGGTCTTGCTAATGTCTGAATTATCCAATAAAAGCACAACCAATTAATGCTCAGCACAAGCTGGGCTCCCAGTCCCCAGAGGTGTTTTACCTTCGGTCAGTGTATTAGCTTTCTGAGGGCTCTCTTGTGGAACAAAGATCCATATTGTTCCCACATACTAAGAGATATTTGTTCACTCCTTGTATCAATGGTCTTGATTTGATTATACACTCAGGCAATATGTGCAAGCAGTGCTCATGTTTGCAGTGAAGTCAGCACTCTGCACAATCAAATAATTCTTGAGCTAAGCAATTGGAAAAAGGGTCATTATGTATGGAGCAATCAGTGTTTCATGGCCCATTTCCTTAGCTGTGATTTGATTTTGCTTGTCAGTGTTAAGGTGGCCTTTGACCTAGAAAATCTCTGAGTTATTCCTCAAATCTTCCTCTTGCTTTTTTTGGGTATCAGTGTTAGTGAGTTTAAAAACTTGGATCAATTTTTTGAAGCTTCCCTTTGTCTTCCTCTTACGTTTTGGTCATTAAAACAAGCTGGTACATGACTGTCTGTGTTGTTTTTTTTTGGCTTGCAAGGTTTACATCATCATGAAATCATATAAACATTTATAGCTTCAAGGATGTGCCTATTAAATGGCCTTATATGCTCTAACTGTGGCCATGGAGAAGTCGCCAGCTTTTATTGACCTATTTGCATAGCTGGTTATGGGATGTCTCATTTACAAGCAAGGGTCCTAACGCAAAAATGATACTGCATTTTACTGTTCTCAGAGACCAAACCCGTTTTAAGTGACAGGCTGAGTGATGACTTTTTACACTTTTTAGACTCACGCTAAAAAGCTCCTTATGTTGACTAATGTAAACTACATCGCATTAGATTTAAAGTTAATCATATGTTTTAAATGTAACATCTTAATTTGGAAAACGACTTTAGTCATTTAAGAAATTTAGTGAGTTAAATGTGGAGGGTTTTTTGTCTGGAATGTACTTAAGTAAAAGAAACAAGTATCACCAAATGTAGAAACTCAGGTACAAGCAGTACCTCAAACTGCAGGCTTGTAGCATGTTATTAAGTTCTTGTCCAAACATAATTTACTTTCCACATTTAGATTAAAACAATATCACTAAATTTTGTCGTTATGATAACAGCTAGAATGAGTCATGGATTCATCATCTGCAAAGTGATTAATAGGTTATTTTTTTAATATATTTTTTTTCTAATTTCTCTGATTATCGAGATTTAATGTCTCTCCAGAGAGAGCAAAAAGAATGAGATCAGATCCATTCCCCTGTCTGTCACCTCTGATCCACCCTTATCTGATATGCATCATGTGGCACACAAACACAAATCACACACATACTCATAAAGAACCAGTAATCCTTTGGGGTTAAGCACTTAAAGAGCGATCCCCAGAGCCCTCTGTGTCTCTGAGTTGCACCACAGTTCTGGCACGGTGATTGACAGCTCTGGAAACGGTTTTACTGTGCTGCTCTTGCATTGAGTAGTCTCAAGAGTCTAGGTAATAACTAGTCTGGAGTGTTGACTAATACATTTAGTGGTGACTCTACATAATCAAATGTGTTCCAGCTGTTTGAGTTCTGATGACAAATTCAGGTTTTCCCAGTTTGCTGAGCTTCCTTGAGAGACAAAGGAGGGATTTCCTCTGAAGCAGACAGGCAATGGCAGCACCAACAAATGGCTTGGTACTGTTATCAAATAGAAAGTCTGACTAAATATAAACTTATCATCTACAGCCTGAGCCAGTGCAGAAATGAGGGAGAAGGCGACAGCTGAAACAAGGTTTTCTACAGGCTGTGTCCTGGGGCGTGTACGAAGACAACAGATTCATATACCAAAAAACAATAAAAGAAGAAGTAAAGTATATTTTTAGTTGCAGCATATGTTTGTGACTTAGGTGAAATAGAAACATCCTTCTTATCTTTTTTTTTTTCGTTTCTGCCAAATACACACATGCACACTCAATGCGGATACAGGACATTTGAATATTACAGTTGCTACATGGTTCAGAGGTAGGAGCAGCCACCTGTTGTTTGACAAGTTTTCACTGTGCAGAGGTGTGTAGTTAGTGTCTGTGACTGTGTGTGAAAGTAAGTGACTGGGACATGGGTTGGGGGGGTGGAGGCGGTGGAGGGGGTGTCCATCCTGCTGCACAATAAACAGTTTGTTTCCCAGGAGCACCCCTCATGTTCCTGTTGTTGGCTCCATCGCTGCTCACTGGGAAACGTCCTGGCCTCTATTGTCCAGGAGGTCGGGGGTCACAGGATGCTCCTAAAGGCCCAAAGAGGGAGGTAAGAGGTTGGATAGTGAGGCATGATAAAGCGCTCACCCCCCCACCCCTCCACACATGCACCCCTTATAAAAAAAAACATTAAAATTGCTTCTTTTTCCCCTCCCCTGTCATACCGTCTTCCATTCAAAATGCCAGTCATCATTTCAGGAAGTGAAATCCGGACAATGTGCAGACTGACTATTTCATATTGAACCTCCTAATTGCCTTCGGTACATGTGTAGAGCTCTGTTCCTCGCGTGCGTTCTTTGCATATCTTTAATGGAAGCCGTAGTCCACAAGCTTTCCCATACAAAAATGGGAAATTCAATCTAAGCAGCTAACAGAGGGTGACGCATATCATTAAAGAAAAAAATTTGCCAAGAAAGGAGTGGTTGTATTGTACCGTTGTCACCACACAAATGTTATAATTTAACCACAGACGGAGCTTAAACGCTGGCTGAGACTGTGGAGCAGATACATGCCTCTGACTGCAGTGACCTTTTAAACAGGATAGCACATAAACAGCCATATAAACGCTGTTTTTGCAGCACGATTAAATATGTCTCCTCAGAGCAGCAGACGTTTATGATAGTTAAACAGAGACACCATGCTGCCATAATGGAAACTTGTTGCACCTCTCTTGAGGCTAGAGCAGCAGCTGAGGTCCATATCAGTTGAAGCTCTGGTGTCTGTGTGAATCAGCATCCATGCAATATTTCCTGTGAAGTTTATCTGTAAGGTTTTTGAGCAATAGTCTGATTCTTTTATTGCACTTGAACCAAAGCGC